GTCCATTCTGTAAAATTAAGTCCCTTTCATTCGAAGATTTGAAAACTACTTTATGCAGTCTAGATTGATTAGGCTTCAAGTTCGCTAAACTACCTAGTCTATACACCTTTAGCAAGGTAACTCCGGAGATATTTTGAGGCATGAGTTGATTAAGTAGCTGTTTTATCAGGACAATGTCATGCTCAAAACGAGTTTTTGGTTCGAAGCTTTCGCTCTCCTTGATCCTTTGAAAAATGACTGATCTGTTACTGTGATTAGCCTTCGATTTTTCGACTACTTTTGTGGAGGCAGGGTTCCCTTTTATATCGTTTTTCTGTTTCTTCCTCACAACCTGTACCCATTCGTCAACGTTGCTTGAAGAAGCAACCACAGTCGCGTCAAACATACTGTGGGATTCCGGAGGGTTTTCGATGACTTGGGAGGTCAGGTTTGGTGTCCCTTTAGAAACTGATCGAGCCTTGCGGTTGCGGCTTCTATGTGTTTCTTTCTGGATACCATTTTGAGGACGTGGGACAGAAGAAACTTTTTTCCTTGAGTTTTTTGTGCGGACAGAACTCTTTGGGGATTGTTCTCCCTCCTTTGGTCGGTGCGAGTCATCTGTTTTCGAACTCACTTTAGTTTGCCTCACGCCGATTTGCGTGTCAACGGAGCGAGTACTTGATGATGTGTCGCGACCACACTTGCCAAAACATTTTTTAGCAGCACTAACCAATGAGACGGCCTCGGTTAGCAAGCTGTTAGCATCCGAACAGCACTGTTGACATAGCCATACGCAACCATTCCTACTGAACCGTTTGAAAGCTGCAGGCGTTAATTTTGTGCAAACTTTGTGGTATCATCCTTTGCACTCATCGCACTGCATGCCGCTTTCAACAGGATAACGACAGCCCAGGCGTTGGCAATTACTTTTTTTGCACTGTCCAGTCATTTAAACACGGGTTTTTTTAGAAAGAACTAGATGCAAAAATACTCAGGGACAAAAAATAATCTATGACCAAAAAAAGTGGAAAACTGTGGATCGTTAGAACCAAAAGTACTAACATGTACTATAAAAAAACAGAGTACTCAAAAGTACTGACAACAAAAATCTAATTTTCAAAAATAATCCAGGCGAGTTTAACTATTTTACTGGATGGTTTTTTGTACTTGACATGTATATATTTTCCAGTTGCTTGTCACATGTGTCACTAGGCTAAATGTAGAAACTTCTTATTGAAAGCGTTCAAAGAGTCATACCCCTACCTAATGTTCCATAAGCTTATATCTTTAAAACTTTTCCCGGACATGTTTACTATTTTTAAATTGTCACGCCTCACCAACCTGCATGTTAACCTGGTCCTAGTTTGTATAATAATTCAAACACTCATATTCATCACAAAAAGCTTCATCAATAAATAGTTTGAAATATTAACGGGTTTACTTTATAATAACTGTCGAGATGTGTAGTCCTCATGTTTATTTTTTTACATGTTCATTGTTAAATAGTACAGTCGTAAACACTCAGAGCGAAACTCCACCATTGAACCATAGCAGATAAGGAACGTGGCAGAAAATTTCTAAGATGATAAGTAAACTTTAAAGTTTCATGATATTTAATGGTAATATTGGACATCTTTTCGAGCAAATAATTATGAAGTCGTCTAACGGTCATAATACTTCCCGCTGTGATTGTGATTACTTTCTAAAGCAATAACAGTTTATTGCTCTCTTGTAGGCAGTGTAATGAAGCAATATCTCTTAGCATGAGCTTATTTGTAATAGCCAAGAAGGGTAAAATCACCCTGATACACCCCAATACGCTTATGATCATCAGTCACTTATCACATCCTGGAAAATAGTAAATGTAACCCAGCAGGTATGTGTGATAAATTGTAGAAAGATAATAAATGACACGGCGATAATATAACTAACTAGTTAACTGTGTGATATCTACAGTCTATCACTTAATATTTATTGAGTGTTGGTCGTCATTAGCCGTACCGTTAAAAGCATCAAACGCTCAATGGATTAGTAATCTTCTGTCAGACTGTGGAAACTAAATCTACATTTTTTATTTTACAGGAATATCAAAATTTTATTCCTATGGCAGGCGATTCTAGAATGAATCTAACGTACCAATCTTAGTTAGGCAGTTGAGAGCCAGCCGAAAACTTCTAATTCAGATTAAACAATAATGACTAAATTATTCATTTACCTCCTTAGTTTGCTTAGGAATTAAATTTCATAATGTTTCAGATTGATTATTCAAAGGTTTTTCCTCCTAACTGGAGACTGTACATAACCTTTGTTCCTGATATGTGGTAATGAATCAACTATAACCACCTTTAAGCCATTTTTATTTATTTTGATTGAAAAGTAAATAAAGTTCCAATAATGTATCTATTTTCTTCGTAAAAATTGACGTATTGAACAATGATGTTTCAGGAATAAGTTATCTTGCACAATGAACCTCATAGAAAAATGGAGATTGACGAGTAGATTTAACGTGCAGAACTAGTAAGAATTGTCTTTACCTACATCAGAAAAGCATTTTATAAGGTGCATAATGGTTAACTCCTCTTTAAGGTGAATGGTTTGAGAATTTCTCAGCCTCATTTAAAGTGGATGGTGGACTTTCCGTAGTTCATAGACAAAAAGTAAGAATAAATTACAAATGTTCCTAGATGGAAAGAAGTAGTAGTGTTGTGACTATGTGCACTGTTATGTCCCTCGCTTTTTATACAACATGTACCTGAGGTTCCCTGCATTTCCCTGTTTTCAGTGCTATTTTATGTGTGTGACGTCCAAACCTGAGAGACGGACCATAGTTCAATATGATTCCCTATCAGTCATGAACCTCAAATACAAATTTGGCACCCCTCTCAGTCTGCAGAAGAGAAACGACAGAATGCCTTGGATAGAGTTAAACAGATAGTTGTCGAGTATCTGTTGATAGGATGGGTCGGCTAAGTACTCAACAGTTATCATGGATAGTCTATAATCCGAGAAAGAAGTTTTACAAACAGATAATTTAGTATTGTAACCTACTAACTAGTATTTGCGCGCGTTGATGAGTAGATTGTGTTGTACCAGATCTATACCAATGATCGGCACAGGAAATTCAACAGTAACAAAAATCCAATGAAAGGGTTTGCGTAAACACAAGATAAGACACACATAACGTTTATTGCATATGGCGTCAGTACCGACGAGATAGCGAACTTTCATCATCACATAAGTGGTGTATAACAGACGGATATGCTCGCCGGCTAAGGCTACCGTTAGAGCGTGCCGGTGGGGAAGTGTCCCGTGTCGGATGGTTTGGAGCTTGGGAAAATTCAGGATTTTCTTGCAAGTTCTAGAGGACTGACCTTATACATTGTGGTAACAGCATCGATTAAGATTAGCTGTCTCTTGTAGTCCTGAAACAGATCACTTATATGACAAGCTTCTTCAAGTAGTTTGGGAGCTTCTACGATTATGATGAATGTTAAGATAACTAGTGAGTGTATGACAGAGATATGCAACGTCGTTTTATGTCGTTTAAAGCTTTTCTTTGACAGAATAAACATCGGTACCAGTGTTTCTGATGATTTCCAGAGTTCGATCTGCAGATGTAGCCGAGACAGGAACGGATACACCAATTAGGGAAGCTTAGACAAGACAGTCTGTCCAAACAAGCTGTCGTCAAGGGCCTGTCGACCAATCACAGCTCGCATTCGTCGCAACATTTCCGTTTCTGAGACGTGCTGTTGTGGGAAAGCTGGTCTAAATTTTGTTAGTCGGCTAGGTCTTCATCGAAGTGTCGAAAGGTTCTGAAAAACCACTAGTGAACGTATTGGTTTGACTTGCCTGTTACGATTCCGCATTATTCTGTTCACTACCGCGGGGAACTGTGAAAGCGTGGTTATCACACCGTGTTTGTGGAAGTCTGCTTCTCTGTAGCAGAACCAGGCTTCTATTTATCGGGGCAGAATGGCATGAGTTGAAGGGTGGGGGGCTAAATAGTCTTAATCTTGAATAGTTTAGGAGTTTGTTCCTTCATAATAAGGATGAAATATACCGAAGGGCGAAAAATCATCCGGAAATATAAAAAATATAACTAAATGTAAAAATGGAAACTAAAAAACGATATATAATGCTCCAACATGTGACAGACCCACAGTTTAAGTTTGATGTGCCAGATCATGTCAGGCTTAGCACCAGATATGTCACACTTATCCAGAGTTTGACAACGCCTTTACAAGTAATATCTTTATCATCGAGGTATACAGACCCAGGTAGATCGGGAACCAGAAATGAGGTGGTTCAAAGATATATTTTGAAAGCTATCTATACGTTGAGAAGCTTCAGGTTTAAGCTGCCTAGAAGCTGCAAAGGATGCGTAGCGCGGCGAACCCATTCGTGATTTGATGCGGATGCACGGCCGAGTGCCTTCAGCCAGAGCGTATCCTTTGAAACTAATGATGTCAGCATTAATGTTGGAGACATACAAACCTATTTATTTTGGGAATTAATTTACCGCTACAGTGAACTCAACTTCAAACCTTACGAAAAACACTTCACACTATTGTTCCTTCATTCATTAAAGGATAAGAATTTCGAAGGTGGTTTTCTTATTACTTTCATCATCCTAAACAATCCTAGGCTACTCTTAAATACCCATTTAGCCTCAGTACTAACACAAATCCTGAGGGTAACACTCGGCAACTAGAGACAAAACATTGCGAACTTAACTGTAGGCATATCATCTACTCATTACGAGTAGTCGGATTCTTGAATTTGCTGCCAAGGAGTCCTTTGAGAGAATACTAGATATATTCTTAGGTATTCATGACAGTATCTCGCAATAATTTACTAATATTTCTGTTTTTGTGGTTATGTATGCCAAAGTTCATACCTGCCACTGCCGTAAGATTTTAAAGCCCGTTGTGCGAAAGTTTCTTCTGTTCCGTTCAGAACCATATGAACTATTTGTATACAAGTTCGTTTTGAAAATATTGGATATTGAAGTTGAAGGTGATACTAACGTGGGATGTAGGGTTTGTTGCGTTATATTGTGATACCTCGTAGTTTTGTGATCTGGGTAAATGTCTGGGGTTCTATTCATGCCAAAAATTTACTACCGAGTGATTAGTTTTTAAAACGTTAAACACCTTTTCAGACTAACGCGTCAATCGTATTGATACGTAGTTTTCTTGTATATATGAAATATCGAAATTAAATGTTTCTAGGTTTTACAAGTAAAACTGTGTATGATGCTACTGCACACTGCGTTGTTCCTAATTTTGCTCAAGCAGGTGTTATTTCTTGCAGATCTAATGTGCTCACTACTCCATTAGTCGTAAAAATCTTCCGGATACACATTTAAAATTGCGTTCTAGGGAATCAGGTTTCTGGTTGTTCTGTTTTTGACAATCGCCTTGTCCCGGGTAAGTCTCTTAAACTGATGGAGGACTGAACTGCTGTTGACTAAACATGCACTACGCCTTTTTGAGAAAACCAATTGTGTTTCTGTCCTCAAGTGTTGTTGAGCACAACTAATCTAATACCACATATCATAGATAAATCAACAAGGCTCTCTTCCCATGATGTTTCAAAGCCCAATGACGCAGTCTTGTCTAAAATGGGGTACTATTGAAAAATCTATTGTACTAGTGAAATGTGTTTACTAAAACTTTTCATGAACGTGTCACATCTGGGTTGGTTCACTCTTATCAGCGCAGTTATTCCTTATATTACTTCTTTTTGTTGTAATATCGTATTATCTATTGTAAATGTTCGATTTGTCACTTTTCCATGTTTTAGATAGAATGAAACTTAAACTTCAAAACCAGTAAGAATGATTATTTTCGTTTAGCTTATTACATTTTAATACTGTCCATTTTAAAATTATTAAGTTTATCAGGAACCATTTATTCTACGCATCTGAAGGGTGCTTTCACCTTCTAAATAGGGGGTAAAGTGTTTATGACCTCAGCATCTAAACTACAGTTTAACCACTTCTTAACAATTGGTCAATTCAGTTTTTGAAATGTGATTCTTGAAATCAAGGTTGTATTTATATACATATATGTCGTTTTTAATTGTCTGTTTTCATTTTACTACAAAATTTACTAGCATTATTAGCTTACCGTCGTCGATCACCAGGGGTTCTATCTTTTCTTCGTTGAGCTTAGGGAAATAACACTTATCTTCTGTTGTTCAGTTATGTGAAGAGAATCAAATGCTCATAGTTGTGGTTAAACAAAGTGCTCAACCTACTTAGCTTTATTGTCACGTCATTATGGAGGCCTCAGGAGAGTTTTACGTTTACGAGGTAATTAGAACAGCATATTAAATATGTCATTCAGGTAAAACCTGGAGATTCACTGTCGGCTATCGCTGCCCAGTTGGGTTTTGTAACCCCTACTCAGATTGCTAGAGCCAATCATTTACCCCTCATGAGTTATGGCCTCCCTCCCGTTCTTCCTGGTCAACGTTTAATTATTCCAACAGCCGCACGTGCAAATTACAGTGTAAGTTTATTATAATCTTTTTTGGAGTGTAATGATTGACTTTGCTTATAAATGGTCATTAAAATATAGTACTAATTGAAAAATAAGGAAAATTAATAGTATTGTTTTTAATGCTATATATGAACATCCATACTCTAACGAGCACGCTAAATTTAGGTTTATTAGGAAATGCTTTAATTAAACCTTAGAAATCAATGAATCGTGTCTGTTTTAATGGATTTCATGAATAATTTATTAGTTGAATAAATAAAAAGTTTATGATCAACTGGGCATCCATATATAAATCAATAGAACTGTAAGTTAGTTCAATGAGATTCATTTGTATGTAGAATTTCTTAGTTTGCTTGAAAAAGTCTCACATTAAAACTTATCGCAATCGCATCCTGAGCTCGGTTTTTGTTGTTAAACAGTTTCACACAAAGTTCCACTGCTATTACATTGAGCACAGAATAGATGAAGTGTTTATCATCACTTTTAGTTTATAAAGGAATTTATTACTTCTGTTACTCCTCGTGGAGGAGCGTAGACCGTTCACCAGCATTCTCTATCCGACACTGTCCATTCGTGTCCAGTTGCTATTCATCTCTTTGATGCCTGCTTTAGTCTTCCTCTTTTCAGTTTCCCTTCAGGATTCCGAGTTAGTGCTTGCCTTGTGATGCAGTCTGGTGATTTCTGTAATGTATGTTCTTTCCACTTTCAACGTCTTATCCTTATTTCCTCTTCATCTGGAAGCTGGTTTGTTCTCTCCTACAGTAGGCTGTTGCTGACGCTATCCGGCCAACGGAAATTAAGTATCATGTGTAGACAATTGTTGATAAATACTTATACATTTTAATGATGATTGTGGTAGTTCTCCAGGCTTCAACTCCGTACAGTAGAAGTTTTGACGTTCGTATTGAGGATCCCGACTTTGATATTGACTTGCAGTTAGTTGTTTTAAGTTCTGTATATTTCTCAACTGTAGGAACGCTGCCCCTGCTTTGTCAATTCTTTCCTTTACGTCTGCATCGGATCCTCCTCGTTCATCGATGATGATGACCATTCAGGAACGTGAAAGATTCCACATCATCCAGAGCTTCTCCATCAAGTGTGATTGGGTTGGCACTCTCCGTGTTTTTATTGAGGATCTTGGTTTTCCCCTTGTGTATGTTGAGGCCTGCTGGTGCAGAGGCTGCTGCTACACTAGTTGTCTTCATCTGCATTTGTTGCTGTGTATATGAGATGGAAGAACCAGATCATCTGCGAAGTCCAAACCGTTTAGTTAGATCTAAGCTGTCTATTGTATTTCGTGCTTCCCCTCAAATGTTTGTCTCCATAATCAAGGCAACGACTAGAAAATGGAGGGAGGGTGAGGGTAAGCAGCCTTGTCTGCCTCCGACCTTTATTTGGAATGCGTCTGTCAGCTGTCCTCCATACACGACTTTGCACTGTAGTCCGTCGTATGAGTTTTGAATAATGTCGACAATCTTCTCAGGAACTACATAGTATCGAAGAAGTTTCCATAAAGTTCTCCTATCTACACTGTCAAATACCTTTTTCATAATTAATGAAGTTGATGTACAGTGACGAGTTCCACTCAATTGATTGTTCGACGATGATCCGTAGTGTCGCAATTTGGTCTGTGAACGACCGATCCTTACGGAATCCAGCCTGTTGATCTCGAAGTTGGGCGTCTACTGTGTCTTTCATCTGATTCATCTACACTATGTTGAAAACTTCCCCTGATACTGACAGTAGTGCGATGCCTCTTTATTTTCCACATTTGCTCAGATCTCTTTTCTTTGATGTCTTGATGAGGAATCATTCTCTCCAGTCCGTCTACACATTTGCTTCCTCCGAATCTTCCTGAATAGAAAGTGAAGTATACTTGCAGTTCTATGTCTGACATGATAGTTTCAGCTGGTATATTGTCAGGTCCTACTGCTTTCCCACTCCTGATTCATCTGATGATCGACCATCCTGGTTTCTTGGATTGTTGGTGGATTGAAATCTGTAGGAAGGTTTGTATGTGCTGCTTGGATGTCCGGTGGATTCAATGGAGCTGACCTATTCGAGAGTTCCTTAAAGTGTTCTTCCCATCTGTTCCTCTGTTCTTGAATCTCAGTGATTGTCTTGCCTTTTTTGTTCTTGACCGTTTCCTCTGGTTTACTATATATCCCTACTAGTTTCTTCGTTGTGTCACATAGTTGTTTGATATTTCCTTCTGTTGCAGCTTTTACCGCTGTCGCTGCTAGGCCGTCCATATATTTCTGCTCGTCAGCTCTAATGCTTCTCACTTGCTTGTTTGCTTCTATGTATTCGGTTTGTGCCTTGACTTTCTCTGCTCGTGTTCGGCTGTTGTTAATCGCTACCTTCTTTTTCCTTTCTCGAATCTTGTCTAGGGTTTCGACAGAGATCCATTCTTTATGATGATGCTTCTTCCTACCCAGAACCTCCTGACACACTGAAGTAGGTGCTTTTTTGATCCCACTCCGGTTGCCCTCTATCTTACTTTCTTCTTTCAGCAGATCCTGTAAGGCTTGGGACCTTTTGCTGCGAGCTTTCTTGAATTCGTTGAGTTTGTTAGCATCTCGAAGAAAAGCTGTACTAAACCTTAGTACTGCTGCTTGTCCAGTTGTCTATTGCTTCTTTAGCTTCAGTTTGATCTTGGCCACAACCGAGTGGTGATCTGTTAACTCCTCTCTCTCCTGGTTCTCACATCTTCCATCGACCTTCTTAATTTTTTAGTAATGCAAATATGATCGGTTTCCTGAAGCTAACCTTTTCTGTTCAGCTTGGGTTCAATGGGTTTCACTTAGTCTGAACGCCATCAAGTTGTGTCTCCTGATTTCCACAACTATTTGATTGATCCTCCCGGTCTCCCACATTGTCTGAACATTCCATGTACTTGTGTTGATTGTTGCTGTGGTTGTTAGAAGGGTAATCGGCCTTGTGACTTCCGAAGAATCTGGGCTTCCATCATGAGGCTTGATAATTGTTCTGAATGAAGATCGTCTGACTCGGAGAGCAGAGTTTAAATGGTTAATTCTGGTTAGTGCTTTTAGCAAGGCTGTTTTCTACGGGATGGATTTTCCGACTTTATGCCCAGCCTTCCTACCTCACTCGTGCTTGAGACCGATAGTAACCCGTAGAAGAGCTACAGGCGGGGTTAAAGGAATTTATTGGGACATCTGAAATCGTAAGATATTTGCACGAATATGTATAAATTCACAAAAACGTTGAAGTCCAACCAATTTAAAGTGATTATATTCTTTACAGTTGATTCACCACTTCCTTTTATTTATCCTTTTGAATTCCTCTTTATGTACAACTAAACAGAAAGGGGATTTATGGAGATTGTAGTATTTTAATAGATGAATTCATGGGCCGATTGAAGCTAGACCACCATGGAAAACCTGGAAGCACTGGACGGCTGTTTCGTCATAGTATGGGACCCCTTAGCAGTGCGCACCCACAATCCACACGCGGGGCTCGAACCCAGGATCTTCGGTCCCAACAACCTAAACCAACTGACATTTTCATCAGATCTTACACCTTATTGAATCACCTAGTCAGTAAAGTTGGTCATAGTGTCAGGTCGTTGCTTTTATATTTTTATCTCTTAAATTTCTTTTAATTAGATTTCTTATCTGAAATAATCTTCCTGAGTGAATATTCAGCACATACGCAAAATAATACAAACATCTCATCAATAAATTCCGATCATTTAACTGAATAGCGACTTTCTCTTAAGAAGCACCGCGAGTCAAACCCTGTTATTTTTGGTGTGATTTTTTCACCAGCATTAGTGGTCAAACCTTTTCTCCCTCATTTTTATGCAGGTGCATTTTGTAGGATTACATACTATTGTCCTGATTGTTTTGTCTGCTCTGCACTTTTCAATTGCTGATCAGGCTTATGGCTTTTTGAGCTGTTACATTATATTTTCGTACATGGTTTAATCAACCACAAACAAATACTTTCCATTAAATGTTTTCGATAACTAGTTAAAATGCAGTTAAGCATACAATCATATTCATATGAATATTTTACGTTTTAATATAGGTTCCTCATTTAACTAAAGAGATTTACATATCTTTCATCTGAACTAAAAATGATGGTTTCATACCCATACGAGCATTACAGTTAGGTAATATTTTAAAACAGATTTCACTCAGGGTTCAGCATAAGAAGGTAATTTTCATACATTTCATCCTTTATTTTGTAATTCCAGTCAACTAAAATAAAGCATCTTCCTGGTGTTGCGTTGCGCGTAGAAGATATGGACAAGCAAAGTGTTGATACTACAAGTACTGGATTTCTAGCTGTTCAACCCTTCTTTTATACAACACGTGTTTTGAATCCTAATAAATCCTATCCCATTGATGATGATGCCCTAGAACGCCAATTTGTTAAAGTGAATGCCCTTCGTATTCTAGAAAGTCTTGATGTAAGTTTTACTAGGATCCAAATGTTTATTTTTTTGTTATATGGCTGAATACCTCATTACTGTTGATGTGCTCTTAAGAATTCGTAGTCCTAGGAATTTTCATCAATGGTAATCTAGAAATCATGTCTGTTGTTTATAAAAAGAAGTGCTAGTTGTAAGTTATGAAGAAATGGGATACGGCGGAGTGTTAAATCAATCCCCTAACATCTGGAATATTAACTGGAACTTCATTGTAATTCGATATCGATCTCATCTTTTTTACAATCTATTATGTTTGCTACGCTATTTTATACGTGATGGTAATTCATGACTCCAGATAATTGGACTCGATTAGTGGGCACTAAATAACTAGGGTTTAATATCTATTTTCATTCATTATGAAAGCTTACAGTCTTATGGATGCTCATTATCCTCTCGAAATTAAAAGTCCTGTCATTCAATGTCATAGCTCAAGGTTCTAAGATTAAGCTGCTTGATTCATGGTGGAACTCTTCAGTAGTAGATCATTTATCTAAACTGGTTGTATGACTATTGCCCAGTCATCCACCTCAGTGGTTATATTTAACTTTTAGCTATCAAACTTTCATCAGAAATAAACATCTAAAATTTATCATCTGGTTCCTGATTTAATATTAATAATTAGTGTATAATAGCAGCATATCGACTAAACAAAAATCGTTCTTTTATTTATACTGTCTAATATCGAAGTTTTTGGATTGTATCTATGGTTTTTTATCTCTCTTTTCTCTAGAACTTGATAGATGGTGTTTTGTTGGTCACACCTGAATCTTTATGTTTCGACGCAAGTCAAACTGCAGTAGCACAAAAACAGGCTTATATAGCTTCTCATTCTGAATTATCTTCAAGTGATTATAACATTGATGCTACTCATGACAAAATGATTGGATTACGTTATGACTCTGACAATAAATCATCCACCTGCCATGATAATAATGTTGAGTTTTCTTGTTGTCATATTCCTCAAGAACTACTAAATTTAGGATTATGCATTCCATTAGATTCAATCATTGCTATGAAAACGCTTGTTGAAAACGATGTTATACGTATTTTCAAGTTAGTGTTTGTTTATATGCCTTAATTGTTGCCACTTTCATACCACGTACTTATTATATTTAAATAAAATAATAAGTCATAAGGGACATAAAGTTCAAAGTACAAAACCACAGTTTAAATCTCTTGTATTATTATTATTATTATTATTATTATTATTATTATTATTATTTTAACACATAGGTATTGGTACAAAGAGGGACCAAATACATATGCGCCACACAAATCTCATTTGATATGTGTGAGGGCTGTGATACTGCCCGGGTGCCCAAACCGAAGCAGGTGGTTTTCTTAGGGGCCACACCCCGAGCCTTCGACCTGAACGTCTGACCCACAAGGCATTGGGGCATCGTGAGGAGATGCAGTCCCATGGAAGCCGGTGACCAACGATTGGTTCATACGCCATTTGTTCCATCAGGATACTGGAGCCCATGTGCACCATAGAATTGGGATCCGGTTATAGCGCCGGACGTTCGCTTTTCGTCCTCTCAATTTCGTAAATAACACTCCCGTCACGAGAAGGCAGTAAGTAGGACTTCCCTGGCAGAGGCTATATACGCGTGGTCATGTGAGAGCATTTCGAGAGGGAGAGCGGACTCTCCACACTCTCGGCCGTACCAGGACATTTGGGGGCTTAAATCTCTTGTATGAAATAAATACTCCTAAACCGAAGTAGATAGAATAGATGTGAACCTTTAATCATATGATTGTTGGTTGGTTACTTTATTCCAATAGACCATAGAAATGAAAATTTAGAGTTCTCTGTCGTTATTTCATTTTGTACAGTATCTGACACAAATATTTATTAGCTCAAGCCACATAGTTCAATTCACATAGACACAACAATGATAGATTGACAAGACAAAAAAATAGAATATTAGATTTAGTTATTCTAATAGTAACAGGACACTAAACAAGCCATAAAGACAAAATATATGAATCGAAATAGTGAGGGAATAAAAGGAAGTAGAATGATTATCGTGTCTTAGATTTAGAGAACTATATTTTAGCTATATCATTAGATTTAATCTTCAAGCTTATGTGGTGTAACTACTAAGATAAATGCTTGACTATCGGGATTGTGACAAAAAATGATTCAAAGTATGACATATCGTGTTACAATTTCAATATGTTTTCATTTTTATTGTTCATACTAACATTTCATTGACAGTATTCATTCAAGTTTAAATAATTTTTATGTCATTATGCACCAGTAAATAAAATCCGTATTTAATCTTCACCCAAAGCAGTTGTAGGCGAAAAATATATGAAGTTAAAGCTTAAATATCTATATGATTGTTTATTTACTCTACGTTTCTTCATTGACCTTGTAAATATCATATATAGCTGTCCAACCAATCTAAAATAAATATAGGTTTCTTTGATGTTAAAAATTGATGTGGAACTCAACAGTCAAGTATAGATTTTTGCAATCACCTTTTGAGTTACATCCTTTAGACTAAAAGTCAAGTGCTATCTAATAAAGGTGTAATTATGCGAATTGTGGACACATATTCAAAAAATAATCATTAACACATGGACCGAGGATGCTTTCATTTCTTCATTTTACCAATATTACGGTATATAATGATTATTGAGCGATCTCATTGAGGCCTTGAATATTAAACATGTTTTATTATCTTTCATTTAAACTTCTTTGTTTTGTAATGTTCGTAGTTCTTTTCTACTGCTGTCATTATTATTCACTCTTTCTTCGCCTTGCTATGTTTTCCCCAAAGCTAACAACTTGGAACTGTGTGCTTTTTTTGACAAATTTATTCTTGGATTTCCAAGCTCAATATTTTAAGCGAACAATCATGCTCTTTTCCTGAGAAGTGCGTCACTTCTAATTGATTTCAACAGATAAGGTCTCAGAATTCTTAGTAAAATTAACATTGTAAGAGAGTAGTTCAGATAGCAGTAGTAGTAATTGTACTAGTAGCCTTAAATGACTAGTTTAGATTTCGTCTATTTTTTCTTTTCTTTTCTTGAATATGTCATCGCTAAGAATTAAATCAGATTGTTTTAATTATACGGATTTATAAATATAAAACTGACTTGTATTGTCATAATACTCCAGCTATACTATTTCTACTTCAAAATTTGTTTCAATAGAGATTTCTGTCTATTTCTAGGTGTGTATACTTGTATTATAAAAACGGTAACGAAAAATATTTAAAACAAAAATTTCAAGCTATGTGATAACTGTTTATCAACCGATCAGTTAATAACTGTGTTGTACGAACTTTATATAAATACAAAGACGTGTTTGTTTCGCAGAATTGATATCACTTTAGTAATGTCTAAAAATCTCAAACTTATAAGATAATAAAATACAATAATTAATCTTTAAGGTCAGAAGGGGTTTTGTAGATATTATGGTAATTTTAATAGTTGAGATCATGAGTCAATTGAAGGTAGACCACTATGGAAAACATGAAAGCACTGGACAGCCGTCTCGTCCTACTGTGGGACTCCTCAGCATACTTTTAGTATTATTTATTTATTTTAACACATAGATATTAGTACAAGGAGGCACCAAATACATATACGCCACACAGATCTCATTTGATATGTGTGAGGGCTGTGATACTGCAACAGAAACGAGATATATGAAAGAAAAACCTCAATAAAGTTTATTAAACAATAAATTGTTCAGTAGCCTTTATCTGGCTGTTTGTATAGTTTGACTTCTGTCGATGAACTCTATGTATCTATAAACCTGCTCTCAGCGCTATACATCTACTTTTACTCTTTTATATTTGTGGAAAGATCTTGAAGATTCCCCTGAAAGAAGCTATATACGATTAATCGTTTGAAAGGAAATCGAGAGGTAAAGTAAAACTTTAAGCTGTACCGCTACATTTTAGCATTGTTAATAATAGTGCACTACTGGGCAATTTCAAATGAATAAGTCTTTGTTTTACTTTTACTCGTCACTAGTTTACTGATTTGGGAAATAGTCTTAGGACACGCTGAAGTTCGTTGGGTTGTCTCTTCCGTAGGCTGATAAAACACATCCTGATGTTTATAGATGAATCTAAAATTTTTGAATTGTTCATTTCCTTACTTTCTGACCTAAATTTATCGCTATAAGAATTTGCCACCTTTTTTTGTAGGTCCGAATGTAACGATAAAATAAATTCATTATCCAACTCAACTTTGGAAAATGAAAAGACAGAAGAACATATCAATGTACAAAGTACAAATGAAAATACGAAGTCAACTGATGAAAATACTGGCAAGTTTTCCATTTTCATATTGTCAACAAAAGTCCAGTTTTTACCTAAACAAATGAATAAAAAAATATTTCATAGTAAAATACTATAAATTCATTTGAGCACATTGGTAAATCACTTAAAATCTGTATCAATAAAGTGGGGTTAGATAGTTGCCCCAACACTATGGAGTGGGATACTACGATGCCATGAACCAATTTGATTTTATTGTTGTAAGATGACATGGTATCTTAATTAAAGAAGCACTTTATTTCTTCATTTATGTGTTTTTGATTATAATTCTGTAAGTAGATTTATTTCAAACCATACTATATTCATAATTTTAGTCATATGATGAAAATATTATGTATAGTTTTCCAATCTTTGTAAGTTGAATTTTCAACCATTTGTCTAAAGGTCGTTTGTACAATCACTAACATACTACATGATTAATAATAACAAAGTTGTGTGATATCTTTGTAACCGTTAAAATATGTATGTATATACATATTGATAGGGTTTTAGTTAAGTAAATATGGATTATGGACAGTAAATTCATAAGTGATTTTTTCTGCTGAAAAAATTAGGAATAAATAACTCAACGAAACTAACACAGAAGGTGGTCATTGAATATGTAATCAATTCTCTTACTTCACCTCATATACTTATCACCATTAACAGTTGACTTCATTGTATTCGACTATGGGGCTCCTATTCATCTATCAATTTGTCTGTTTGATAGAGATCATTTTAAAAGTTTAATGGGTATAAATGAGAGATCGCGATGTTTTGATTGTAATGTATAGATTTAAATTAACGTTTCCTTATTTAAAACTTTGAATAACTGAAATTAAAACAAAAACACTGATTAGTATGGACAACTAGTAAATTGAGAATTTATCATGAATGCTGTTTTGCTTTTATAGTTTGTAATAAGATTTTATGGGATGTATTTCGTTAAAAAAACTATTAATGAACATTGTTAAGTAATTCCTAGGTAGGATAGAATATTATTCATGAGTCTATCTAAATTAGACAATCATTGAAAACCTAAAAGAACTGGACGGCCGTCTCGTTATTATTATAAGAACCATTTCATTTTTTTAAAGTTTAGTGAAATTCTTTAATAAATATATCTAATCTAGTAAAACAACTGAGCATTGGTAAGGTTTCACGTCAAAATCCATCGAGCAAGTATTTTTCGTAACCAATAAAATTTTAAAACTTCCATTGTATATTCATTCAGATTGCCTATCCTATTTTTGAAGTATGCGATTGAAAATTAAATTTTTATCTGTAGTAAAATTCTTTTTTCTTCCTTTCTAATTATTCAGATAACCAGCGAAATAATTCCAATTTACCCAGTAATCATGATAAGGAACAGCCTGACGAAACTAGTAAATCAATTATAAACGACAATTCCGTTGGTCTCTCCGATAACACGTATGCTGTCAATATTGATGAACGATTGAAAACTCCTGAAATTGAGACAACTTTGTCAACATCATCATCACCTCACCAACTACCAACAACATCTTTAGAAACATTGAGTACATCTGAAAGTCAATTATTACAAAAGGAAAGTAACAGTGAAGACAAAAACGTAACTAACGTTACAAGCGATTTATATTTGAGAATCACTGTAATTGGAGATATAACTCATATATTTCGTCTTGCTGTTGATTGGTAAGCAAAAGTCCTCTCAGTGATTACAGCAACTTGTTGATAATCAGTATACAATATCTTGCTCATTTGTCTTTATGTTATCAACTGAACCATCTAGTATATTTTTGAGCTACGTTTTGGACTACGAATGATTTATTAGTTAGAAGGTTGGAGTTAGTCAACTAGAAACCCCGCTTGACCTAGGTTTCGTGCTATTTAATAGTCTTCAAGGCGTGTCTGTACTCTTGAGGAAACTGATTGTGGGTCCCAACGTGTGGTACTCAACCTCACAGTTCTAAACGGTACAGCTGTGACTGAGCTCCTGTAGGGCTGAAGTACTTACAACTGACTGGTGACGGAATAGTGACTAATGTTGTGTTAGTGTAGACTTTTAATGCTGATCGAATCCCTCATATTCTATTATATTAACAGATATCTTAGAATGTCAATTATTAAATTAAGTATCAAGTTGTTGAACCGTCTTTTATTATAATAATCATTTTTATGAATTCGTCTTAATTTACCTCTATATAGTTCTACGATTTTAGTATTTTTAACTAACAAACATACCTAGATATAGGTTATAGAAAGTAGGACTGTTCTGTGTACGATCATTGAGTTGTATTTGGAAGACTTCTCAACGTGTAACAGATCAATAAATTAACGTGAACTTTCACGTTCAAATTAACTTGTCCCACTTTTCAATTTTCTACCAACGGAGTTCAATGATGTTAGGCATGAACCTATATATAACCAATTGTCATAAATAATAGTCATACAGTGTTGAGTACCGGTTGATATTACAAAATGAACCATTCAACGTCGATCCAGTGATCAAGAGTAAATACTTTCACCACTTAGCCTGAATGGTTCTGGGTACTGTCGGCGGTTGAGTAGTCAGTGCTAACCTAATAAATCCCATACTAGGGTGAAACAACTATTCACTGCCTCCCTCTGGTTTTCAGTGGTCGCCTAGCTAAAGTTAATCCATCACGTAAATTAAAAGACAGTTTATTACATACCTAGATTTTTTTAAATCTTTGAAATGGTCATTTAAACAATGCATTCATTGATTAAACCATTTTAAAAAGCATTAGACTCATTTTGGTATTATCTATTGCAGATATTAGTAGAAACATTTCTCGGAAAAATCGTTGCCATGACCTTAACTTCTTTCATACATACATATTTACCTACCTACCTACATACATACATATACATATGCATATTTTGAAGTTTTAAACTACCTAGTTTTATAAACAAACATTATAGTTCTATAGTTATGTATTGTACTGTGCAGGTAAAATTTTAAATTTAAATTATTTCACATAATTATAAGCTTTTACCGTGAAATCTTAGCTCCATAAAAGTAGAATGTAAAAACGTTGACAAGAATCACAAAGCTAAGTGTCATTCTAGTTTGATTGAAATGATAAGAGTTTCTTGACTCAAGATTCATCGGCTTACTCACTTTTGCTTTTTTACGCCTACATCGTTGAAATCTATTTGACTCGGTAAAAATGACTAACAGAATATACAGTCTTTTAGACATCTACGAACTAATTCTTTCTCCCTGTATTATATCCTTATATGCAGTCTTTCTTTTACATATTACTACCATTAAAGTAACTACTTCTATGAATTTGGTGATCATCTTGTCGTGCTAATGAGGCGTGGCAACTTGGACAAATACACATATGTGCCTGGTCCTACGTTGTAGCTGACTGAGTGAAACATATTCGATAAAAATGTTTGGTTATTTTACACCCTTACCAATCAGTGTTTCATACTGACTTGGATTGCCTATAATTCGAGAATTAGATGATAACTTAAGTGAATTTTCCAGTCATTTCATCTACATTCGATTAATTAATTGGCCTTAGTAAAACTTAAATGAGCGATATCTTGATCAGCATAAAACATGTTTTTTCATCACTGGAACAATTGAGCCGTTTTTAATGCCGATAAATTATGTGAATACCTTTTGGTCATTGAAACCATTTTTAAAGGTGGAAAACAGGAAAGGACAAACATAGATTACTTGGGTATTGAGTATTAAGCTAAGACGATTGATTAATATCAATCCCGGCTTGATGTTCATTTAGGGTCCTTCAAACTCCAGTGTTTTGTTTATTTATTTAAACTCATAAATATTGGTGTAAGGAGCCACCAAATATATATGCGCCACACAAATCGTCCGATATATGTGAGGGCTATAATACTCCTCAGGCGCCCAAACCTAAGCAGGTAGTTTTATTAAGGGGCCACACCCCGAGCCTTTGACTCAGAATTCTAATCCTCAAGATAGTGGAGCAACGTGAGGAGATGCAGTCCCGTGGTAGTTCGTGACCAACAATATCTTCATACACCATTTGTTCCTTCAGGATTCTGGAGCTCATGTGCACCATTGGTTTGGAATCAGAATTTCCCAACTCCCCTAGATGGATCCTCCATATCCACTAGCCCGGTTAAAGCGTCAAACATTTTCTTTTCATCCTTTCAATTATGTCGATAACACACTTCATTATTTGTTCGTCCTCGAATTCTAATAGACATATAATACTCAATTTATATACTATAGTTTATCTGATCCCTTGGCTACAAATTGTTCTAAAAATTTTTCATTTCATTATTTTCCATAATTCTGCTCTTTATTAGTTTATATATGAAGTTTACTTTTTTCCCGTTAACTACTAATTTGTTTAAATTATCCTACTTCCGTTTGTTTCTCGGAGTATTTTACACTAGGATTCTGAAATTTCTTTAGCAAAATAGCATTCTGTAACGCTGACAGTTTCTGTCAATTTATTTTTAGGATTACATCCTTTGATTATCTGTAAATTTGTGTACATACGCCAGCTTCTACGTTGTGCCTAAATATGCTACGTTTGAAAGAGATCATGATATCATCCAAACCGGCAAACGGAACGAAAGTCAGCGACACAACTACAGGACAAGTTGAACTATCCACTGCATCTCAACTCCAGATTCAGCGAGGGGAAAGTGTATTTCACAAGCAGTTGGAAGCACGAACTAACAAGCATACAACCCAAGCGTATATATACAAAATAAAAAATGTCCTTTAGAAGCGCCACAAAATAGCGTATTAAAAGAGGAAACGAACCAATTATATTTGAGGTTTTTCTAAGTGAGAAATACTAACTGAAGGTTAAAATGGGCTCTTTTTGGTGCGAATATGAGAAATTCAAATTTTAAAGATAAAATTACAAAAATAAGACGTTTACCAAGTGGTTTCTGGGGATCTAGCATTCCCAACAAAATGACTGACTAACACTTTTTAAAATATTTTATCTTTTTTTGTTACTGCTTAACAGCTTAGTTAAAACATTATAATTGGAATTCTACAAATTTCAATCAATCAAATAGATAATGACACTAAATATCACTTGATTTCTAACATATAACTTTTCATTTACATGTTGAGGTTTTAAAAAAAATACTAAATTTAACCAAATGATGAATGTCCTCTGAGAAGGAGAGTGGATGGTGGATTTCCTATGATTCTTTAAAATAGAAATCATTTGTTTCTCATTAATTTTTTAGTGAGTACAACAAAACATAGCCACAGATTGCTTGATGTTAAAAACAGTAAAAATACATTAGTTACTTAGAAAACGTAAAGAAGGATTTCTTTTCTTGCTCTTCAGGACTAGACAATATTTTTCTTTTTTTCTTTTGAAATGTTTTCCTAATGCTGAATATCACCAGTCAATTATCATCTTAATTCTATATTTGTTTGTTTTAATAGCCTTACTCAAGTCTACAGTTTTCTTTTACGTGCTGGTGTAGGCAGTTTAGACAAGCATATAGAAGTTAACAATGATTCTGAACAGATCGTTATTGCAAATTCTGATAAAGTAAGAATTTTATATTGTAATTAGTAAGTATTTTCAAAGGATGTCAAAAGTTCTCTTTGTCTAGTTTACATTTGTATTGTGTTTGGCTTTTCACTAATGTCCAATATATATATATATATATATATATATATATATATATATATATATATATTTCTTCGTTCTGTTTGACGTTTCACGAAGTTCCTAAATGGGAATTTTCACTCTAAATAATCAAATTATTTCACCTCAATTCTTTCATGTATTATGTAAACAATGTTTTTATAATTATTGATTATGCTATTTTATTCAACTCGTATTGTAAATACAAATAAAACCAGTGTTTACAAACAAAGTCGTTGTTAAAATCGATTGAAAATCATGTTGTTATATTTTTCTAGCTTTATAATTCAACAACTTATTACTGTTTTGTTCTGAAACTCTTGAGTGTCCCATTTTTTCAACCTATTATTAGTTGCGATTTCTCTTCATAGGTGACCTTGTTCTATGTTATCGAAGATCATTTGTATTTACAGATATACTGTTTAGTATGATGGATTTTTTTTAAGATAGTGAATTATTTTTGTGTGTGTGTGTGTGACAAACCGTCTTTCTTATCACGTACAATATTGTTCACCAGCTAAATTATTGTTAATTTACACCTTTTTCAGTTTCGGATTTTCACTTTACTGTTGTGAGCATCGATTATGTTTTGTTCTGTTCTGGGAAGTTGATTGAGGAAGTAATAATCTAAGAATGAATCTAACATGACTACTGTAAATCGATCGACCGTTACTAAACGACACTTGATCAAAATACAACCATGTATAGAAATGAGACTAGTCATTATATGAAGATTTCTATATTTCGGAAAAAACAATCATTGAAGTAAACATGAATGATTAAATACAATTTGCGTGACTTTATTAAGTAGTAATAAAATAGTTTGTTGAGTAGTAAACTCAACTTGAACATATTGAAGAAAGAGTTCCAAAAATAATGCATTGTTCTACTAATTTTCTAGTCATGATATATTATATTGTAGGGAATAAGAACACGAGTAGGGACAATCGAATATATTTGACACTAAATTACAGAGCATCTCAATAAAATATGAGAACCATATAGTAACTCGTTAATTTGCAAAATATCAATCCATCATATCAAACTTGACTATTCCTGTTGCAAACATTAATCCATTGTCTCAGATTTCATTGTTCATGCGTTTTCATACCAATTGCGTTTTGTTCCCGTTCTTTCTTTATCAACCTTCTGCTGAAATACATTTTATGCCTGACCACCGTTATATACTATTTGTATAGATATCAGTAACCCACACCACAATATTATAAAAGGTATAAAATAACAATTTCTCAACTAAACCTAACATCATTGTATCAGTAGCCCTTAGGCTTCTATCATATAAAATATAACCCTTATAAAGATTTAATATTTCTGCTGTGATTAAAAAATAAACAAAACAATTGTCATAAAATAAATTTACAATTTCAAATAAATGAACAGTACAAAGTCTAATTGATTAAGTTTTTCTTTGTTTAACCTTTAATAAAAATTATTTATTCATTTATGCATACAAAAAAAAAACAAACAAACAAATGTATTTTGTTCTCATTATTAACACTTCTAGAATGAATTGTAAGATTTTTTTTCTTTTAAAAAAATTATTCATCTCACTTGTGTGATGTGAAAAATATTTTGTTTTAGATTATTTAAATAAAGTTTATTTTAATTTTTCATAATCTCTATGTTTTTTTTGTTGGGGGGGAATTGAGTACCTAGTTCAATTTCTCCTTTCACCATTTATTGATTAAGTTTGTGCACATTAAAAATGAATGAAATGTTCAATAAACTTTTTATTTTCCTGTGATTCATATTTTATTTCTTTTTAATTCCATGTAAAGTTTATCTTATTCACATATATTTATTCTGATTGAAGTGTTTAAGTCGTTAATGAACAGGTCTTGATTATAAAATAACCTCAGCAGTGCGTATCTGCTATCCTGCCTCGCGTGATTCGAACCCAGGACCTATCAGTCTAGCGCGCGAGCGGCTTAACCACTAGACCATTGAGCTGGCTGGCATTCAACGATGTTAATGTCTAACTTCAACTAATCCACGAAATTAAGCGACACATCCAATATTGTTATCAGTGAGTTACGATCTCACAATCTTCAATTGATTCATGATCTCAACTATTGAAATTACTATAATATCCACAAAACCCCTTTCAGATACAAAATAACTGTCAAGGTTTATATGATTTTCATTGATTATATTGAGGAAGACAAAAATAAATTTGTAATCAAAAAAAGTCAAAATTATTCAGTTGTTTTTCCTTACGGCTAGATGAAATAGCTAACTTTTTCCTAGATATAAATGATAAACTTTATTCAGATGAAGAAACTTCAGTAATGGAGATTATACACAGACATTCATTGTTACGCATGATTTTCCTTTCGATTTCGTTTCAGATATATATTTCGTTAGGTACTTTAACGGTTAGTCGTGACGATCCTGTTGAAGAGAAATCATAATTAATGTATCTGAAACAAAAATCAAAAGTAAAATCACCAACGATACCGTGAAAGGTTTCATTCCTGAAATCACAGTTTACAAGTAATGTAACTAGCTAAATAGTAGTTTGACCTACACAAAAAACCTTGGAAATTACATTCAATAAAGTAACATTATATCCTACTTTCCTCAACCGGACGATTGTGATTTTACAAAATAATGATAAATTGTTTGGTTCCTCTGTCTCTCTGAGTGTATTCACAACTTCAACTTCTCTTGCGAAGCTAGTTGCATTAAGCTCACATTTGGACAAATACATTGTCATATTTCTGAACATCACCCATCATAGTTGACAGAAGAAAGTAATAAGAAGTTTTAACTGGAAGCATTTAGTTGACACTGGTCCTCACATAGATGAAACTTCAACATTTAAAGTTATTTACAAAATCCCACAGAACCTTCCCTATGGTTCCAGAATCCAATACTTATAAAAAATCCTAACCCCTGTATGCAGAAAACGTTTATACAGTCTCTGGACTTACGCTGACTATCTACCTAGTTACTATTATGTTTCTCAGAATTTTTCTACACTTCCTATTTCATAAAATTCTAATTTTTAATTTGAATATTACGTAGTGTGTTTAATAATTTGATTATTTAGTCTTCATCACGCTTACTTTACTAATTATTCACAGACAACGCAAACATTTATCTACAGTTTCAGTTGATGTCCTTACTCTTATGTAACTAGTTAAGACAATCAACTGTTTATAAAATTTCCCCTTAGTTTTAATATTGATTTTTGAGTCATGTTATTAGCTGAAGCCTTTATTGCCAAACTAGCTTACCACCATGTATTGGGTATTGATTTTAGATTTATTTCCAAAACTTATGTTTTTATAATGAGCCTTGATGAGGAACTGACTGAAAAAATCTCTGAACATTTAATGTTTCAGCGGGAATATGTCATGGAAATAAATCCTCCAACCTCTGAAAATCTGATTTATTCTTTTTATACTTCACTTTAGGATTTTTCGCAAGTTTATTTACATATTTCGTTTCTTTGGTATTTATGTGATCATATTTATTGTTTTATCATGTTTATATTCTTTATTATTCTTTTGGTCAATAGGAACAGGCATTAGATTCTGATTCTACAGTATGTCATCGTCGTAGTTTAGTTGAAGAAATGTTAGAAAGTCTGGAACAATCCATTCATGTACCAATACTCAATGGTGGTGAAAGCAGAATATTAACTAATGACATGCTAGTAGATGTAAGTTATTAAATGTCTTAATTAGAAGTAGTAATTTTAATCAAATGATTTCTTTTCTTGTTTGTGCTTATTAATGTTTAAATGAAATGATTCATAAGATATTCACACTTAGGTACATTACAGTTGCATATAATCCAGAGAAATTTCTATAACAATATACATGATAACACTGACTTCTGGTGCTTTTCCTGGAACCTCTGAGTCTGTAAATAGTTCATCCTATCAATAAAAAGATGCAAGTAATTGGGGTTGTTATAATAACTGTTTACTTTTATTGTGTTTTCCCTATAACAGATTTCCCCTCTATTTACTTCTATCAGAATGTTTGTTTGCCCTATTATCTGAACAATCAACAGTTACGTTGGTCATGTTGTAAACAAGCTGTTGCTTCTTTCAAACTTTAGATTATCGTAAGATCGTGCAAAATTATACGTTAATTACAACATAATCCATACTTGTAATAATGAGAGGTATTTTATTCGGTTACAGAAGAATTAATATACTCTTTGTGTAAATATGGGTAGAAAATGTTATCGCAAACATTACAATGTTTAGGTGCGTTTACAATTGTTTTCAGAAGCTATCTTAAATTTCAACATTCCTTTACTTTCTAGCTTAGCGTCAACTTCCCTGCACATTGGACTAGTTCTAACTTAAATTCTATCTACAAATCTGAAGATGATGGCTATTGTTTAAACACAGTTTACAGAAAGTGTAAAGATGTTGAAGGTAGTGTTCTATTGCTTATACGTGATACAATGGGCGTTGTATTTGGTGCAGTGATGTCGGAAAAAATGAAATGTAGTAAACATTTTTATGGGACTGGTGAAACATTTGTCTTTCATTGGAAACCAACATTTAAAGTAAGTATTTTATACCTTATTTTATACAGTATTATTATTACATTGTTTATTCAATATTTTATTGGTATATTTTACGACTATGTACATTAAATATTTACTTTAAAATGATCAACAAAACATAACCCAGTCCTAGAACTGGGTTTCACATTATCTGTCAGCAATCAGTAAAATATACTGTGTTCACTTCGTCATTTAAATGTATGCATTAGTCACATGGATTATCACTGTTCTACTTCAGTTATAAATTTAAATCAGCCTAAGTTCACCTTAGCTTTTAAACAAACTCTACTGACGTGTTAAAGATAACTAAGATCAAATATTGTTTTGTGTTGTGAATTCATTATTATAACAACTAAACATATAGACGTAAATTTCTTACTGAAAAAAACTGTAACTATTGTAACTAGTCAGCCTTGTGGATATAAGATAGTATAGGATGAAAGAAGCTAGTGAAATCGTGTTCGAGTTACACTGAAAAGAACAACAGTACAATGCAACAAAATTCAGAGTACGGATTCAAAACGAGACAAAATAAGTGTCATGTATTCTAGTGATAGCCGCTATAAAAGAATTATCATCAAAGTATGTACTGAGAAACGAGTAAAACATTTGGATATATATTTATACAGTTCTCATTAACAAATGCTTCACTTTAACTTTGATATTCCATACGTGAATATTCAAGATTATATATATATATATATATATATATATATATATATATATATATATATAATAAAATGTAATGCATCAGTGTTTATCAGGGGTTCTAGCTTACATAATTTCACTTTAGAGTCCAGATTCTTAACTGTGTGTTTTTTATTATTTACTCCAATGCATCCTTCTATTTCTCGTTGGGAGCTTTTAAATAATGTAGTAATATTATTTAGAATGTACACACATTTGTAGGGATTAAACAATGTATTTCTTACTAGTCATATTTTCATTAAACATCAAACACTGATTTCATGTTATCTGAAAAAAGCTTACTCTAAATTGTTCGAAAAGTTTAGTTTTTTAATGACTGTGTGTAACGTTTCTTTCACATTGTTGAACAATTGGTGTTCAATTTTTTCACTACTTTCCTCCTAATATGGTTTGGCTGAAGTTAGACATTAACACTGTTGTATGCCAGCTCAATGGTCTAGAGGTTAAGTGTTCGCGCGCGAGACCGAAGCACGTGGTTTCGAGTCCCGCATAAATGATCGTGGATGCGCAGTTATAAGGAGTCTCATACTAGGACGAAACGCCTGTGTGGTGCTTCGAGGTTCTCAATGTTGCTCTAACATTGATCCCAAACAAAATTAAATTATCTCCACAACCCTGTATTGATGATCATATCATCATGGTAAAAATAACAAATGGTTTAACAGTTAATCGACATGATTAAAACCAGAATAAGAAATATATAAACATCAATATGGTTATGTAAACGATTATCGGTTCTACCCAAGAGTATCTCATCGATGATCAATTTAATATTGTCATCATTTTTCACTAATTAATTATTATTTTTATCATCAAGGAGTATTTAAGGTTAATTCCTATTGTAGATTAACATCAGTTGGAGTGATATTTAAAAGAAAAGAGTATTAAACTACTAGCGCTGACAAACTAATCAGCGGTTTTTACGTACAGTTCTACATTTAATCGGACCTACATCTTTCAGTTTTCTCATCAAGCGATATTATGCAATGATTATCCAGTGTTATTGACAATATCTGTCTCAGTTTGTGATAATCATCATAAATTCTCATCACAAGTATACAATATTACCAATCGTAAATTATTTCATTTAAATGTTATGTGGTTTAATTCAAACTCGTTCACGCTACTTCTGCAAGTTTATAATTTAATATTATCCCATATTTCTATTCCATTACTACAATTAACATCATGAAAGTACATTGAATTTCTACAAAATTCCTGCGTTTTTTTTTCTAACTACAGAAATATTGTTGGACTAAAAAGAATTATTTTTTTATGCGAGGATCTCTTCATTCATTTCATATTGGCGGTCAAAGGTATGTTTGTTTATTTTTGCAATTATTTTGATATATATATATATATATATATATATATATATATATATATATAGTACAATGCATCTTAAGATGTACTGTTATATAAAGTTTAAGTTTGGCATCTACTGTTTATTGTGTGAAGTTTTAACAAGTTTGAACTGTTTCACCTTGAAAACCTTTTCTTTGAGATCATAGAATGAAATCATTAGAAGAAACTTTGGGAGAAAACTGTTATTCTTTCTAATCGTTATATTTATTATGTTGTTATCGATCTGTTTTACTACTCATCCTGTTAATGTCATCGTCTGATTGGTATCATATGGCCACTTGAACCAACACACATGTGTGTTAAACTCTGTGCGTGTTAATGACTGACTAACTGACTTTACATGAGAAAATATAATGGTCAACTGATTCATCTTAGCTTTGAACTATTTGGTAATCCAAAATATTGGCTTTGAATTGAATTTAAATCTGAGGCCATTAAATGACTCAAAGAGCATATTAGTTTCAGACTACTGATTAAGTATTGAACGACTTGCATTTTTAACATTAATCCATTCAAGATATTTCTTGACCCCTAGATAGATCGTCTACATCCATTATTCCCTGTCTTAATGTCGTCTGAACATTTCCAGTAAGTAAGGTCAACAAATAGAATTTCATTGGAACAGGTTATTAAACTGGAATCAGATAACAAATTATTTTAAGAGGTCAATTCTTTTTTTTTTCTTGTCTTAAAGCGGACGAAATGCAATATGGTTTGATGAATCATTAAAATATGGTTGTAGTGAACCGACAGATACATTTGACAATCCTGTACTCAGTGGAAATTTACCAGATATACAATTCTCTTCTTTATCATTGAATAAATCTGATAAAAATGAGAATGTATTAATACAAAACAATAATAAAAATGTATATGTTAATTCTAATCAATTAAATCCAACTATAAAATGTCCATCTACAGTATGTGATAGTGTCCCATTCATAATTGATACATTTGAATTGTGGCAATTAATCAGCTGTTAATGATAAAAATTTTACATATTTTGTTGTATTTGACCTATCTATATTTCTTGTTAATAACTTATACAAATCTATATTGGAAAATCTTATAATATTTATTAAATTGTATTACAACTATGCTAGTATCCTTTTATTTTTATGACATACTGTATGTATATGAATGTTGAATTGTGTAATAATGATAGAAATTGTCAATCAACTTTTATTTTTCTTTAGTTTATGTTGAACAAACTTAATTGAATTATTATTACTATTATTTTTATTAGTTAGAGGATCTATAATTTCAGCTTGGAAATAATATGTTTACGGGCAATAATTAATAGATTGAAATGATTTCTCTCTTTTGTTTCGTTATGTCATTCCATTAATTGATCAGTGTGCTTTATTTTCTTTTTTTTTTTTTTTTGTAAAATAATTTTTATTGTTTTTCGTTTACTAAAATATGAATAAACAAAAGTATTACACTTGCTTTTGTGTCATTATCCACAATTATTTCACTTCATATCTACCATATAATATTTCAGTCGATCAGTCAGTAACAACGTAGAACTTCGCACGTACGTACATCAGTTTGAGATGCCATACCACATTATCACAGAGATGCAGATGTCGATTCAAATCCCATAGTGGTAGAGGCAGTAAGAGTATAAGCAGTAGTTGGAAACAATAGGGTTTGAAGGCGTTACTGAAGGATTATAATCCAGTGAAATAAATTTGGAAAGAGAAAAAAGGAATGGACATGAAGAATTCAGAAGACTAGAATTTGGGAGAACACAAAGAGTGGATGCACTTGCGCCATTACAAACGATTTTGAGCCATGTCATTCAAGGTCTTTAACCATCGGTTGCTATCATCTCACTTACCGACATGGCTCAATCCACTTGTCAGCGACTTCATGGATTTGTGCCATATTTTGGTCTGGCCGCCCCTAGCTTTCTTCCAACCTACTCCTACACCATAAAACATCGCACCTCGGGGTAGTCAGTGGTTAGGTATACATAACACATGTCCCAGCCATCTCAACTGATGAAGTTTCACTACTTCATCAATTGGTTTGCCATCCTTACCTATTACCCGTTTTCTAACAACTCCACTACTTACTCGGTGGTCTCAGGATATATGAGCAATGCTTCGAAGACACCTATGATCGAATGTTAGTAACCTACGAATATCCTCTACTCTTACCGGCCATGTTTCACTACCACAAAGTAGGACGAAATGAACTGCTGCACAGTAAACACGTCCTTTGGTTGGTAGACGGATATCTGGCCTACGCCATAAATGATGCAAGTTGGCAAAAGCTAGTCGAGCTTTCTGTATCCGTGCTGAGATTTCGTCACAGATCAGACCACAAGGGCTGATTAGACGTTCCATATATTACAATGTAATATTTATGTTAAATCTATCAAAGCGTCTAAATCACACAATTGAGATACGCTCGAAATCGAATTTCACAAAACAGCGATTTGTCTAAAAAGCGTTTCTTTATTGAATAGTATACGTAAATTAGTTACAATCATCAACTTGTGAGGTATCTGTGAATTTACCGCGTCTGTAAGTCTGAAATAAAGAGGGCTTCTGCATTAGAAACATAAAGAAGAATAACAACATACGACAGTGCAAATGGTAGCTGATAGTTGTGTCTAAACTTGACAACAGTTTATCAACAAGAGTAAACAATGTGGAGACCGTTGCGTTTAAAGAAGGATTGAGCGACGACACAAAATATGTGAATATTTGCTACAGGGATCGGAAGAAACTAATTATAATGATAAATTCAAAAATGTTATAAGTATATGTAAATATTTTAGATTACACGATAAACTTGCGTCATAACATACGCGTAGAAATTGCTAGGAATATAACTATTTACTAAAGCTTAATAAGTAGTATAATGCAAAACACAAAAGAGTTAAAGGAAAGAGAATAAGGACAGTGATTGTAAAACAATTTAACAATTTATTGGGAATTGTCTAACCATATATGATGTAATTAACAATTTTTCACGGTTTAGTACCAGCTATAGCGTACTGTTAAAGATTTGTGAAGCACAGGGAAGTTGTTCTAAAAGCCGTCGAAGTGTAAATATTTGCTTCGTGAATTCATTTTCATGTGATAAACTTGTCTAATTTTCTCGTTCCTGTGTTATGTATAGGTCTCGAATGATTAGTAAAGATCTTCCTAGACCTTGGAATTTATACTGATCAAACTAATTTTGATGTGATTACCTCAAGAGGATTTCTATCGTCAAATGAGATTAATTTCAGTTTTTAAACTTTTCATGCCATATCAGTAAACCTAATTGTGTTGTTTATAAACTATCACCCTTCAGACCTACTGGAACGTCGCCTTCATTTATTTGCAAGCTTTTTGGTTTTACCTGGAATTGGAAGAGTAGTTGAAGTCCGGTTGAATAATTTACTATAATATCCCGTCCATATTAAAATTTCTAATTATCTCCGTGTTTTAATTTGAAACAATATAAGTGAATTTTTGTAAAGAGGTCATTAATAATTTAATAATTGAGTTCATGATTCAGTTAAAGCTAGACCACCATGGCTAACCTGGAAGCCCTAGATGGCTGTTTCGTCTTGGTATGGAACTCCTCAATAGTGCACATCTGCGATCCCGCTCGAGAGATGCTTTAAGTGACTCATGAATTCAACTATTAAATTACTAAAACCTCCACAAAAAACCCCTTCTGACAAAAATCATTAATATAAAAATAGTTCTCTCATACAACGTATACACAACTTTTTAAAGTCTTTTATGTAATTATTCACTAAAACCCCTTGTGTTCATAAAAATAAATAATCCAACTTATGTTAATTAGGGAAATCAACTTCAAGTTTACACTAAACATTTTTCTTTACATTCCAACGACATACAAAGAATGTACGAGATAGTTTGATTGAATATATACACAATTAAAAATTCTTTTCCAAACCTATCAACTAAACACTTAATTTCTTTCTATTTTGAACAAAGCGAGACAATAAATCAATTTTAGATTGTCTAGAGATGTAATTAAAGTGATTGAATATCAGATACTTGGAATGTTATAATCATAATAATTTACCTTCTTTCATATATGCTCTCCAAAGCATCTAGTAACATATTCATTATGAACTAATATTTAGGAACAATATTTGTTGAGGTGTACTTCCGTATGTTTTTTTAAATATGACTAGGTATATAAATGTGTCTATATTTAATCAGCCAGCTGTTTTGTTATAGGTAGGTATTAATAGCGGTTACTAAATCCGTTATAAAACCTGGTAAATTCCCCAAATATATTTGTTCTATCAGTATCCTTCATCAATTTAGGAAGTCTATCTTTTTAACTATCAGGAAATATTCACTGAAGTAAAAGCTACTCAGTACCAGTTCAGCATGACAAATGCATTATCTTCGTTGAAGATACCCCGAAAGACGGAAAACCAAAATCTTGTTTCTTACCACTATAAACTCATTTTCTAGTGGTTATTACAGAGAAATAATGAATAAAGTAGAAACAAAATTAACCGTATGAATATATAATGAAGAACACAGCCAGTCATACCTTTGATACATTTTGAAATGCAACGCATACATGTGATACTTTTTGTAACCTAACTGGTCAGTATCACAAATTATTATTTATTGTTGCATTTGTTTCCTAAAAGTCAAGGTTGTCTGTAAATATGAAAGTAAACCTTGGCTCCATTACTTCGAAAAATTCTTTGTATAAACATTTCAATCATATCTCTTCATTTTTAATTGATTTGAGTTTCACACAAAACATACTGATAGCCTAAGAGTTTGTCAGAAAATTAAGATCACAATTGTTTAAGCCTTAAATGTTTATCTTATTATATTGTTTCGACTGCATATTGATAAGTGTAATGAATGGTTCACTTCTGAAAAATTGATTATTTATGCGACAGTCATGTATTCAATTTATTAAAGCATCCTAGATATGAAAACTGATAGTTGAATTAGCTTTTCATAAACTAAGAAGATTTGTGAAAGGTAAACAGTTTAACACTTCAGTTGGTTTAAACAAATTATAGACATGAATTAATTCAGATCACGTATAGAACATTCTGTCAAGTACTAGTTACTAAGATATGTTTTTAGCTATGTGATTTATTAACACTGACATACAGTCGCGGATAAAAAGTTTACTGATTATAATAAAATATTATAGATATCGTTTGTGGTAATATTACCAACCATTAGTCATTCAAGTCTTTGTTCTATGTAATCTGGCGAGACTATAATTTATGGACTAACCATTCAGATTTATCATAACAGGTCCTGGATTTCGGCATGAAATCCATTCATCCCTTTGGCTAAATAGCGTTTTGACACTTAAGCTGAGGTCAGTTCGTGATGAAAACTCCTAACACTAACGATCAACACCAAATCATAATCCTGAATTCTCACACGGGCTTATAACCCCCTAGTAAGAGGGTGAACATTCTCAAGGTCACTTAAGTGTCGCTCAAAGGTCATTCATAAATTATAGTCTCAATTTTATCATCCTGAATTTCTCTACTCTTTCCTATTTCACAATAATTTTTTTTATTAAAAGCGATTCAGAGTGTGATGATACATAGACACAATAAAAGTTTTGTCACTGAAAAATTCAGTCAGGTTCTAAGATGAATAAATTGTAATTTCTGACCATTATAAAGTTTATATTTACAGTTGTAAAGCATTTTAAAATCCTAGTATCCTTTAAAAACCATTTATTATCTTTCAAAACAGTATTTTTCTAGAGGTAGGTTCTTTCATCACTTTGGTTTAAAGTGTGAAGGGAGACTCATGATAGGCACAGTTTAATAATTTGAAATCATCTCTGAATCCAGATCAATTTAGCAAGTCAAAACAACTGAAGTTTTAAATTATTTACCAATTTAAAGCCTATGAGTTAAAGAGATACGTTACAGATCGATGGCTTTAGATATCACATATCACTAAAATATAATACGACTTGATTGAGCTATAATTTCATTTTTGACATTTGAATACTTTTAAGTATCTTAGCTACACACATTTTTTTAAAAACTAAAATCCTTTACTTAAATTACAAAAGGCGTGTCCAAAACTATCCATATCATATCATATAAAGGTGTGAGCCTGTGTATATAAGCACGTGATTGGTTGTTTCAACAGTGTTGCTTTCTAATAGTTGATGAGGGAAAACATATGCATTTTTTTTCCAGAATTTATATTAATTTTCCACATTTTTGAATTTTTATTAACTTCAACATATGCATTCATTTAAGTGGATTTTTCTAATCATTATTGTACAATGAACGTTAAGACTATGTTAAGCATATGGACATATTCATTGACAAATTGTTTTTGTAATGAATGTTATACACACAGTACATTTGAAAAAGAGTTTAGAAGTTTGAAATATCAACTTTTTAATAAATTTAGAATTATCAAAATAGGGGATTTGTACAGATTGTAGTGATTTTAATAGTTGAATTCATGAATCTGATAAGTACCCAAAAAATCTTTGGTCTGCCAGTATTCTTCATAGATACAAGAAGTAGTGGACAGTAAATGCGCACTGCTGAGGAGTCCCATACTAGGACGTAATGGCTGTCCAGCGATTCCAGGATCTTAACGGTGGTCTAGCTTAGATCGATACATGAATTCAACTTTTCGAATTCAGAACTCTTTAAGTACTATCATTTTAAACTTTCAAGTGAACACAGTGAAGAATTTAATCTCATACTGTCATCGAGGTTTGATGTGTTGAGTATAAATTACTGTTGTCAGTTCCGAAGAGAACCTATCGTATTAGAAAAGCTCAGTAGTTTTGGTTTCTAAATCCATAAAATCGTAGGTTGTACTGAACTACAATAACAAAACATAACATATACTCAACGCTAGGATAGATATCCACTAACTACTCACAATATAGTAGTTCTATTCTCCTGAAGGTTTCACCGAATATAATAAGATTTAAAAGGGATATATACTGGATCCAATTAATTTATTTTCTCAACATCGAATCAATGTGTACTAGCGAAAGGATTTTTCATATCATAAAATATCTTTAATATCGTTAGTCGTGTTTGATACACGATAAAATGTAGTCTAAATGATAACTGTTCACAAAAAGCAATCCAGTGGGAAAAAACTTGCAAATGTATAGATCTTATACTCAGCCAAACTCTTACCTTTTGATCCAGTAGAATACCAGTTTAGATATATAATACTTTTTTTGCTGAACTAGAGATAGATTTTCAAATGAATCAGCTTTTAGAAGACAGAATCACTGCTGTAAATAACCAAATATTGGTCATGGAATGAAAGCTATTCTGTATCAATACAAAATACTAAACCCATGTGACATAATTGAGCAAATTATCCTAATACACGTTATAATTTAGGGCTAGAAATAAAAATCAAAAAAGTGAACCAACCACCCTTTTATGTAATTGTTGTAGTCGATGTTGCTATCCGTTTAGCATTATAATTGTTAAACAATAGTGTTCTTATTGTAGTGTGATTTCGCAACCTCAAATGGCATCCGTCAATGTTGTCCACTTTCTCGATTTTTGTTCAACTTCATCATAGACATACTGATGGAAATAACGTTCTCGTCGACTGAATTTTCACGAATTGACCTCCGTCCAGAAGGTCCACTTATCGACTTAGAATATGAAGATGATATAGTTCTATTCGGTGAAGACGCTGATAAAATGCAGTCTTTTGGTAGCACTGAGCAACAATGCCAGAATGTTTGGAATGCATTTCTCCCCACTTAAATGCAATTTGTTGCTTCAAGACCGGCCTGTGTCAACACCTGAACTAAACATAGGGAGTGAAGTAGTCGAACGCGTTAATAACTTCACTTAACTCGGAAGTCTGGTCAGCCCTAATGGGTTGGTGTCTGACGAAAGCTCTGCACGGATTCAAAAAGCTCGTTTGGCTTCTGCCAACTTACGTCACCACCTATGGAGAAGGCGAGATATCCGTCTATCAAATAAAGGACGAGTATATTGTGCGGCAGTTCGTTCTGTTTTACTTTACGGCTGCGAGACGTAGCCATTGAGGGTTGAAGATACTCGTAAGTTACTAGTATTTGATTACAGATGTGTTATAACTATTGCTCGCATCTGCTGGGATCACCGGGTAAGTAATAGCGGGGTTCGACTCAGGGTATTAGGAGATGATGGTAAATCAAAATTCGACAACCATCCTGAAAGACCTCTGGAACCAATCCATTTGGACCAGCTGATCTTCATCGTTTCAGATTAGCTATAGCTTTCTGAACTTCAATCAGTGTCGGGGGACCTACTTCAATGTTCCACTCAAGCTGTCTGGGAATGGTGGGTAGTTGTAGAGTAGCTGAAGGCCAGCTGAACTGCTCCTTAAAATGTTCCGCCCATCGTTCTAAATGTCTGGACTGGGAGCAGATAAGTGTCGTCTTTTACTGAGATCGTCGCACTTACACTTGACATCTTTATTCCAGTTTCTCTTATTAGTCTGTAGAGCTGTCTTGCGTTACCTATAGCCGCCGCCTTTTCCATCTCTTTTGCTTTCGTTGCCCACTACTGCTCACGGTCATTCCTTAGACTTTTGCTTAATCTAGATCTGATTTGCTTTCGCTCATCATCGTGTTCAGAGCCTGATGGGATGAGTTTGCGAGAATCCATCAGTGCAATAAACTTAGAAATCCATTGGTTTTTTGTAACTATTTGATTTAAGTCACTAACAGATGTCACTGTTATTTCCACAGATGTTTGTATATCTTTCTAAGCGATAATCTAATGAAATGGACCTATAAACATAGTTAGATCATTTTAGGAAATTTTTATCAGTATTACTGACGTCTTCAAAATAAAGTTATTAGGTTTAATATGCAGTGGAAAAAAGTATACATTCGAATAATTATTTACAAGGAAGGTGGATTAGAACTAAAACCATAATATGTGTATCGATTCTGGTTAAATTAAGTGAAGTTAATGAAATTGGCAAACGTATACCTAATTTGTAATACTATAAGACTGTGTACGTGACTCATTTACCAAGGATAAGTTCACGTATTTAAAAATTAAGTTGCATTGAAATTTTTGAGTTATTAATAAAAACATGGTTTGCTCAGATTTCGTTATATATTTCTTATACAATTGAAGGATAGTAAATTTTGTACACAAAGGGAGAATTAACTAACCAAAGAACTAGTTTACACAAAAACTGTACTGTACACATCTGGAAATTAAAGAAAAACAGAATAATAACATAGAGCACTTAAAAATCTCATGTATTAAGTTTGATAATGAAAATTTATAAAAAAGGATGGTTAGATTGACAACGGTATCAATTATTGAATATTAATAATAATAACAATAACATATAAATTCGTAATAATGGGATATTCCGATAATTGGTTTAACATTAATGTTCTATATCTTTGTTCATAAACATAGTTTACTTAATGAACAAAATAGAATTATATCGTCAATTGGTACACATAAAAATAGATAGATAGATGTTTATTCAATGCTTAAAAAAAGAACACACTAAATGCGTCGCGTTAGTTGTATCATCATCATCATCACTCATACACATAATGATAATAATAGTAGTATTAATACGTACATAATATGTAATATTTTTATCTTAGAAAAAAAACAATCTGAGAACAGAATAAGATTTACTTCTCAAAACAAATAAATGAACAACCGAATGAGCAGATGGATGAAGATTGTAAAACAACAAAAAGAGATTAGAGGAATTTCAAAAATCATAAAAATGAAAATAAAATCCACTATATTATACAACTTGCCTATAAATATATTCGGATATACACAGTGATTCTATGTCAACGGATTCCATTCAAAAAAATAATAAGAATAATTAATCAATTAGCTAAAACTAGGACGTTTATTTGTACTGATAATTTGATTTCTGCTATGATGATTATGACTTGAAGTTCGTACTGTCTGTGTGTGAATGGAATCGACTCGACAAAAAATGGAAGAGGAAACTGAAGAAACACGATGTCGATTCTCAATAGATAGACTAGATGAAGATGAAGAAGATTGTTGATGATAATTTCTAGTAAATGGACGATCATAAGAAAAATTTGATTTATTAATTGGAATACAGGTAATAGGGAGTTGTCGAGTAACTGGAATTGTTGTCGGCGTTGTTGTTGTTAATAGATTAAATGATGAATATGGTTGCCTGAAACATTTAAAATATAAAAACTGTGCTGAACTAGATATAAAGTATATAGTGGATAATTTCAATGTAGTTAGGGTGAAAGTATTCTATATATAAACGCCACAAGAAATAAAGTATTTGTGAATAAAGAATATAACATATATAGTTATATAAGTAGCAAAGAACCGAAAATTGGTTTATTTTGTGATTATACGCTTGTAATTTTGTAATTTGACAGTACTCTTGGTCGAATATTTTGTGCATTAAACCGGTTGGTTGTGTGTCTCGGTGTTTAACGTGGTAGATGAGATCAATCTACAAATAGTAAAAGTCAGAAAAGTTGACGCCTGTCTAAGCGATTTTCGGTGTCATCAGTTTGATTTAAAAATATTGTGTGTAAAACACGTGAATGAGAGCGGTACCACTCTGTTTCTGGAACACCTGATGACTCAAATCGACGGATGTTTGGTGAAATTATGTGTTCAGTTGTTGTTGCTTTTGAAGGAGTGCTTGCATCAAGTGAAACCAAAGTGTAGATAATAGATAACTCAGTTAGTAGAACGATCTAAAAACACTGACTTTATTGTCTTTCACTTGTTCATCAAAGTAAGATAACCATCCACTGATTGTTTTCTAAAATAAAATTTTTATTTTATTAACTACTACCTTTGTTCCATCTTGTACTTTCACAATATTATTATTCTAATTTCTGTGGCAAATGCTTTTTATTCCAAGCTTTACCAAAATGTTTATGTATTATCAATGACCACAAAATAACGGCAGAATTGTTAGAGATGGATAAAGATATAATTCAGTGATAAAAGCTTGTTAAAACGGTTACGGTGGTTGTTAGAGGTTATCGAAACGAAACCGTAGAACTAGATATCGTGCTACTTGGTATCCATCAACAAGGCGTGTCAGTAGTCTTAAGAGAGCTGACGTTCTCTGGAGAATCCGATCGTGTATCACCCAGCTTCATAGTCAGATAAATTTAGCAACGAATAATATCAGGTACAATTGACCTCTTGTAAGACTGATGTACTTATAGTTGTTTGATCATTAAGTAATGACCAACATTATGTATGTCAAGCCTTTCATTAATACTGATCGAATTTTATTTATAAAGTTGTATGTGGCCATGAATCCAAGTGACTCAACATTACAAGCACTATGTTGAGATATTAAATGGTTAATCTGTTGGTATTACACGCATGTATAAAAGTGATGATTAATTTACACCAACTACTGATCAATTTCATGTACTCAAAGTCGTTTACTAACTATAAGAGTAAATCATATATAACAATGTATTTAGATATAGTTTGATTTATTTACGGTGTATAATAAATCCTCATCTTTAGTCATGCCTTTTCTTGCAATAGACCAAATCACACTTTTTCTGCTGTAACAAGCAGTTGCTTTTTTGTAGTTATAACAAGAAGTCATACAACACAGACATACTAACACATTATATGACAAAAATTGACATACCGCCGATGTGTAGAACCGGTAGAGATTGTTTGATTTTCCAACAATGAACTGTAACCACTGGGTGAAGTTTGAATTTGTGACAATCTAGGAGTATGAACCGGATAATTAGATAAATATTGTTTTCCATTGAAAAGAGAAGAATTTTGTATTACAGATGAATATGTATTGTTGGATTCTTCTGCATGTAGTTCTTTCAAAGGTGTTCGTAAAGACCCGTTAGGAATTCGATTATTTCGGTTGTTACGATCTAAAGTGGAACTAAATGACCTATTTTGGAATGGTGGTGCATAATATGAAGTTGGAGTTGTTGTATGCATATATAAAATTTTATTATTAATAGGAGTTGATTCCATAGAAGGTATATCTAAACGTCGCCATTTATTCACTAAAAGTTTCATTCTAAAAAGTGAGTAGATTTGTCCAGGTAACATCCATATGAAATAAAATATATAGTAAAACAAATTTATAATTATTTTGGAACAGAATGATAAATGAATTAGAAGACAGAAGATCAAACATCAATTTACTTCATCTTCATTATGAACACAGATTTATCCTAGAAATTCATGGTTATAAGTATGAAGCTTTGTCAAGAAATTCATTTAGTGATTGGTTTGAACTGTTTACGAAGTTTAGAGACAATAGATGAGATTCTAGAGTTGATTAAGCTGGATGATACAGTTCTAAATAACCCACATCAAAGTAGACATATTTATGGTTTCTTCTTATTTAAAAATAATGTTTACTACTTTTCATGTTTGTGCAAATTATAATTTCTCGATTATGCATTTGTCAGTGAGTGACTTTAGAAGAGCGTATGAACCCAGTACTTTTACTATAGAAGTAAAATCAACTGCTTTTTTCAACGAACTATGACACATTTTTAATGGAAACATTCAACCAATAACCATAGGTTTATTATTTTATTTGGTGTAAGCTGTCGAATATCTATCAAAGTCTCAATAGATGTAAATATTGTTTATCAAATAACAGATAACCCACCACGTACATTTTCATAATGAAGCAAAGAGCTGACGACATTCAACCAATACATTTTTTGTTTTTAAACTTAACATCAGTGAACGTCAACTTTTGCAATTTAAATGCAAAATATCCACTTAACTTTGAACATTTGTTAACACTATAACCAAAGAGAATTAAGTTATCTGTCAAGAATATCAGCAGTACATAACTAACAATAAGAGTAACTTGCACAGGCAAATCAACAAGGTTGATTAAAAACAACCACATGTCATTCAACAAGGATAACCTATACGACAAGTGTTCATAAACTCTTAAGCAACCCGATAGGATGCTTGGCGTAAGTTTATAATTCACACATAAAACAGTATCAAATAATCTCGACAGATAAATAATATATTATTATTATTACGATACTTTAACTCACCTATGAATAACTTGGAAAACACGACCTATGGTACGAAATCTTCGGAGTGGGCTTAATTTCAATTGTGAAGATCTATCTTTAGAATCTGTTTGTGAGGTGACTCGAGATTCAGGACATCCAAGAATTGCAACTACTACATTTTCTGTATATTGGAAATTACCCAAAAGAAGAAGTAAATAATGTTTTTGGAATGATAGTGAACGACGATAGCTTTGAGCACGAAGAAAACGGACGTATAGCGAGAAATACTAAAAATTTGGTGAAAAATTAAAAATGAGATGCTTTTTTGAATAGTGATTTATGTAACGGCATGAGGCAAATTATACTAATATAAATTATAAGGAAAATATCATATTACACTACCAAGAGTTAGTGAAAAAAAAACTGAGTGAGCACTAGACAAAAGCTATTGCCATTAGAACTGATTACTTTATTTACAAGATACGGTATTTCTCTGTTCGAATTATTATTAAAAACAATTTACACTGAATTCAAACATTCAAGATGATATGTAGAATAAGTCGAAAATTAGTGAAGAATGAATATATTGATCAGTTACTACCAGTGATAATTAACACAATAAAAATCACATGGGTATATGTAAACAATATTTGCTATGACCTGATGATATGCCATATATAATCAATCCAAAAACTGATCTGATAACAACAATAATAAACTTAGACATTTTGGTTGAAAATATTTAAACGAAACTTAAATCACAAAAATTTGTCGTTGATAGATAAACAACTGCTTTAACTAAGAATAATAGCATCACGTTAGAACAATGAAAACGAATTGATAATACTGACTAGTTTATTGCGTGATATTATTAACTATGATAGGTAACCTATACACTTCAACCATCAATTAATAAACTACAAGTATACCATTATTATTATCACCATCCATCATCGCCTCAAAACAATAAAAAATGTTAACAAAATATTAATACTCATTGAAATCATGGACCGATCAATGTTGAACCACCATTGAAAATCTGGAAACACTGAACGACCGTTTCGTCCTAGTATGGGATTCCTCAGCAGTGTGCATGTACGATCTCACAAGCAGAAATCAAACCCAGGGCATTCAGTTTCACATCAGAATGCTTAACCTCTAAATCGAATAGCCGGTATTCAACTGTGTTAATTTATTATAAAATGATAAAAAAGTAACTCAGTGCTTCCAGGTTTTCAAGTGATCTAACTTAGAAGTTAACAAAATGTTAATAATCGTAATTGAATTATGTATCTGAACTCCAATGGATATGGATTCTAAAGAATATGGTTTGAGTCTCTTACATTCATGTATACATTCAGCAATATAGCAAACAAAGAAGACGAAGCAATCAGTTCTAACAGTCTAATATGAGTAGAAGAACAAGTCAGTAGACGAAGTGTACTTATGTTGTACAAACCTAAAAGAAGGGGATTTTGAATCTGTTGAAGTCGAATACAAAAATATTTATAATATCAAAGGAAAAAAGAAAAAAACGGTTGTGTAAGACATGTTCGTAGATGATAGTGAGATCAGTAATCTACTTATTATTGTTATTATAGAAAATATTCAAATACTTACTTGTTCCATTGACACAGTTTGATTATTATGAACACTTGGTGAAGACGGTATTACATTTGTTGTCATAATGGGTAAAGTTTGGGTAGGGTTATTTATCTTATTCGAATTTGCCATATTTATAGTTTTCACGTGATTGTCAGATGTAGACTGGAGCTGATAAGCAAAAAAAACAAACATTTAATATCTTAAATTAACAGAAAACCAATATTTGATGAACGGAAATTTGAGTCAGATAAGTTAGCATACGACTTAAAAATTACACAATGTGCACAGTGAGTCATTTCAATAAGTATAAATAATCGAACTCATCTTGGAATACAAGGAATTTACAGTTTACTTGTAACGAATAAACTAAGTGAGATAAATTCATTTATCATTACATATGACGTAATTTATTGTTCATGAAGTTACAAGTAGTTTCATGAACAATCATTTTATATTGCCTGTACAAAATGTTCACTAGAACTAAACCTCATATTGAAAAAACAGGTTTAAAACGCTAAGAATAATATACAGAATAACGTCTCAAAACAATTTGTTTATTTTTAAAAAGAAACGTACTGAATTATTTAGAGTATCAGTAGATCGTCTGTTGGTTGCCTTATTAGATCTGTAAGATCCTTTATTGAGTATGCCACAGTTATTATTACCATTATTCAATGAGGATTCGTCGCGTTCAGCATCTAAACGATAACCACCATCACGATTTAAAGGATTTATGATTCCAGATCCAATGAAAATATTCTCTTCAATACTATCATCATCTGATGAATGTGAATCCGAATTGTGATCATCATTATCATCACCCTTTTGTAGATCATCATTACGTTCATCCACTGCAACGCGTGATAGTAAATCTACGCAAACATTCTTTAGTTTAGTAAACTTGGCACTTGTCAATTCTGATTGATCGCCACAAACAGGCGGTTTTTTCTTTGCAGCTGATTGTTTTATCATGGAACATTGTGATGTATTATTAATACCTGAAAGATTAAAAGTACCTGGCAGTACAGATGTCAAAGTAGGCATAAGACGAAGTTCTGCTTCGGCGAGATTTAAGCGTAAACCATGAGCAGTGGCCTAAAAAATGGTGAAAAGGAAGACAAAACAATTAAAATTTTGTTATAACTGGAAAATCTGCTTCATCAGCACTGTTGTAAGTGGGTGGATAACTGTTACATCCTGAGAGTCGTTGTTGTTGTGTACGTGTCGACTCTGTTAAGTCTTCAATCATACTGCTTTTACTCAATAATCGGGAACCGTTACAATTCCTTTATCCTACTGCTTGTACAGAGAAACGGTGACCACCACGATTCCTACGAAATAGTGAGAACACAAAAGCCTGGCACCATGAAGGTTTACTGACTCCCCCAAAACCATATCATAATATACACAAATACGAACATTTATATACTAATTTTGTACATAAACTTCATGGTATTTTTTGGGGAGAATACATACCTTTACTGTAAAAACACACAACAAACATAGTCCACCTAAATTAAGAAAAGTAATAAAATTGTTTCATTGAGCCAAATTCACACTTGTCGCCCTGACCGAAATAGATAATGTTTTGATACAAAAAATAATAACCTAAATAATGTCATCTTTTTTTAAAATGTAACTCTTTACTAGGTAGAAGTTCATGTTCCCACATTTTGACTATAGTGTGTCTAACATCTAGTAATACTGTGTTGTGTGCTACTCATGTAGACATAAGTAGTATATGATGTTAGTCGTGAACAGAATGTCTGGCAGCAGAGAGACAAGAAGATCGAACAGTAAAGAATGAAGACAGGATGCAATTTGTACGAAAATGAAAGAACAATGAAATCCAAGTTATTTTGAGACAATTGATGGACATTTTTGTAAATTGAGCATTTACTATATGGTTGTAAGATTTTGTTAACATATTCTGTAATCTGTTGTCAAATACATTCGATTGTCCCTATTGGTGTTCGTTCGCACTACAATACTATCCAGTTGGTCAAGTTAATATATGCCTACAATTAAATTATTAAAATATGAATGTTTCAACCATCGAATTAATGGTTCTGATAATATCCAACCAAAATAATTATCTACTAAAAACTATCGACAATCAAACATAACAAGAACATACAATTTATCCTACCTGTAATTCTTTGACTTGATTTTGTAATTTAATTGTATCACGACGAGTAGATGCTAAATGAATTGTAGCAAGATTTATTGCTTCATAGACACGTTGATTAAGATTTGATGAACAATCATTAGGTGCTTTATTTTCATTAGCTGTAGTTATATTTTCACCAATAACATAATTATTATTAATATTATTTGGTATTAGTGTAGTTCTGTTAAAGTAAGAACCGTGAAGAGGGAAATAAGTGACAGAGGCATAATTAGATTTTGAAAAAAAAATAATTTAATAAAACAAAAACAAAGAACAATACACAATGTTTTCATTTGATTTTACGGGAAATGTATAATTCACCAAGTTGATATTAGGAATAAACCTTAATCAGATAACCAATAAAAACTAAGAAACATTGAACACATATTTTATTCTAACAATGAACTACTCAGTAGTAAGCATTCAAAACGTCATCAAGGTTTGAAGAAAGGTCATTCGAACATCGTATTAGGTATTTCACCTTTGGAATGTTGAATTACTACTACACAATGGTTCACACTTATAACTCCAATCAATTCGCGATTTTACGGAACAAAGGAAGGTCTTGGGTTCGATGCCAAGTGAATTCATGTATACGAACTATTGAGGAGTCCCGCATTAGGATTAAACAGATGTACATTGTTTACTGATTTTCAATGGCGAACTAACTAAGGACAACCTGTGATGTGAACTGTATTACCTAAAAATCTCTGCAAACTCGTCATACTAATTAAAGTAGTAATTTACTAAGTGACAGAATATTAAAATTTCAACTTATAATAGGTAAACCAAATTAATGTAAGCAATGATAATTCCAATATTGCTTCCTCCTTTTAGAAATCATAAATCTCCTACTTTAAATGTGCACAAAACAAGTTTTCTTTTGTATAAATTTGCGATTTATCGCAGAAAAATCTCAGTATTTATATTTTCATCTTCAAGAGAAATACAAACACCATTACGAAAAATTAAATAGAAAGTTATAAGGCTTGTTTAAGTGTCAGTGTTAAACTTTAAGTGTTAAATCGCTTATTATAAAATTGGCTAGGAATGAAAACAAACGTTTTACTTCGTTAATACAGGTGACTATACAATAATAATAAATCCATAGTACAGATAGAAATTTAGAGCTATCAGTTTTTAATCAGCACACTTTATACAAAAACATCGTTTATTGTCGGACAATATCGAACAAGACAAAGCTACAAACAGGAGAATCGATGGTGTAAAGAAACTAAATACTCACTGATAAGTGTTCTTCCTAATTTGATCATATAATTGATCCAATTCAATTTTTAACGACTGAGCTCGATTCTTTTCATTTGCTAGTGATATTTTTAATTCCTGAGAATACACAATAAAAAAAATGTTAAAGAAACTAAAAAAGCTCTACATCTAATTTTTGTATTGTAAAGTGTACATGGTGTCTTTGTTTTCACAAGGTCACTGAAGACATAAATATTCATCATATATACGACTTTCATCAACATTTCAATCACAAAGCTTAAATTACAAAAATTATTTCAGAAACTAGTAGAAATAAATTCCTTTAATAATCATTTTTCCTAAATAGTTACACTTGGAGTATAGACAGTGATTGAATTCATCAAGATACAATAATAACAGATTAAATTCCTTTTAAGGTACATACATGCGGTTGTAAGCTGAAATAGTAATTCAATAGTTCATTACTATTATTTACTTATTTGAACATATAAATATTGTTACAAAGTGGCACCGAATTTATATGCATCACACAAGTCACTTATTTTGTGTATGAGCGATGATACAGCCCAGATGCCCAGACTGAAGCAGGTGGTTTTCTCAGGTGGCCACACACAGAGCCTTCAACATAAAAGTCTGATCAACAAGACAGTAGAGCAACGTCAGGAGACTCAGTTCCATGGTATCCGGTGACTAACAATCGGTTCATACACCATTTTCCATCAAGATCCTGGAGCCCATGTGTATCACTGGTTTGTAATCAGCTTTCAAACTCCTCTGGGTGAACGCTACTTGTCCACCAACACGGTTGAAACGTCGGATATTCTCTTTTCGTCCTCTCAATTTCGTAGACAACACCCCCGTCGCGAGAGGGCAGTGAGTAGGACTTCCCTGGCAGTAGGTGTATACGCGTGGCCACGTGAGAGCATTTCGAAAGGGAGAGCTAACTCTCCCCACCCTCCGCCGTACCAGGGCATTTGGGGGTTAATGGTTTAATGGATTGACGTCCAACCATTATGTTGAATGTTCAAACTTCACTTTGAATAATTTTTTTTTAATTAGTCCATTAATATCATTAGTTCGGATATATTAGGGTATAATTAAAAATGAACTATATAAACATGTAATGGAAAAATTAATAATCATCATTCAACTGATAAAACGAAATACACAATGTTAAAATTAACTTTTCATCAATTAATAAAATTTCCTTTTGTGCATATTATCATCATTTTCTAAAATAATGATAATAATAATAATATGAATGTTATAAGTAAGTAATTGATAGAAAAGAAAATAGATTTACTTGAATTAAATTATTTGATGATGACAATTCATTTTCAGCTTGAATCTTAGCTGACTGCAATGTTTCAAGTTCAGTACGAAATTTCTCTGTTTGTGTATTTTCTTTACATAATTGTAATCTGTAATAGTACAAATATCCGGAGTATATATATATATATATATATATATATATATATATATATATATCGGAGTAAAATAATCAAAACAGTGTATGAACCCGAAACCAGATGTGAAATACGGAGAAAATTAAAATCCCTATTTATCTACTTTACTTATGGTGACGGTAAATACGATATAATAATTTTATTATTATTAGGATTTAATGAGGACCTCCTTAAATTAGAAAAAATATACAATATTATAAACATGTTCCAATAACAAATCTTTGGGTTGGTCACGACTTAAATACGTTCAAAATGTGTCATTTGTAAATTTGAAAGGTTAATTAAGAAAGAGTAGGGAAATTTGTTGTTGGGTATATAGGTATGTTGTATCTTACACTTGTAAGATGCAGACTTCCAATCAACTGCCCATTGAGGTGTGTTGTAAACAGTATAGTTATAAAATAAATCATCGGAATGTAATCCATAATGGGAGAAATGTTATGTCGAGTAAACTAATATAATAGTAGTAATAAAAATAACTAACTATTGAAAATATCATATGTAGTAGGTGAAATGTTGTCAGCCTTATAATAACGATGAAAATACCTATGCGAATTGAGAAGAATTAATGTGTAAATCAATAATGAGACAGGGTGGAGATAAACAGAAAAGGTGACTGAGTATTTATGTATGTGGTGACCAAATAAAGGGTAGAGAAACAGAATATACTTCATTTGAATACATAAGCTCAGTTTTTTGAAGTTGACTGCGATTGCTCTAGCTATTATGTAGAGAACTAATAATCATTTTCTCTACAAATTTATAAAGGATACGCTTTGGACGTATTTAAACATCAACCGAATTACAAGTTCACTAAATCAACATGTCCTTAAACTTGCAAACAAATAACACACATATATATATTTCAGCCAATCAAAAAGTATCACAATTACAAATATTAGATACATTCAAAAAAGGTAACCATTGTCCCAATGGTTCACAAAATGAAATTAAAGCCAGAAGAAAAACAAAATAAAAATTATAGAGGGGTGAGATTCAAACAAAACAAAAAGCCGTTACTGTGCAAAAACATATACAGAAAAACACAGATCACCTTAAAATTGCCTGTGGAAAAACACGTTCAATAAATAAACTAGTTATCAGTATTCTTCCACTGAAAAAAATTGTTTTGAGTAAAACGAAAGATAGTAAGAATGATAATGGCATTAAGTAGAAACCGGATAGTACTTTGGTGATCAGTTGCTAGACTTTCAAGAATAAGATACGATGAAAACATGATGATGAAAAAATTGCTACCAAGCTAAATGATTTACAATAATAATGGAGCAGTGTTTTTTTCTAATACAAACGTTCATATTCTTTCCTCTCAACATAAAGCAGAAAGAAAAGGAAGGTTGGACAATATTGACAAGTGTTTAGTATAAAATAGTTCACTTTACCGATTTTAATGAGAATGAAGAAAAAACCAACCATTTTACGTATATTAATACTGAGGTCAGTAATCAATAGATAACTAAATAGCGTATGGTCACCGAAGCCAGAAGTAAGCATGTAGTAAGGATAGAAATGTAGTGGTAGCGATTCCGATCATCACTAAAACAGAATTATTTGTGATACCAAAGCGAGCTCTGTAAAAAGAATTTTGTAGTGCGATTAGACTGAGCAACAACTTCTTGATTTTCACAAATATTTTCAACATATGATTATTCCTTGCATTTTATGGGTCTTACTATAAAAATTACCATTATGAAAAGGTTACTCATAAATCTACAAATACTCTGGTTTTCCGTACATAAGCTAACCTTGAAGTAAAGCCTCTCATCTTAATGAAGACCTCTCGACAGTTTGAGGTAAAATTGTGGGGGAATTCTGGGGATCTAGGAAGCCGCTAGGAAATCATTATCAAGTGTTTGAGCAACAGAAGTATTAGTATTCTAATAATTTAGTGAGAAAATAATACAAACCCATTTAGCTTTAGGGGAAAAATAGATATGCATATGATTTGAAACTGAGTAACACATTCGTAAATGGTTATATTTTATGAATAACAATGTCATGTATTAAACCTAACCTTAACTGTTCAACATTAGTTCGTTGACGCTGAACTTCATCTTCCTTCGATTGTAATTCATGCTGTGTATGAACAAGATCAACTTGTAAATCACACAATTGACCTTGCATTTCATTAGTTCGATTATTTGCATGATTTAATTCTTCCGATAATGAACTTACAACTTTAGTCAAACGATTCACTGAAATTTAAAAAAAGGCATATGATTTAATATTTTAAAAATGTGAAGATCATTATTACACTTAAAGTGGACATATAAAATTAAAAAGAGCTGTAAAAACAAAATGTAATCACATGTTAGTAAAAAATATTAATCGCACATTGACATCAGTTGTGTAAACAATCAGAATAAGGTAGGGCTGAATCGCTTCTTTCGTCTAAGTTTGGGACACTTAGGAAAAGTGAAGCCATTACCCCACTAGTGTTGGAAGTTAGTATCTTCAGGTTGTATGGTAAACATGTTGCTCACCGATCATTTATTCGGAACGCAAATATTCACATTTCCGATGTTAGTTAAATAATAACACAGCGTGACAACTACTCAAGAATAAGTAACAAAATCAGATGTATATCAGCATCGGTCAAAGTTGCTAAATCATCTCAGAACGAGGAGACAAAATCATCGCGATGATTACCAAAGTAGCATAAGTAGTAAAAAAACTAAAAGGGATACAAAATATAATTCGGCATAAATGAATGAGTTCGAAGAACAAAAGATATAAAAAATACATTAGACAAAAATACTGATGACATTGGCCATTATTCAGTGATCAATCACTGTAAATATCTTGAACCTATATGACGCCAGTCGCTGTCTGAAAGGCTTGATGAAACTGAGTGCCCCGTGTTCGAATCCACTGGGGTGCTAACTTCCAAAAAACGTGACAAATCCTAACGAGCACGAAGGTTAAGAAATTCATTTCGGCTACCTTAAACCACCTAGAAACTTTACAAACATTTTGTAATAAATTAAAATTAATTAACATTGAAATATTCCATGAATTTTTTCCAGAAAATATCTCATTAAAAAGAGATACTCTTGTTTCAATAAATAAGTAGATTTTACTTGACATTTAACGAATATATTTCGACTTCAATGTTTAAGCATATGAACAACAAATATTCAACTATTTAAATAAAAAAATAAGCTACTTACTTTCTCCTACTAAAGCATCAGAACGATTAACATGGGTTTTCAATTCAGATTTAAATGAAGCTTCTTCTACATGAAGAACATCAATAAGACATTTACGAAACTGTAAGAGAAACATAACAACAAATGAATAAATTAGTCAATTATCAGCGTCATTATTTTTTGAAAAACAAAATAAATCCGACTGTAGCCCTTCAATAGTTACTGCCGGTCCCAAACGCGGATACAGAACGAAGTTGAGCACAAAACCTGCAACGCTATTCAGTAGAAAACAACCTTACTAAACAAACGCTAAGCAGAAAAAAAAGAATTTAAATAAAAAAAGAACAATAATGACAGAAAGAGAAATACCTCATCTTCACGACGCATAAAAGCTGATACTCGTTCTGTCAAATGTTGTATAATTTGGCACAAAATATTCTCTGTGGGTAACTGCACTCCTAGATTAGGAACTGATAACGTCCTACTTCGAAGTATCTCACAAGTCTGATTAATCGAAGAAGTGATTACTGAAATCCAAAGTTTTTCATCGGTATCCAAAGCTTTAGTTAATGAAACTAAAAGTCGATTCATAAACATTCTCATTGTTTCTTCACTATCTTCAAAGGTAGACTGGTCTTTATTAATCCATGGATTGTTATGTATAATCTATAATTAAAAGTTAAAATGATAATTTTTTAATGAAAATAATACACACAAAAATATTGTTCAAACAAAAAAATTTAATAGTTGAGTTCATGAGTCGATGTAAGCTAGACTACCATTAAAAACCTGGAAGCACTGGACAGCAAGTACTAGGACGAAAAGGCCGTCCAGTGCATCCACGTTTTCAATGGTGGTCTACTTTACATCGACTCATGAATTTAACTAAGACTACTACAAACTCTACAAACCCCCATTCTGTTGAAAAAAAATTGTCAAAAATGTTCATACCTTGGTCACTTCATTAACTGCTTCTTTCAAATCACAATAGGAATTACGAATTTCAATAATCCAAGGGGCACATTCATTATATTCTACCTTTATAGTAGTTTCTTCATTATCATTTGTTTTACTAATTAAAATACTTCCTGGTCGATCATAAACTGACTGACGAGCAGTCGCAATCGCAGTCGCTGTTGCAAGTCGAACACTCTCTTCTCTTAAACGATTAGATAAAGTCTAAATTAAAAGAAATACAGTATAGCGTTACACAACATATTAAACAGTATTATTATAAAAAAGAGAATAAGCATGCGACATGACAGGAGGCCCCGTTAAACAAGACCAGATTAAAACTGATCTTATGGACATATTGCAGACCTGATCGTAATAAGGTGTGCATCGAATGTGTTAACAACAAGAACGTTAGAAATTTTAGAGAAAACTGAATAGCGAGAAAGTACTATCATTGGAATGTCTCAGAAAAATGAAAATTAACATTTTGCATGCATAAAATCATTAAAAATATATATAAAATCAACGATTACATTGAGCTCAGCTGAGATAGCTCCTGAAAGTGCGTCATTCTCCACTGATAAAAAGGTTGAATTAGGTGACTCTTCTTCCTTAGGCGTAGATGTTGCCCATATTTGATGAATATGTTCTTGTTCAATGTTAGGATGAAAATTTTTACAATCATATAGAATATTCAGTTTTACATCTTTACTCGGATCAGAATATACAGAAGGTTGTTTTTCAAGTGAAATAGGGATCTATTAAAATTGAGAAGAAAAATGTTAAAAATTGTAAAAGTTACTATGAAGTGAAACATTCAATATCTTAGAGAATAAAATGTGAAAGATAGAATATCTAGACATAAAATACTTCCAAAAAATGGATTATTCATTTAATGAAGAAATAACTTTTAAAACAATTTAACAGCTAATCAAAAAGTTTTTTATTACGTCAAAATATACTGCATAACAAGAGAGTATGAACATTGAATAAATGTCACTTTTAATTATTGAATAATGGTGAGAAAGAAATGACACAGCTAACTTCCTCATAACAATAAATTGATCTGAGCCTGAAAGCTGATGTTTATAATATTTTTGTTTTCCTCCATCGTCATTGGTTTTAATCAACATAGAAGAGTTTAGTTCATTTTCGCATTATTTGTTTGAATCTTCAAATTCATGTTTAGGACCACAATACATCAGTCTTTTATTGGCATATGCACATCCCGTACGGATTGCCTCGATATTGTCTTAATTCACAAGTATTATAAGCAAAGATGGATAGTGGCTAGTAGTAGAATACAGGACGCGCGTTTCTCCTTATTCAAACTCGTAAGGTGAACGAACCTGCATCTCAGGATTGATATTCACTCTGGGACTTGGACCCGGTACTGTTCGCTTCAAACGCCATCGCGTTACACACGTGGCTATTGAGTTCTGACAGAGTATGAAGCGAACAGTACTGGGTTAAAGTCCCGGAATGAACATCAACTCTGAGATGCAGGTTCATTCACCTAACGAGTTCCAAATAAGGAGAAACGCGCGTCCTGTATTCTACTTCTAGCCACCATCCATCTTTGCTTATAAAGAACAGTTTAGGTCTATTTGACAAAAAAACGATGGTGCTATACCTACGAATCATTTTCTAGAAAGTGTATTCACGAATGATGATAACATTAAATTGCCATTTTATTTGACGAACTATTTCATATATGTGCAAGGAATCGTGTATTTGGAAAAAACTTTATTCAAATAAAGCTATTAAAAGTTAACACGACAGGTAGCAATATTCAAAATAGACAAAGACTGTACTGAAAATACTATTATCGGTGACATTTTGAGAAACTGAGGAAAAACGCAACTTACATCATCTGTTTGAACCATTTTTGTCGAATTCGTCAAATCCGTTTGGACAATTGCAGAAGACACTAGATCATCACGGTCAATATATTTTACTTGAGTTTTCAATTCTTCAATTTCCAATTCCAATTGAGTAACTTTTAATTCCAATGATTTCTTTACAACAAAAGAAAAACAGGAATTATTTCTTTCGAACGAAATAATGATAAAGATCAAATTAAAAGAAAACAGACACGAGTAACAAGAAATTATGATGAATACCATTGAAGCAACTAATAAGATGCAATGCAGTTATTGTGTTCGAAAGAGTTATTTCAAAAAACAACACGTAAGACGTTATCGACACAAATACCACAGTAACAGTAAACAGTTAGGAGCATGAAGTAACATACTACAAAAGAAACTGCCCAACGTGATTAAGTCAAGAATACCACTAATAACGAAACCAAATTATAGAAAGGATCAATAACTACCTTCACCTATCTTAAATTAGGAGTACAAATTATGATAGTTGTAACATTTTGATAGGATTAAAACCTAAGCTCATAAATTGAGAATCAATTTTGGTGTCAGTTGGTTTATTTAACTAAGATGTTATTGTGTGCTATTAGTTGTATGTATGAAGAGATTTGAATGATTAGTTACACGTTCACCGACTATTAAAGTTGAGGAAAGAAAAACGTCCAATCATAAAGTATATTTTATTTAATCATTTATTCGTCAATGAATTTATGGAAGTTAAAAGCCCTCAGGGAGCATCTTACTGTTACTCAAACAGGTGTTGATAAATGTTTTAAGTTGGTTTACGTTTTTTGAACGTATCGATGGCTTTTAACAATATATATATATATATATATATATATATATATATATATATATATATATATATATAATCACTTTATTTTTCTAGACTGATTACCTTATTTGAGAAGAATGACAGATATCACCAAAAAAGCGTGTTCACAAAAATGCTTGTGATTTTAACAGTTGAATTCATGAGTCGATCAAAGCTAGATCCCATTGAAAACCTGGAAACATTGGACGGCTATTTCATCCTAGTATGGGACTGCACAGTAGTGAGTATCCACGATCCCGTACGCAGGAATCCAACCCAGTTTAATATGCTAATAATCATTAATCTACTAGTAAGCACTTGATGACACAAAATCAACAAAATAAAACAAATCACTTACTTTATCTTCACTCAGAAGGAACAGGTCTTCATCTCGTTCTAAAATAACATCTTTACGTTCTAACAGTTGATTACTAAGACTTTTACATTTATTCTACATTGAAAAAAAAGTATTTAGAGAAGAAAAACAATAATTATCAATTCTCATGATAAACTTATTAAGTTCCTATCATGACAGTAAAAATAAATGTGATGAATTACAAATCATTCTTAATAAAATTAACAAGGAAATAAATCTTTTAAATTAGTTGCACAATTTTTTCCCACGTAACATTTTCTATTGATGATAATATCTTGTTAATTAAAAACCTGTTTAAACAAATTAAGCATTAAAAATAAATCAGTAAGAAGGGGATGCTTAGATTATTTCGAATTTTAAGCAATCCAACAGTAATATTTTTTGACAGAACTCTAAGATTTGTTAAATGCGGCAAAGATTTCAAGTTTTTTTTAATCTACCCGGTCAATTTATTTGTAATTGAATACATAGTACAAATAATAAATAATAAGATTTGTGTCAATCTATTAACTGAGAAACCAATTAAAAAATACATAAGATATTTGTATACAATCAGTTCAAGTTTAGGAATACATTAATGTCGATGTAAATGACAACACACATCAACGTATAAACCTAACAAATTGGATCAAATAGTCATACTTAAAATGCTTGAATAAAAGCAACACAAACATCTTGTTATTATGTTATTTATTACCTCTGTTTCAAGCAGCTGTTCTGTTACTCGGGTAAGATCATTTTGACGTTCCACTAACATTTCATGTACAGCATCATAATCATGTTGTAATTCAATCTAGAAGAAAAAATTTGGTATAGCAAGATCATGTAGAAATGAGTGTTGAACAACAATTAAACAAGGGTCAAAATCAATAAATATGAAATCTAGTATTGTCCAATGAAATAATTTGATTAAACATTGAGGTAAATAAAATAAATAATCTTTTAATTATAATCATAGGTTTTGAAGATGTTCGAACTGTAATTGACGATTTAGTTGAGATAAATATACACAAATTAGTCCACCTATTCGCAAAACTATTATAAGACGTTGATAAGGATTACGTTATCAGTTGCGATATCAGTAAGATATTTGCAGACGATATTCACTACCATTAGTGTAGGACATTCAGTAATCCGAATATAGATTTGATTACGTGGCATTAGCTTTGAAAAGTTTACATTACATGTTGAAACATTAAAACCATGAATGTCATAGAAAGGATTTGTTATCAACCTGCAGTTACAATACATGTACGTGATAAAAATATTAAAATGAATAGTAAGAATAAAAAATAAGTTAGTATCCCAGGTTAAATTATGCTTTACATAACAAGCAAAGTTACAACAGAAAGATATGAACTGGGAAGTGTCGGTCATCGATTTACGCACTGTTTATTGTATTAGATACAAACTTACTTTGAATGCTTCAATCTACAAGTCTTGTAAGCATAAACCTGAGAAGCAAAAGTAAGTGTGCTTACAAACTTGTAGACATATTCAAAAAGTGATTGATATAATGAACACAATGCGTTTGCTGTCAAACAACTTATAAGTAGAATTTTACACATATTCAAGTAAAACACCGCAAATGTACATGCATCACATGTATATAGTGAAGTCACAAGAAAAAATTAGATTTGTAAAATCACACATTAAGACAAAAATTAGTTATAAAATACGGAGAAATTACAAAACACGACACAGTGTGATCAGAAAGGCAGATGATTTTATAGCATTACATAATAACGGCCACGGTGACAAATGGTAAAATGGATATGCTAATCTATAAGGACCCTTTTGAAAGAATTTTATTTTACATATAAAATTATTTAGGTTTACAATAAAAGCCATATGAAGTACTTTATGTTCTCTAGAAGGAAACAATTTTTTCCTGAACTAGAGAAACAGCATTACATAATGGTAGTGTACTTCAGAAATTACAACTGGAAAAAAACAACCAGAAAAATACAACTTGAGTCAAGATAGTAAAGTGAGAGAAATAATATCTACGATAAAAACGTATCCACCGAATGATCACCGAAAAGTCATCTAATCCAATCCTTAATTTTGAAATATGTCAACAGTATAATTATTACGATATCACAGGGACTTTGTTTGGAAGTCCAGTGATTGGAGGCTATCTACAATAAAGCTGTAACCAAGTTTTCGTACAGCTGGGATTCGTTAGTAAGGTTGTAAATAAGACTTACATCACATTAATAAACAAAAAGATATACTCATTTTCAACTAAGATAATTAATTTCTACATAACCAAGTCTGGTCTGGAATGAAAGTTTTACTAAGAATAAGTGACCTTATTGTTGAGCAACTTCCATCATACTGCACTTTTAGTTTGTATATTTCAGAAATCGCATATGAACACACGTTAGGAGTCAGCCAACGAAAATGTCTAAAAGATAGCTCGGAAAATGTTCTCACACCAAAAGAATCCTTCATTTAATATAAACACAGAACATAGAGCACTTTTTATTGTAGTATAATTTCGTAACTTGGATTTGTAAAACGTTTTATTACATGACATAAAAGAACGTTTATTACCAGTTGCATAGAGAGATATATGAGTGGATGTAACCTACTTGGAATTTTGTAAGATCACTAATTTCATTACGTAGTGTTTTAATAAGAACTTCTGACTCCATAAGCTGTTCAATTAACGTTGAAACCTCAGACAAGGAAACCTACAAATGTGTAAAAACAATAAATTATTAAAAAATCCCACTACAGTAGACATTACAAACATGAAAATAAAAAGACTGATAGTAGATACTCTCTCACATACACAATAAATAAATGATACATGAATGACATAATCGAAGTCGATAGGAACAAGTGAATCTTATTCAGCATGTAAACTTATTAAGAAATGAATTATATCTCATAAATGCACATACAGAAACCAGAATTAATAGTAATAATTATGATTATTATTACCATTACTATTATTATTGCTTTATTCAGAATTACTTGGTTAGTACTATATCGAATTCGCAGTATAACAAAGAGTGGATAATGATGTCACTGCGCTAACACATATTAAACTCTTAAAAGCAAGTGAATACGGTTCACCTGGGGCTTTAACACAACGATGTTCAAAGGTAAGTCTACAGTTAGGGTCAAAGTATTCCTCATTACTCTGAACTCGGTGACGGTTTGATGATTGATTACTACCAATCTTAAAACAGTTAGACAGATCCACTGAACGAGAAAACTCCAACAACATTGAACAGGAAAAGAATGTCTACATTGAATGTAATAAAATGAGTTAATCAGCTGCACAACTATGAAACAAAAAAAGATTATGACATAAAAACGGAACTGAAATGAATAACTTTATATCAGTAACTACAGAAAATTTGTAGTTAAAGTTGCAGGATATATAAAATTTACGGACCATGATTTGTCTGAATTTATATTATTAATAATACCAACTAAGACTAATATATATATATATATATATATATATATATATATATATATATATATATATATATATATATATATATAGTTAGATACAAAATATATAATTATATGGTAAGTATACAAACTTACCACAGCTCCTGGATTTTCAACATTATTGTTGGATATAGCACATACAGTTTGAGGATCAGAGTCAACGGAATCAGGAAGTTTACAACAAGCGTTATCTGAAACACATGAACCTGGAGTAATATCCAGATGTTCTGATGAAAGCATTATCTCTGGAATTTCATTTTCTAATTCATCATCTTTATCAGAGATAGGAGATCCCATCAAAGTCTGCAGATTTTCATCTTCAGGAGAAGAACATTTGTCATGTTTCATTAAAATTAAATCTTGAATAATTGGTGATTTTGCAGTTGGTGGAGTTATAGATTCAATACTCTCTAAGTCTAAAAGACCTTGAGACATTTCTACACCAGTGTCTTCATTATTTGAAGAGAATGATGGTGAGAACAAAGCCGGTAAAGAACGATGATGCTAAAGTGAATTACAGAAATGAAAATGAAAGTTTTCACTTGATGAATAGTAATAATAAACATATTATTCATGTCCACACCAAATTTATGACTACAATATAGAGTCTCAAAAGAAAACAATATAAAGTAATGCAAAGAATTTCTCACTAATGATGATTTTTTATCTTATTTACGTTTTATATTCATGAATCCTAATTTAATTGCTGCTTGCTAATCTTCAGGATACACGCAAAGAAGAAAATATATACTAATTGATGTAGTCTACGTGTACAACTTCACAATAAATTGTTAACTTTTTGTGTGAAGGTGTGTGCGAGTACCTTATGTGGTTAACGTAATTGATTCGTTGAAAAAAAAGTATAAAAATAAGAAAGTTGTACAGTCGGTACAAGTTCGATCAAGCTCTTTCTAAATAATTCGACTACAACTAAACACAGAAACGTAATTATTAACATGAATGTAATTGGCTGCTTGACTGCCAAAAATATGAAGGAATATTACTACAAAATAACTTTTACGACACTGTTAAATTGAGAGAAAATGGGACTTTTACGGAAAGTTAGTAAATATATTTCTGCTGTGTAATTATTAAATCCTTGGATAATGTTATTTATTCTATCTCTCTTACTATAAACTTTCACTTCATACGTAATCCGTTTCTGCATGCTTTACCATTTGTAAATTATCATTAATTAATCATGGACCTATTGCTCAATTTTTAAGGAGATATGACTTCGTTGTATACAATTTTATAATTCCTTATTTGTGATGTGTCCTGGTCATGTAAAGGAATTATGTAATTCTGGAAGTGTTGATTCAGGGAGACAAAACAGTAATAAAAGTTGAACATGTTTACTATCTTCGTATTGTGATTGGTTAGTGAGAAGTTGGACCAATAAGAATTACAACGACCGTTCATTGTTCATAGTGTTGCTGGTCAAGAGGTAATTAGTCTGATAGATATGAATTGAAAGCTTCATAAGTCGACTTTATTCCCAACCGTTCCTAAATATTGTGGACACAGAATTTCACAGTTCACACAACATACACGAAATAGGTTGAGAATAGACTTTTATTCCGACTAGTATGTGCTTAAACGTATTTTGCATAAAATCATAAGATGTATGTGCATTTCTTGTATTTTTGTAAATAAACAATTTGTATGATGATCCGTATGAACAATATTAAAAAGTCAGTGATAACCTTATCAATAAGTCCTACATCAACTGCGTAATCTTGACACTATGTTATACGCATCATAAGTTCAGCAAATGAACATTTGAAAACTCACCGTTCTATGATTAGATGATGACATATGATGGGTTAGTGAAGTTTTTAATCTGACATCATTAGATAGATTTTGACAAAACACCATAGTTTGTATACCTTTATCTTGTTTTTGTTGTATAAACTAGAGCAAAAGTGAATTATAGAAGAAACAAACAATAAGACATCAAATTTATAAAAGGAACTGTGTGTATCAGATAAGTGCAAAAAAATTTTCAACGTATATAAGTATCAACAACTTCACAATTTATTATGATAGATTAGTGGAGATTCTTGAGTTTTATGGTTAACATAGATTGATGGATTATAACTGAACAACAAGTAAAAACCACAAAGCATAGGACAGTTATTTAGTTCTGTCACGAAACTCATTAAAGTCTGCAACTAAAACCACTCCAAATCGAACATAAGTTATTATGTATACAAATAAGCATCTATTGGATTATAAGACAATAAATAGAAAAAGCATGGAGGTCTTGATTACTGAAGTCAATGAGTTATTCGACAGTTTGAATATCAATATTAATAAACCATCTTCAGTACAAAATGGAGTTGATCACAGTAGTAGTTCCGAATAAAAGAACATAAGTATTAACCTTTGAATATTGACACTTTCATTAAAAGATATAACTAAACGTTAGTTAGAAACAGTCAGTGACCATCACTTTCAACCTTAACTAATATACAAATTTTCTTTAAAATAATATTAAATAAAGCGATTTAAGTTGTAAAAAAACTAACTATCTAAACTGTTAACATACTTCCAATGATTGTTTCGTTTCTTCCATTTCTTTTTGGCATGTATTTATTCGATCAAGTTGTTTTCTTAAATTGGAAATTTCCAATTTACATTTTTCAATTTGATCTTGATAAAACTTTTGATTATTATTATTGATTGTACTATTGTTAGGTGTATCTGATTCATCTACAATCGTCACAATTGATTCTTCTTCCTCTTCTTTAACAACAATATGACTAAGTACAGCAGCAGCTGAAGTTGTATTCCATGTACGAGAACGAGTTGTTGTCTTTGTAGTTCGAGTAGGTTGATTAGAATAACGGGTATTATCCGAATGATTTATATTATCGTTAGGATTTGACTGTACTAAATTTAATTGTTCACGAGAGTTCTGGAAATTAAAAAAAATGCACTTTTAACCTGTTATCAATTGTGTTATAAAACAAGCACCGAATATTAAGTACGACAATATACAGGAAAGAAAGTTAGATTAATATGACAAGTGAAAAATGTCGAAGGTTGATAGTAATAAAACCATGGAACATTCAGTACGAACCTAATGAAAAAAGAGTATCGTCACACCGATTATGAAATATTAGAAATTGACTGAATAGTTGTACAAACATAAAGTATAAATATTGGTTTTATATGGAAGCTTTGTTGACCATCAATATAAAATTACGTTGCATTTGTAATACATGAATTCACTTTTATAATACGATTAACAGAAATATGGTTTACTTTTGACCAGAAGTTACAGTATAACCATATGGAAGTAACGAAATTACGTAATTAACAGTTATATCAGCTGTCATTATAATCAACTTGATGATAAGTGATGGCTAAGGTAATTAGAAACTTTAAAAACCGATATCTTACATACAGACTTCATCAAATAATCTATGTCAAGTTTTTATCGAATGGGTTGTTTAACAAGCACCATTCAAGCTAGTGTTAAGCAGTAACACATATATAAATGTAATTAGTAAGATATTCGTATTAAATTTGAATTTACCAAACAAAAACCAAACGAGGCTTAATGCACGTCACTTCTACTCTGAAGAAGTGACTTATTGAGATATCACGAAAAAAATATATGATTAAGTTTCTACACAACACTAAATTTTTTTGAAACTATCACGTTCAACTTTGTCATTGTTACCTACAAACTCATTAATAAACGAGACAAACATTTAGAAAATAGATTAAAGATTAGTACAAAGATAGTTTCAAATGTCACTGTAACTCAGCAATAACCTAATAAAAAGTAATTGATTCAAAAAAACAAATATGTGGTAAATAGTAACACTACCAAATTATTGTTTATTCTGTGGTGAAAAATACTACTTGAATCATCGTGATTAATGAACATTTGTGGGTTGACGAGAGTACTTAATGTAGGGGAATGTAAGACAGAAATCATTTAAATAAGTAAAACGAATCAATTACAAAAAATGCTCAATTACATTATATGTTGTTGTTACCAACGATTATTTGTGGGGATATTCATGGTTGAAGAGAGTTTCGAGAAAAAAGATAATTTATAACCATTTATAATACACCATAAGGTCATTTGATAATGGAAAGCCGAAGATTGTTGTTGTATTAAATGTGAACATTTGAAAATCCCATACTGATAACTTCGTCTTAAGAATTTGTATTTTTCTATTGTTGATTCCAACTAATTAGTCCCTGTTGGGATATCTGTATCCTGAATGGATGTCACAATATTGTCTTTGTTAAGACGTTTCTACTATATTTGGATTATGGATGACAGTGGAATTCATGACGCTGATAAATTCAGCCAAAGAGTCGCAAATAAACGCTCAGTAGTCAAGGTTCTCAACTTTCAACCAATGAGTCACCAATTTAGACCTGGTTCTACCCACCGAGTCTTGAACAGTCGAATAGTATCATCGGTCATTATATAAAATATGGATCAAAACCAAGAGAGGTAGTCCATGTTAAATTTTGATTATCTTCCACAAACATGGTTCATAAAATAGCAAGATTTTCTGAGTTATTTTTGAGTAAGGAATGAGTGCTTTACACTGTCTTAACTAGAAACAGAAATTTTTAAGTATGCTTACAAGCATTCTGAATTAACAACAAAGTTATTTAGTTTCGCTTCCAAGATCTATGAAGTGTAAATGAGTAGAATAAGGAAAATTTACACTATTATTTTTTAATTCAATGAAACATACCACTGTTTCGACGTCTTTAACCTCATCACCCATAGCGATTTGAACCTCCGCATCAACGGAATCAATGGTTGCTCCTACAAACTTATCAAACTTGATCACTTCAACCTAGAACCAAACGAAAAAGATAACAGAGTATTAAAACACAAATTGTAGCAGTAGTGCTAAACTAAGCTAAACGTTACTACAATCAAAGATGATGTAACTTAATAGCCAATAACCAGATCATGGTAATGAAACTGGGTCAATATAATCGACATAAAAGAGGAGATTAGATTCAAACTTACAAACAATTGTTATTGAAAGTTGAATTTTATAACTGATCAATAAAAATATTGAACTGAACTAACGATATAAGATCATATTCACTATATTTTAAAAAATGTAATATGATCAAAATATAAAACAATTTTGGTAGTTAAATGAAATTTGGAAACCTAAAATATAAATGAACTACTCGTTGATAACACAAACATGAAATCATGATTTCATTCTTATAAAATATAAACTTTATTCCCCAATGAATATGATTACACGATTTCAATGTCCTTTTACAAATCATTAAATAGAGTAAATTTCTAAGGAATTTTTTATATACACGTCCTGACAGATCATCAAGTTAACATATAATGTGATTGACTGATTAATTGAATCTTCTTATAAACAATATTTTCATTGCCATTCATTCGTATTAAGATTGATTATCATAATTGATGTGATTTTTATAACATTGTAACTGTTAATCTTATTAAATGAGATAACATAGAAAATAAATTAAACTAAATTATGTTTCAGTTATTTATAGTATTCCTGGTGGTGATTTTAAATTGACATGTTCTTTTTCAGATACATTTTTAAAGCAGCGTGAATGTATTGTATTTACGTTTCAAATGGAATAAATTAATGTTTGCATTTTTTTTTCTTACAAAAAATTAAACCAACTCTCCCACCTTTCCGGTGAAAGTAACAAAAATCACATACTTTTAAACAATCAATAGAAATCTGAAGACAAAATTGTAATTTATCAATACAGTTACTTTTTTAATTAATTGACTTATCACAAACCATTTAACTGAAAAATTTCTATGATCATTGATGTTAGTTTTATATTTCTGTAGAATTTAATTATCAATGAATTTAATTACATTAACAGTGTAGAAAAATGTCTATAACAAATAAAGATAATTATTAAATATTATGCATTAAATTAATCAAATTAACAAATCTTACAAAAATAAAAGTTTGAAGTACAAATGGATTATCAGTATAGGATTGCGGAGATTGTTGAGTTTTAATTGAGATCATGAACCGATCAATTTTAAACCAACATTGAAAACCTGGAAAGATTGGCCGGTTGTTTCATCATGGTGTGAGACGCTTCAGGAGTGTGCAATCACGATCACAATCTCTGCATCCAAATCCAGGACCTTCGGTCTCGTGCGCGAACGCCTAAACTCTAGACGACTGAACCTGTATCTAATGTTATTAATGTCTAACTTCAAACAACCAATGATACTGTGAGATAACCTTACATTGTCTTCGGTGGGTAACTACCTCACACCAGATAAGGATTAGCTCCACTGGTCATGGGTTCTCATCAGAACTCCAAGAAATGTCACTCGAAGCAAGTCACTAGTGAGCACATAATAATCAGCAGTCTTTACTGTTCACTGCTTCTAAGCATTTCAAGTGATTTGGATTAGTTCGAAATTAAATGCATTTTACAACCAAGTTAATATATTTCTTTTCGAGATCTTGATAACCAATCTAATACATATATCTTTCTGATAATACAGAAGAATAATCCTCGTATTTTGAAAAAATAATGTTAAATTGTCAGGTTCAAAACCTATTCAATTAATGATACTAATTTTAAAGCGCATAATATTTTGATTCATTTAAACAAACGTTATAAAAAATTATATTATATTTGCAGCTAACTTTATACATAAGTATTTTAAGACATAAACACCGTTCGATGCCGGTTCAGTGGTCTAGAGGTTAAGCGTTAGCGCACGAGATCGAAGGTCATAGGTTCGAGTTCCGAGCGCGTGATCGCGGATGCGCACTACTGAAGAGTCCCAACTAGGGTGAAACGACCGTTCAAGTTTTCAATGTTGGTCTAACATTGATCGGTTCATGATCTCAATTAGAAATACGTGTGAATTAATGAAGTTGAACTACTACTAACCTGCGTACACGCATCACATAAATCCACTTGATGCTGTTGTATATAAGCATTAGAATCACTAATTACTTTTACTTGTTTGGTATCAATCTCATCTGGATAATCTTGAACATCGAAATTTTCAGATGTATTTGTCTCGGAATCAATGAAATTACTGTGCTTACTGATTGTTGGAACAGTATATGGTTGCCAATCATTTTGTTGGTCAACATATTTATATTGATTCTGTATTATTGCACCGTTTATATTTCCGCTTAATATATCATCATCAGAATCATTAGGTTTACTCCATGATACAATATCCCGTGATTTAGATTGTACAAATGTTTGAATATTTGACTTGATAGTATCATTTTGACACAAATGTTCCATTTTTAAATCAGATATCCAATGAGGTATGAAATTATTTTGTCCTGCTTCTTTTATATTCAACGGTGTAGTACAAGAATCTGTATCACTAGTATCCACTAATTTATATGACATCACCTGTGATCTGTACAATAAAAGGGATGAAGTAAAATTATTTAGTAAAACGATAGGTATATTTGATATGTACCGACCACAGAATGGGAAAAATACAAAAGACAATGCTACACAAAGTTTTTAGAGAATAGTTCACCAAAATCAGTCAATGATCTGAAAAGTGAATTACTTTGCGAATCTAAGTTGAACGAAATCAGAAAGTTCCAATTTGATACAACGAAAGAGCAGTGAGAAAAATTAATGTTCAATTAGTGAATTCCAATAAATAAAACATTATTGTACTTAGATAAATCTTATTTAATAAGTATAGGTCTCTTGACTCAGTTGCTTAATAGTTTTATATAAACCTTAAGATACAATGAAGGCATGTATGAGATGTGGTTTTATCCCCCCAAATATAAAATGCTACTTCAATATTGACTTGCATCATTGTCTGAATCAATGATAAGGAGTGAAGGAGAAGAACGCATAGATAATTTCACCCATCTTGGGAGTCTCATCAGTCCTGATGGACTGGTGTCGGACAAAATCTCATCACATGTTCACAAAACTCAGTAGGCTTTTGATAAATTGCATCACTGGTGGAGTAAGGGAGATATGTCTACCAACTAAGTAAAGGATGAGTTTATTGTGCAGTAGTGTTAATAGGTGTAGACTACCTGGTTGGGGGCCGCGTGATTAACGTCATCAATGATTATAGATTTTGAATTAAATGGCCCAAAATCGTTTGCAATGGTACAAACGTCGTGATGTTAGTCTGACTGTAAAAGGATAGATGTATAATGCGTGGGTGAGAGCAGTTTTCCTCTATGCTTGTGAGACCTGGTCTCTCCGAGTTGGAGATGTTAGACGACTCCGTGCTTGATCATCGTTGTCGCGCAAGGATTGCTAACATACCGTAGAAACACCATTTTAGTAATGCAGAGGTTCTTCATTGTGTGTTGAGATACAGTGGAGATGATTCAATTGATGTTAGTAAAGTGAAAAATCGACTTCGTTGGCTTGGACATGTCTTACGAAAGTCTACCTAGAAAATTCCACATCGTGCAATATTTGCCGACGCTGGGACCGGTTGGAAAAGGCGAAGAAGTCCCCAATGAATAACATGGTGTCGTGATATGAAAGAAAGATGCAAAGAACTGGCTTCTGTTGATCCCTTACAACCCCTGGTTGGGGTCCAACAGATGGTGTAATTCAATAACCAAAGACGCTATCAGACATGGCTCAGGATAGAAGTCGATGGTGATCTTCCAGTAACTTTAGCTTTCTTCATATAATTAAACGTAACTTCTTTAACTAAAAGAATTCTGTTATATCCTAGCAAAGATTAAATTACAAGTAACTTGTGAGAACTATTAACGGGCTAACATTATATATACTTCCTATTGTATAACTATTCAGCAATTAGATTATGTATATATATAACAATCCTATTATACGCCTCATTTTGACTTATAGATTATTATTACACAGTTTACTGTTCTCAAATTATGTTCAGTCTGTTAATTACAGTCTCCCACGTTCACAGCCACATTTTGGCTTGATCTTGTTTAAATGTTATTTCTTATTTTATGGGGTAATGCGGTTTGTTTGTCTGGTATATACAACCAAATACGTTTGAAATAAATGATTCGCATAGTGGAAGCTGGTATTGGTGATCTGGACTCAACTGGACGGGCTAGGCGAGCAAATGACCAATAAGGACGCTAGGCTGCTCATACTGGTCGAACCTCATTGGTTGAGTACAGTAATAAGATCGAATACGTCGTATTTCGATTGGCGAACAAATCACGTGATAAAAATCCGGGCATAAAGACAACTAATTCCTTCCGCTTGTCTTCTTCCTAACTAAACGATTTATTATTATCCGTGCATAAAAACAACAAATTCCTTCAAATTGTATTCTTCCTAACTGAACTGTTCATTATTATTATTATTATACTACCATACACTAATTTTTGTTCATCGTTGTTCTTTTGATATACGGACTTTACATTCTCTATCTCTTCACAACCTCATACGTATTTGGTGTCCCCTTGTACCAATGTTTATGTGCTCAAATCAATCAAATACAGCATTTTAATAAATAACACATTCAACCTTAAGAGTAGGTGAAACTAACTTTTTCATTTCAAGTTCACTTTTAAGACGATTTAATTCGATACGGAATTCCTCTCGTTCTAATTCTCTTTCTTCTATTTGCTCATTGAGGAATTTTTCCTACGCGAAATATGGAAGAAACAACCAAGAACTGATAAAAACTAGTTGTGTATTGATGAAATAAAAACGGAAAATTTTAATAGCCTCTCCGCCACACAATAAACTGGCAGACGAGAGTAAAAGTATAACTTATCTAAAACACCATTTTATCACTTTAGATTGTGCTATGGAGGGTTTTATTGAGCTTAAAGAAATTAAATTTTCGGCCGTTAAAATGAAAAGATAAAATGCCGATAAGTAGACTAAAGAAATGATATGATATGAGGTCGAATGAAGGCTATTTACGAGACTGAATAACTGATGTAAGCTCATTAATGATATAAAATCAAAGGCAAAGCCATTGGTTAGAAGAATAGGTTTTTCTTTGTCGGTCAAACAATCATGTGAGGTATAGAACCTGGAACACATGTGCATCGGCTTATGTTGTCACATCTCATCAGGAGAGCGAGATTAAGTTATCAAGAAAAATCCAAGAGTAGTAGAATTAGTAACAATATCAGTGATAGAAGGAAAGATTAGATATAGGAAAAAAGTATAAGATTTCGTAACTCGGACTGTAAAGGAAGATAAAAAGTAAATTTATGTGTTTCATTCGAACAGGTTACGATAATCACGCGGACCTCAACCAGGTAATATACACCTATTAACACGACTCAGTCCAATTGTAAATGACTTCATACACTTATGCCATGTTCTGTTATAGCCGCCGCTAGTTTTCTTCCAACCTACTCCTACACCATATAACATCTCACATCAAGGCAGACGGTGGTTAAACGTATGTAACACCAAATTACTCAAGAGATAGATCAATGACACATGATCGAATACTAGTAACTTGCGAATACATTTTATTTTTAATGGCCTTGCTTCATACATAAAATAAAATGATTTGACACGTATATATACAGAATCTTAACACAAAATTAACATGATTAACTGTCATATGACATTGGAGGAAGTCTGTCTGTAGGTCATTCAATTTAAAACAAAGTTGGGTAATTTACAATTCCCCACGCTAGAAATCTAAACCTAAACTTGATAAACTTTACTAGACAAAATTTCAGAAATTACTGTTTAAAACTGTAATGGGCCTCCTATTAATGATAAGACACGAAACACATTTACCATTTCCTGAATTCGAGACAATTATTGGTGATCTGTTCAATACAATACCAATAACAGTTATTGCGGATAATATGTAAAAGACGAACTGAGAAAGACATGGGGTTCATATACGAAACCAACCAGGATACGATTTATTAATTAATAATTCCAGATATTATCTTCATTAAAAAGAAAGTCAAAACGAATGATAAACATACTTTAGCTTGAAGTTTTTGTTGAACTGAGAATATTTCATTTTTTAATTCACGATTAATTAATTCCATTTCATCAAGTTGTTGCATCAGATCATGCCGATTTGTTTCCAATTCTACCAATGATGCAGTATGATTCCGTTCAAATTCTGAAAGTCGACGATCCATTTCAGCTTGTAATTGAATACGTTCTGTTTCAACAATTTGAGATGTTTCCAAAAGTGCTAAAGATTTACAAAACATTTACAATGCAGAATAAATTAGAGGTATATAAATAATTTTTTATACAGGGGAACAAAAATAAGATATATATTATTACATCGAGAGAAGGGTTATCCAACTATACGGGCTACACCGAATAAAGTAATACCTTAATTACACTACAATCCCTTTAAATAAGAACGTTGTATAACATCTGAAAAAAGAATGATGATGTATAAGAATTTCAACGAACGGGTTCATGCATCACAGTACTAACTATGAATTTTGACAAACATATACTGTAACAATTCACAATAAGACTGAATGCATTAATTTGTGAGCGGAAAAAATTCGAAGAATAAGATTATAAAGACAATTATTTGATGCCCTCTATAATCCAATAATCGATAGTGGATTTATACATAATTATTTGTTACTAAAGTCATAATGAACTGATGTGAATTACTGAAAAGTATGTTCACATAATAACGTCAGCCTCCAGATTCACAAATCAAATAAAAAAGAATCATAAAAAGGGTGAAAATACTTTCGATAAATATTGTGCAAAAGTAATTCAAATCACTGTTGAAAGCTTTATTATATACAAAATTATAAGTATGAAAGCAAATAAATGTTATGAAACACATCATTACGACAAGACTTACCAATCTTTGTATCGACAGGTAATTTTTCAGTTAACAACTGATGAGCGGTAAGTAACTGTTCACGAAGATTACGAACTAGTTCACAGTTTTCAATATCAACATCAACTTGATTTAATTTTGATATATCTGTTGATTCAATTAGCTTTTCATATCCAATTTTACATAACGTGAGAAGACGATCTATTTCAGGCAACAACTGCCCAAATATAGCTGTTTCAAAAAAGTAAACAATATACATATTATGTACGCTTACACAACTGAGCTACGCCGTTTAGTCTTCATAAATAATGGTTGAAAAACTGAAAGTTTCAAAATTTTAAAAGAAATTCTGATGGGCACAGAAAACATCCCAAAGTCATCACCTCGATTTGTCGAGAGACCTAATCCTGCATGTTATAGTAAGTAGTGTTATGGTGAATCTATAATGCAGTCATTAAGCTTAATTTAGACAAAAAGCAGCATTCTGGGTGTGACCTCATAAGAAAACCACCTGCTTCGATTTGGGCACCCGGGGAGTGCTCCTTTAAACCAATACTTATGTGTTAAAATAATTGAATATGCAGCCTTAAAATATTACTAACACTAACACAACTAAGGTCATTCTAAGCTTAATATAACAACTGACAAAACATTACAAAAATTTCAAACAAATTAGGACAATAATAAAATCACAAAATAACTTCGGTACTAGAAAAACAAAAATAAAACGATAAATAAGAACTTTTTTAATTACAACCAAAATAAGTATTCAAACAGAATATAAAAACAACATAAGTATATTGATACACACATTTTAGTAAAAGTTAACAAAACTAGGTTTAAAGCGCATAACAACAGAAAATTTATGAAAGAAAAACTAATTGTAGAAATCATGTTTGAGCACTTATTTAATTATATTATTAAAAATAGACTAATAGGAATTATTAGATTGTATAGAATTAACCCATTACTGAGTTTCCATGATTAAACGTTTAACAATAATCAAGAATAGTATCAAAGCTTTAGAATAATAATAATAATAATAATAATAATGACTCAAATTATTCACAAATAGAATTGGCATTAGATATGACTTTACACAAAGCAGTATTTACTGAAACAATTTGTTTTTCATCAAATGAAAAAAAACATTAATATCAACTAAAACATTGACTTTGATATCATGTTTTTTTCTATGAATAAAAGTAAAAATACTTTTTGAAAGCTGTTAAAATGACATACCAGTGAATAGAAAAATCAGATTTTCCGACGTTTCGTAACTTAGTGTAAGCCACTTCTTCAGAGAATAGGTAACCAAATTAGAATTAATTAAAGATTAAATAGTACAATGGAAATTTATATACAAGTCGCTTATGAATCATCTTTAGTGAAATAACATGACGTTGATTTATTCAGAAATGTTTTTTGATTGGTCACATAATGTTCGTGTTGTTCCGTTGTACTATTTAAACTTAGATTAAGTTTAATTTGGTTATTTAATCTGTGAAGAAGTACCTTACATTAAGTGACGAAACGTCAGAAAATCTAATTTGGGATATTACAAATATAATATTTATTTATAACAATCTATCTAATGCTCAATTTATTCAAAATTATCAAATCAAACCCTAGTGTTTGATATATTTTCTTATTACTTGAGATATAAATAATATCATTCTAATCAGTAACCGATTATCTTAAATACCTTGATTGGAAAAATTATCTAACAAGTTGTAAATCAATGTTATCGTTGAATAAATAATTTAATGGCATAGTAAAAAAAGCTACATAACGACATTTGACACTGCCTGGTGTTTAAGAAAATGAACAATTGTGATAAATAGTTCTTTTAACACTCAGATACCTTACTTTTCATCCACTAGAGCACATTATTTCAACCTTACAATAGCGCTCATTTCAGATATTTAAGTATGAATAATTGACATTTTATCATGTTATGAACGAAAATTTATAATAGTCGGACTCATGAGTCGATCAAATTTACGCCACTGAAAACCAGGAAACACTGGACGGTCGTTTCATCCCAATATAAAGCTCTTCAGTAGTGCGCATCCATGATCCCGCATGCGGGACTCAAACCCAGGACCTTCGGTTCAGAGAGCCAAGGCACAATTTCTAGATCAGTGAGCCGGCTTCCAATGGTGTTGATATCTAACTTCAATCGGTCCATAAACATGCGCAACCATTCACCCACTGTCTGAGGTAGATACCTATCTCTACCCGACACAGATTGGACTCTATTAGTCACAACTTCTTACTAGAACTCCAGGAAATACATCTTGATGCTAGTCACCAGTGAGCACATGAGTATCATAAAAATGGAAGTTTCTGGAGATTGCAATAATTTTTAATGACTCCTGCATGCAGGATTGTGGACGCACACTATTGAAGAGTCCCATACTAGGACGAAACAGCCGTCCAGTGTTCCCAGGTTTTTAATGGTGATCTAGTTTAAATCGATTCATGAATTCAACTAATAAGAATTTATTCGACCAAAATAAAAACTACAACACACACACAACGCACTACAACAATAATGTAAACCAATAAAAGTACAATTGAAATACTCATTATTTTCTATCCACTATTTAGACACAAAATATCACAAGTACTGAACAATTACATCTGGTTATTCATCAATCTGATATCATTCTTTTATATTCAAAATAATAATAAACCGTCTAAAGAAAATTTCCACCGATTAAAATGTTAAAATCAACCTACACGTTAAAAACTTGCAATCTGTTCGGAAATGATTTAAATATTTTGTATTGGATATAACATTGGTAACCAGTAAATGATCACATTCATTCAAGTAATCATTAAGAAGTTGAACTAAAGAGAAAGTAGAGGAGAATATGATGAATGAATCCTAAGAAATAAGAAACTTCATGATAAAAGTTTATTCTACTCTTACAAACAAAGAATGCCTAAGAAACACAATAAAATGTAAATGTATGATATTATTTAGGGATAGAGAAAAATGTTTTCATTTAATTATCTATAAGTAAAAGCAAGCATAATGTTCTAGATTGATACACAGAATAAAGGTTGAAATGGAGAGGAAAATGAATAAATTAGGATGAAACATATGAGAGTACAAATGGAAGTATCCAATTGTAGCAGAAGGATAAGGGTTGAATATAAATGAAGCAGTTTAGATCATTTGAAACTCTATTGCTCAGTGTTTGAACATGTAATTTATGAGTTAACCACTATTTACAACTTATGAGCTATATACTAATTGAAAATCAGTGAATGAAAATTTTAATGCCACCGAATGAAATGGTTATAAACGCAAAAAGTAACGACATTATTGCTACTATGATCTTTTAATGAATTAAGTAAATTCAGAATACGTTACTGTGTAGAACAGAAAAGGAAACAGTTTACATAATAGATGTAGAAACATATCTCAAGGAAGCTACTGCACCATGTATATTTAACTGGAGAAATCAACTAAGAACTCACCTAACATAGTTACCGAACCAAGCTACTGGATCACTCACTCCCAAACAACCTAGAGACTTCCAGGCATAAGCTTATCTCATAAAGTTTTCCTAACATATTTATAAGATAAATATAACCTAAGTAATCATTAGTGATGCAGACTAGTTGTCGATAGTGAAAGTAGGAGATATTTTCCAATGCTATTTTTACGAATAAATCTTGGAAAGAAATATCGATCAAATGTAAACGTGAATAATAATAATAATTATTATAATTATAATTATAATATACTCATAAATAAATGAACATAGAATGGCTGATATTGTCCAAAAGGACAATGAATGCTTCACGATTAAACCATCTAATTCAAAGAACGACACTTCATCTAGAAAGATTAATAACATTGAATATAAGGTAGTAACTTAAGTATAACAAATTAAGTGTTATTCCATTTTATTCACGTGTGTAAACACATACTGAATATAAACTGAATTCTAAATACTACTTCAATTGTCAATTATACGTCATAACGTGAACAATTCATAACATGGAATTATTTTAATAGGTTAAGAAAAGTGAACAATAAAAAAGACAAGTTCTATATTTTATTTATATTAGCTGTGAGAAAATTTTAGATTTTATATTAAAAAATTTTATGTTTTCATAATAGCTAACATGAAAGTGAATATTATGTTCAAGCGATTATCGTAACAAATAATTGAGAACATTGATTTCGGATTAATTAAAACGGTCAGGTGATTTTAATCTTTAAATTTTTGAAGATCTTGAGCTTCTAGAATTGTTCCGTGAAATCTATTCATTCTTCCCTAATCATATTCTCTATATCTGGTAATTTTTTATCATCATCAGTACTATTCATAATTCTACTACTTTGGTATACATTTTGATCGTTTCATCTTGATATGCTGATATGATTGACAGGAAGCAAATAGCACTAACATACATATATAACAAATTTTACAACATTGCTCACAACTAACTGACGATTTTATGCTAAATGTTACAAGTACAATATATCATTATATTCTGACGTCGATAAAAATAAAAATTACTTGAATTAATAATACAATAAAAATATATAATTGCATTACATAAATCAACAAACCATCAACATATACCTTTTAATTCATTCTTTTTCTCTTGTTCACTATTTTTCATATCACAATCCAATGATAAATCATTATTCATCCATGAATATTGATCATTGATACGTGCAGTTAACTCATGTTTCAATTTTGTACTGACATCAATTATGGACAAAATCAATTTGTGATAAAATTCTAGACAAACTGTGTAACTAGAACACACGAAAAATGAAGAGAGAAAAAAAGGTACAATCAAAAATAAAGAGAAAAAAACAGTGATTATTGATTTGTTTTTTTTTAGAAAAATAAAAACTTTTTAAATGAAAAATTAAATAAATTCACTGAATGAAAGATGTTTTCTGTTCAATAACAAAATTAAAAGAAGGGATGTAAACAAAAGTGAATTTGGTTAGTGACTAGCTAGTTAAATATAGAATGAAGAAAAATTATAATCGTTTATAATATATTACTGAATTTTATTTAAAATATAAACCAAAGTATTTACATTGGTCAATAAGATATTACTAAGTATGCATAAATTAAATGATAAATGTAAAACATATGATGAAAAATGAAAATTCTCTATTAGTACCCTGTGTATTGTAAGATGCTTAGGAGTCCAATAATTGAACGAAACGGTCGTCCAGTGCTTCCAGGTTTTTCATGGGGGGTCTAGCCTCAACTGACTCATGATCTCAACCACTGAAATTGCTATAATATTTACAAAACCCCTTCTGATATTATTTGTGTTGAGTAGAATCTATGAAAAGAATCTTTTTAAGGATAGATGTGTAAAGTATAAGAGACGGTAATCGATGAAATATTTGGTAGTTTATACTAGAATAATTATATATTTGCTTTTTTTCTCAATTTTGCATAGAAAACAAGTAAATTACACGAAAAAAAAATTGTATGATACACAGAGAATAAACATTTTATAAATAACAGTAATTGATGGTTTGATCAATACAGGTAAGACCACGAGATGAAAGTCATCAAATCTATGAACATTTAGGGGAAATGCCAAAGACGAAACAAGTGTGTTGCCTAAATCAGCGTGGAGATTACGTTACTTACCAACTTATTAGGGTTGATGAGGCATCCAACAAAGAAAATGGTTAATTATTAGTAATAAAAAGTAGAAACCAAACCAGTGTATCGATTAAACCGTTACAAACGATGTTCTATTTTGGAGAAATTTTCGATTCGACCGACTAACTTCTAAATACCTTAACATTAAATTAATTCAATATTAGCCCATAAATAATTGTAACGCTTCATCATTCGATTAAAAAAGGCTGACATAAACTGTTCTAGCGGAAAATATTGCTATTATTCAACCTGAGATCAACAGAATAGGAGTTCAAACATTTCAAGCATAAACATCTGCATTACATACTATTAACTAAGCATAATAATGCACAACATAAACTAAGTAACAAACAGGAAATGCTATACAAACATAATTTTGGAGACTTTCACTAGGGATATACTAGAATGAATTTGAGTAATTTCATGATATATCTCTAAAAATAAGATAGAAAGTCTATTTGTAGTATAACGCTCAATGAAACGTTAACACTGAATTAAACAAATTAAGATTCAACTGAAAAATATATCAGATAGTTTTTATTTAAGAAAGAAGCTAACAGAAGAAGGTTATAGTTAAATACTTAAGCAAACAGTTTTTACCATTGAGAAAATATTTTCTCAGCTAGCTTAACTTCTATCAATATTACACAAGGTCATTAAAATTACACGATAAATTTTTCTATATTAAACAATAATTACAATGCTTATATAAATAATACAACTTTAACTGGTATGCAAACTATGTATACGATAGTTTAGAGATTATAACACCTAAAATCAACTGGAGTGAAAATTAGGAGTATTATATGTGCTGAAGATTATCATGAATAGTAAATTTAGTATTCGCTAAGAAGCTTATTTCGATTTCTAGATTCATGTCTCCAGTTAAGAAAACAAACTTTATCATATATTTTGAAATATATCTTTGAATTTTCTTAACAACAGTAGTTAACAAGAAAATATTACGTCGATGAACGGCATACTTTAGTGTAGATACATACATTTAAAATTTTAGAACATCAAACTAGCTATTTAATTAACAATTCAACTTGCTACATAAAACTGATTCTCATTTATTCATTCGTTTTATACAAAACATTCAAAAAGTATCAGACTATTTTAAAGACCATTAACATACTTATGAACAGAACACATTAAAAAGGAACGAAGAGTATAGAACCTAACATGATACACATGTGCTTAACTGTAAAACAGGTCATTAATTTGAAGGTTGTATATATCACAAATTATTTTCAGTAAAACCTGCCAATGAAAACCAGCAAGCGTAACTATCACCAGTGAATTATCATCGCACTACGTTACCAATTAATTAAATTTGAGATTTTACCACTCGACTCCGGCTCTGGTTCCGATGGTTAAGCGTTTGTCGCGAGACCTGGATATCCGATGTTCGATCCTGTGCTAGAATGGAACGGCTATCTGGCATTCTCCGGTACCTTAACTAAGATTAATTTACGGTGAGTACAAACTATAATTTAAACCAATGTCTATAAAACTCCTTCCAACCAGATTAGTCTATTTGATAGATTTGGAAAATAAAATGAGAAAATGAAGTTTATCGAAATATATTTCTTATTGAACTATCTAAAGTTGTCGTGCTACAACATCAGTAAAGTGAGAACAAATCAACAAATAGAAAATAATCAAATAAAAGACTCAGTGTATATTAAAACCAATAGTATTGAAAACCAATCATAAAGGATACAGTTTGACTAAAAAAATAACAGATATAAATATTATTTTCACTTACTTTTTAATTTGATCATCACAATTCACTGTTAGATCAGGCTCAGTTTGTAAATAGACAGAATGTGAAAATACATTTTTAACCTGAGAAAAATGAGTATCAATAAATATAAACTCATCAATCATGATCAACAATAAATACGACAGTATATTAATGATAAAAACGTATGACAGTTATGTATATGTACTTAGTTGACAAGCAAGAAAACGTATGACTAAAGTGTATAGGAAGAGCGAAATATCTACAATAGATATATATTAAGTCGGCAGGATTGAAAACTTCTGCACCAACTTTCGTTCGAACATTAGTATAAAGTGAAGTACTTATTTAACGAACAACGTTATAAACATAAACTAGATATTATTCATGGAAAAAGGATGGATCTTGGCTAGTAATGGAGTCCAGGAGGCGCGTTTCGACCTATTTAGGACTTGCGAGGTGAATATAAGTGGAGTCTAGTGTTGATGTTCACACTATGACTCACACCCAGTACCATTCGCTGCAGAGTTCAAGGCGTTAACCCATAGTCTAGAGGAGGGGGCCAATAAACTGCTCAACACGAGCATGTAAGGTACAACTATCCGACGACGTTCAAATGGAACGAGTCGCGAACCTTGGATACCACTTCTAACGACAATCAACATATTCCAAAATACTTGTGACTAAATAGTTATATCAAAGTTATCCGCATAAGAAGCGCATGTGCAAACAAAGACTGATCGAAATTCAGTTTTGAATATCGACAACAAGAAAATTCAAACCCTTATTATTAATTATCTAAGTCCTGCTTGGATAAACATTCAGGAACTAATCGTAAGATTCATTAACTTTCGTTACCTGCACAAATATAAGTTTTGGAAAATACTAACAATTTACAAAGTCCAACCTATTAACAATTTCATTGCATCACAAATAACATAGGATCAAACTAGCGCAAGTGAATAAACACTTTTAGATTTATGCAACGTTAATATGTTCAAAATAAAATAAACGTGAGAGTACTTGATTTAGTAAGGCGATCAACTGAAAAACTGGATAATTATATCATTATTGTGCGATGTATATAAATAGTAAAAGTAATAATTAGTTTTGACTAATACAATGATAAATAATAATGAATAATATTAATTTTCCAATTTAAAAACCATCAAATCTCATTTAACCTTCATCATGAATGGGGTGGAATGAAAAAAAATTATTTTCAGAAGTAAAACTACCCTATAATAATCGATTAGTGTGTGGTAATAGTCATACTATTAGTATTGGTACTATTAACCAACATCATGTCATCTACACTGTGATGGCGACAAGTTTGATCGATTCATTTTCTTCAGTGTCCATTAATGAGACAAATTACTGAAAGGTGCGCTTTATTTAACTATTTATTTATATAAAGACGAATTATTTCGTAAATTTAATTCACAACATACTATAACTAAAATTTACTCATGGATGATTATGCACTGGTCAGGTCAATGTATAAAAAGGGACAATTTAAGGGTGTGGCAACTTTAAGATGACGCATATATGTACGTATAAGCTAAAGGTTGCGTCCTTGTGTAAAAAGGGCTTAGATAAAATACAAAACAGCCAAAAACCCAGCAACTTTAAATTTGACGAAGAAAAATTGATTATTTATTTTTGGTGATTAATCAGAAGGGACTTCATGTGAAAAGTAATGCATAGAATTGTTAGCGTTCAAATAACTTTGAACCAGTTGTACATTAGATCATATGATGCTACAATTACTCGACATCTTTAAAAAATGATATTAAAACAACATTATCGAAACAAATTTTCAAAAAACATTTCACAGTTCATTTTGTCAATAAACTGACAATAGTGCAGAATAATATGAATTCATTTTATTTTGTTAGGTTTTCATTAGCAGCTGATGAGAACCTAACGAAATAAAATGAATTCATATTATTCTGCACCAATCTTCGTCCTATCTCTCATTAAGATAATAAAGGGAACTATCTATATGAAACTGACACTAGTTGAATGAAAATTTAAGACAACGAAGCTGTTTTGTCCTAATGTCAGTTTGTAATGAAGAATATGTCTAAAATATTTCACGAAAATCTCTAAAGTATTCCATTCAATAATGATACATAATTGTAAGCGAATGGGACGGTGGCTCAGTAGTTAAGGCACTCGACTTTCAGCTCTCAAGTCTCAGGTTTGAACCCCGCTACAGATAATTCGGTTTCGACAGCTGAGTAGCAGTATCACTGGTCAAAAGATTTAGAGTGTAAGGTGGTGGTTTGAGGGAGTCAACAAGAATCCCTGGACATAGGTTTCGTGCTATTTGGCACTCGTCAGAAAGAAGCATTTGTTATTTCTAGGGAACTGATGCCCCCTGACGGATTCGATCTCGTGTCAAACACCTTCACAGACAGAGGCGTTATCACTAAGCTAACCGGGCTGCAACTAACCTCCTTTACGACTGATATGTAATTATAATTGGTTGGTCACTAAATAGTGACCAGTGTCAAATGTGTCAGGTTATTATTAGTCCCCTTAGGATTACAGGTACAGCTTGCTAACGAGTACCGAATAGCAAGAAACTACGTTCAGAGATTCCCGTCAACTACCTCCAAACAGCACCTTATATCTCAGCGCAGTGCACGCGATGTCGTGTCACCTAAAATGGCGGCCACATTGCAACTTAGTCGATAGAATCCGATCTGCACTAAGAAGCTGAAATACATGACATTGATCACTAACCAGTGACCGATCAATTGTAAAATGATTTGAAATCAAGTACACGAAATTGTACCTGGTAAGTTATTAATAATTTTAAAAAATTGAGGAGAGGATGAGAGAAACAAAGGATCAAATAATACTACCACGTTACATATAAAATTCCCGGATATTGTCTGGTGATGCAATCGTGATATTGTAGTGAGATTTAGATATAAATCAAAATTCTAATCCAGAGAATCTACAATAGCGTCCAGAAATTTTTAATTCAATAAGACAATCAAAAATGTAAGGGAAATTTTACCCTTCGTTAAAACTTTATTTTAATTCAATTCTCATCTCCATCGCATTTGACTCCCGAAGATTAGCGGCTTGACCTGAGCAGATAACTACATATGAACATTTTAACCATGTTTGATAAAATATAAATAAGAACAAAATGAACCAAATCTAAAAGTTCACCTTCTATTCAAAAGTTCTTTTATCTTTGTCAATATAAAAAACTGGATAAGTAAAGTAAGGCATACCTCAGGATCTGTCTGTGTAAATATGTCATTATTTGGTAAATGCAATAACTTGTAATTTTCAGTTGTATTATCAGCTTCTTGTAGGGTCTCATCGCATTGCGTACCTAAAAATACAAACAACCCAGCACGAACAGATATGTCGTAATAGCAATAATAGTAATAATAAAATTATATACATGAAGGGATGATAATGAGGAAACAATTAAATAAACAAATGTTGTGGTATCATGTTAAGAGCCTTGTATAACAAAGACTATGTATTATCTCATCAGAGAAAAATACCTCATTATTAAGCGAGAGTCAATCTTATGAGAGAATCTTACTATCAAGAGTTTTGTCAGTTAATGAATAAAAAAAATTTACCTAGTTGAATGATAAAATACTGCTTTGTACTGTATTGATTTTGTTAAACTTCTGATAGATCATAATACATATACATATATGTCTCTTATATGGATTTTAATAGAAAAACCTGTGTTACTTGCTTAAATGTTTAAAATTATCTTTATAAGTGCTAGAAAACTTAAAACACCAAGCATTTAAAATAGTATAAAGAATATTAGAGTAGTTGAAACAAGTGGATTATAACACTGCTGCTACATATTGATACAAATGCATGCGTACAACAAGTAGATATAATTCAAGAAATAGAAATATTCATACACAAAAAAAATGTTTATTTCGTACCAACTTCTGTATTCAATATTGATTGTTCAATAATTTTTTCTGTACACTATAAAATAAATAAAACCATTAATACATAACATATATTCATTTAATATAAATAAATGAGAATAGTTATTTTGAAAAATTGGTTAGATAACATGTTAATGTCTACCTGCGAATCGATGCTTTCAGCAAATAAATATTAAACATAACGTAGTGAGTACCAATCTTAGTTTGAACATACAGCTTAAGTAAATAAGTTCAGTTGCAGTAGGGCAAACAAGCCTATTCTTCTTCCTCCTTTTTTTATCTTCTGATCCGATTGGCCCTTCTAGAACTAATTTATGATCATTTAAGCCATAATTACTTCGATATTTAAATAGAAGTGTAGTGTTTACTGAAGATGAAGTAAGACAATATTAGATTTTCCCTTGATTACGCAACTAACAACTGACGCACCAAATGACTAAAAGCTATGTTTAAAAAAAGTATGAGAACTATTACCTAACTCAAAATATATTTTGGTGATCTAAATGCTTACTAAAATTTACAACAATGAATAAAGAGTAGATACTAAGTTGTTTATATACCAGGTAAACATAACAAAAAGACTCACAAATTCTTCTTGAGCTGCATGTATAGCTTCATAAGCCATAATTTTTGCTTGAAGCTCTACACAATGTTCACACTGCAGTTTGTAGAAAAATAAAATCCCAGAAAGAGATAAAAGCATCTTTGTTACTCATAAAAATTACATTAGTCACTCGTAAACAAAAAACACGTTAACAGAGCACAAACAACCAAACGGTAAAAATGATTTAATGATTTTTTAAAAATACTTTGAATGATCTACAGTGGATCATTTTATTTTGTTGAATATGTCAAAATTACTAAAATTATTCGTTTACTTTGCTTTATTGTTCGTTGGATGTAGCTATAAAAAGTTATCAACAATGAACGAAATATCACAATTAAACATTTTAATTAACTCAACACCAGGTACATATTGATGTATTTGGTTTCAAGCCAAACCACTAATGTAAGGACTAGTGATATCAGCTAGCTCACTACACCTAAATAAATATAATAGAGTTCGAAACTGTGATTCATTGTTTGGAAGCCAAGTCAGTCAATAAATACGTAATATAGAACCTGGAAAAATGTGCTGAAAGTCGAATGCCTTAACCACTGACTCAAAGCATCGAATTCCTACATAAAAAAGTAGATCAATAGTTAAATAACACCTTTTTCGATAGAAAATTGATCACGACATATTTGTTATTTGATAACATTTAGTAGCTTAACCATCAACTTGGTTAGTGAAGATTATAAAAAATCCTGCCTGTGTTGCTAGGATAACTCAACAGTGATGAATAAAATTACATTAAGCTCACAACATTTTTGATATAACCTTCAAACAACTTTTCACGGGTTGACGTTCCTTTATTTGATGGAGGTTTCAAGATTGGAGACGTAAATGTTAAATAGATATAGAAAATAATGGAATATATATAGACAGTGATGTAGTCAGTAATTATAAAGTTGCTCATATACACGAAACAAGTCGAAGGACCCACTGACACAAAAACAACTGTGGTCATTTTACTTTAGTGATTGTTTTATAACACGTACAATATTAGCTACTGAAGCACTGCTAGAGAATGGAGAAATAACTAACCATTTTGAGCAAGATGAGGATTTGAATATACAGAAAGACGTCTAACAGCTATAACAAGGTAAATAAGGCGATCACTGTAAATCCTTCATTATCAGAGAGCACTTACTTAATTTCATATTTGTTTTGCTTAAAATTAAAATTCTTCAAGGGTCATTGAACATACACATACTTTTAGAAAAGGAAAAAAGGCATTCTGGTTTTATTCAGTTATTGGTCCTGCGATTTTAATCCTACTGTGATCAATATGAATGTGATTTTGGATGAGTCGGGTCTTAAAACTAATAAACTACATCCTAATTAGGTAACCAGCGATTAAAACAGAAAATTCATGAAAGGATAATTCAAAGCTGAACAAAATGTTGAAAAAAAACTGGGAGAGTTTACGAAATTTGAATGCTTGTGTAAATGAAACGTTGTCACTGAGACATCCAACAAATCTCCGACCACAACAATACTTTAAAAGCTACTACCACGCACAACAAAACCGATGATATTTTACAAAACGATTAAGGTTTTATTATTGAAAAGAACAGAATGCAAGCAACTCTGCTTATAGTACAATAAAGAAAATGAAGTCTTAAAAATGTATAGACAGAAATTTTAACTTACAGGAGATAAAGATGTTTTAACAGGAGTAGGTTTTTCAGTAGTAGTTTCAGAGTCACTGGATTTATCTGCACTCATTTCATTTTCTATTTGTAAATCACTCTTATTTAAAGACCAGTCATACAACCGAGTTGATCCTGGGGGCAATGTTGGTAGCAAACTACTTGATTTTTGTGAAGAAGGTTCATTAGAAGTTGAAACTAACTGGAAAAAGGAATTCCCAATATGAACAATGCAAAAATCACTTTTATTTGATGAGTTTGTTACAGATAATATAGCGATCGGCAAAAAAATAAATTGTCACACTTTTAATCAGAACAATGATAGAAAGCAAAAGAGTTTAAATAATAATATCGATGATCTTCTGGAACTGGATTAAATAAATAAATAATTTCAAAACTTAAGATTAAAAAGTATATAGGAAATTATTAATTCTGTACCAATGTATATCATATCGAGAGGTCAACCAAGGTCCTCTGGCAGTAATTATTTTTACGTGGAACTCAAGTAGGAAGTCAGAACCCAACAACATTGATCACACCAACAGTCGACGAGTTCATGAACTAATAGTCTAGCCACTAACTTCCTTACAACCTATTTCTAAGCCAGCCAAGATTGCACGTTGGGGTAGGCTGTGTTTAAGCATAAGTAAACAATAATGGATTTGCAATAGTCGTTTTAAAAACCCTATCTGAGTCTGCATGAACGATAATCAAGTCTTGTAATTGAATCATCCAGCTTACATAACATAACGCTATGCCAAAAGCCTCTAACTCAGTTATCAATCTTTCCAGTGAGTTTCACACGTAAATGAAGATAAAAAGACCAATGCGCAAAATATACGGTTTTAAATTTATAAATAAACTGACCTCATCTTTTAACTCCAACAATTGAGTTGTTAAACCGGGTTTGTAAAGCTTGTTATCACTGGAAAAAAGAGAAAAGAAACAGCTTATATATATATATATATATATATATATATATATATATATATAGCGAGAGAGAGTAAATTTGCTTTTGTCAGAACACCATAACAATACTTCTAACAATAAATTAAATTCCAATGAAAAAAAGCAAACGTTTAGTATGTCTGTTTGCTGAAATAAAACAAATAGACTACACAGTCGCAAAGTAAGAAAAAAGAAATACAATTAAAATACATTTAAAACTATACCAGTGTAGTGGAAATTCAATTCGTCAAATTACCCGTACTTTAATAGTTATGACTTGAAAAATATGAAAGAACACTTTAAAGAACAAGAAAACGTTTTTTCAAAACTTTATATCAAAAAATCTGATAATTTATACATTTTCCATTGATCAATACGTATATTGATCGTTGAACTTAAACAAAACAAAATAATAAACAGTCCGATTATGCAAATTATACATTGTATATGATACTAACAGTAACAGCACCCCAACGTATTAGTCTAAAATAACAAGCCAAAGGTCTAAGTATAAGATGAGTGGGAATATCAGACTGAACAAAACTGAGAATTTGTAGCCTTTCATTGCTTTTGCTTTGTGCAGTAGTTCTTTTATTGTAATAATCATTTATTTTAATGATTGTTATTCGCAATATTAATTTCAATTAATTTACATAATACAGATTTATATACTCAGCTTTGAGTCACTGACGTTGCTCCACTGCCTTGTGGATCAAATTTTAGGTTGAAGACTCTGAGTGTGTCTTCATAAGAACACCACCTGCTTCGGACTGGCCACCTGGGCGGTATCACAGCTCACACAAAAACCAAGTGACTTGAGTAGCGCATATGTATTCGTTGCCCCTTTGTACCAATATTTATGTGTTTAAATAAATAAATATGGCGAACTGTCATCTGATTTTGCAACCGCAAGTGGTGTCCGTCTAGGTTGTCCACTATCTCCATTTCTGTTTTATTTCATCATAGATATACTGCTGAAAATAACGTCCTCAGCGACCGAATTTTCACGAATTGACTTCCGTCCAGAAGGTCCACTTATCGACTTGGAATATGCAGATGACATAGTTCTGTTTGGTGAAGACGTTGATAAAATGCACAGTCTTTTGGTAGCACTGAGCAACAGTGCCGGCGTGTTTGGAATTCATTTCTCCCTTTCTAAATGCAAATTGTCGCTTCAGGACTGGTCTGCGTCGACATCTGAACTAAGGATAGGGAGTGAAGTAGTCGAACGCGTTGACAACTTCACTTATCTTGGAAGTCTGATCAGCCCTAATGGGTTGGTGTATGATGAAATCTCAGCACGGATTCAAAAAGCTCGCTTGGCTTTTGCCAACTTACGTCACCTATGGCAAAGACGAGATATCCGTCTATCAATTATGGGACGAGTTTACTGGGCGGCAGTTCGTTCCGTTCTACTCTATGGCTGTGAAACGTGACCATTAAGAGTAGAAAATACTCGTAAGTTACTATTATTTGACCACATGTGCCTTAGAAATATTGCTCGCATCTGCTGAGATCACCGGGTAAGTAATAGTGGGGTTAGATTCAGGGTATTAGGGAATGATGGTGAGTCAGTTGATGAGGTCGTGAATCTAAATCGACTGAGATGGTTGAGCCACGTGTTGAGTATGCCTAAACATCGATTACCACGCCGCGCAATGCTGATCAGTGTTGGGGACGGTTGGAAGAAAGTTAGGGTTAGCCAAAACAAATAGACTTGACGGAAACCACTTGAGGTTGCAAAAGCAGATGACAGTTCGCCATAAGCTCTGACTCGACTAGTAGTGTTCGAGTAAAGAGCCTTCACAAGGTTTATGTACTTCTGAGGTACGCCTTTCAATGACAGACACTGCCACAAAACCTCTCGGTTCACAGAGTCAAATGCTGCTTTTAAGTCAAGAAAGACCACCATTATCGGACGCCGATAAGTATGCCTGCGTTCTAGAACCTGACGAATTGCGAATATGTGGTCGATGCATCCACGACCAGATCTGAGGCCAGTCTGATTATCTCGTGTTTGCAGTTCATGAGTCTTAGTTGGGCGTCCGATAATTATTGAGGCCAGTATTTTAGATGTTATGTTAGTCAAACTAATCCCTTAATGGTTATCACAGGATGATTTCGACTCTTTCTTATATATTGGGACAATAAGACTTTGTGACCAGTCAGATTTGATAACGTCCAACTCTCAGATTTTAGCTAAATTATTAGTCAACCTAATCGTCAAATTGGACCACCATACGTAAAGACTTTTGGAGCCAATCCTATAGCCGCTACCCTTTCTATCTCTTTCGTTTTTGTTGCCCACCACTGCTCACGGTCGTTTCTTAGACTTTTGCTTAATCTAGATCTGATTCGCTTTCGCTCATCATCGTGTTCAGAGCCTGATGGGATGAGTTTGCGAGAATCCATCAGTGCAATAAACTTAGAAGAAATCCATTGGTTTTTTGTAACTATTTGGTTTAAATCACTAATAGATGTCACTGCTGTTTCCACAGCTATTCGTATATCTTTTCCAAGCCACATCTGGATCAGCCTCGTTTTCAGGACCACCTAAGTGTGACCTCAGTTGTTCATGGAACCTACTTTTGGTTTTCGCACTACTCAGTTCAATTCTAATGGGTATTTTTAGTGTGGCTTTTCTGTGTCTAGTGAGGCACCTTTTTCCGTATTAAATCGAGATTCCTGATGAAAAATTAATTTTAATTAAATTAAATCCAACTAAAACCATCTTCGATTTCATTAGTAGAGCAGTGGTTTAATATGGTTCGCTTAACTTATAACTACAGCAGTAGGTTCAAACCCCGCTATACTTGCTTTCGTTTGGGAAACGGGATAGTTTAACTAACCCTTACAGTTAGATTGTGTCTCGTAGCCAAATACACAAATCTTCCCTTGAGAAAAGATTGAAGAAATGTACAGTTTTAACATGATACGTAAATAATAAACAATCTTACCTAGTTAAATGCGTGCTATTGTTTATAACTGGTTTTGAAATATTACTATGTGATAATTGTGAGAGTTGAGCATTTTGACGTAGCAAATCTAGTTCTTGACGAAGTTCCTCCATTTCATCTAATAATCTTAAATAATCCACTTTTGATACGACCTCATTAACTTCTTTTTCTTCTTGTTTTATGTATGGTGTGGTCTTCAAATCACTATTCCATCCTAAAACATCATTTGTTAAATCGGATAGATTAGCACAACTGAATGGAGTAACGACAGTTTCATTTGGTAATGATTTTCTAGGTGTACTAGATAGTGCTGGAGACACTGAATCCAATACTTCTCCCACTAGAAAAAAAAAACAGAATCATTAAAAGCAGATTATTAAGAAATATCTAAATTGAAAAAAATTAAACATTACAGTTTGAATTAAATTAATTAAAATTTATCTATTGCGTGAAGTTTAATTACTGCGACCAAGTAAGTTTAAAGTTATTTATATGTGATCATTAAAACAAACGGAATGGGTGTATAAATTGTTAAGGCGATTAGTTTGAATTTTAAAGGACAAACAAAATGAAAAAAACATTAAATAATTCAAAGAATGATAGTAATGATAATAATATTGAATTTTTTTGGGTAGAAAAATGATTGAATACATCGTATACATTCCTTTAGGTACACTGAATTCGTGTCGGTATTCAAACAGCCAACACAAATTAACTACATAATAAAGTAATAGTAAATTTTATCTAAAAAAGTGTATAGCGTCTATTATTATTGTTATTAATGCCATCATTACCACTATTATTATTATTTGTTATTATTATTATTATTATTATTATTATTATTATTAGTAGTAGTAGTAGTAGTAGTAGTAGTAGTAGTAATAGTAGTAGTGGTAGTTTTAGTAATGCTAGTACTAATAGTAGTCGTACAATACGCCTTAATTAGAAACTAACTATAACGAACTTAAATGATATTTATAACTAATTACAATTGATGAAGTAAATGCTCTGAGAACATCAAAGAGAAGAGCACGAGCGCACGACAGTATATTGCAAGTAAATGTTTCAATAACTATTAAATAAACTTGGATAGGTTCAATTTAAAATAAAACACTTAAAACTAACTGTGATGAGAACGCTATAGTAGCTCCTCTTAAAGCACATATATTATGAATTATTTGGGTGAATATAATACTGTAACTCAACAATCAAGTGTTGTCTGTTTAAAGTAAAGTATGTGGAGTGAGTTTGAACCTGCAACTAAAACTTAATTATATGCCCTAAATATATATCATGTTGATAAACTGATCTAATGACAAAAGTCAAATGAAAAAAGTGGTATCCATAACAAAAATATGTTAGAATATAAGGTCAAAAATAACACCTGCCTTCCTTCATTCTGATAAATATTAAGATGTAATTGAAAATAAATTGTTTTCAGTTTGTTGTATGAATAACCTTGAGTAATTTCAATGTCTGTTGTACTTGGTAACGTTGAAGGACCAGGAAAAAAAGGCTCAGAACAAACAAACTGGTGTATCAAATAACATAAATGAAAATTGTTTTAAATAACAACAACTGTTGTGAATTTTGTTTCTCGAGTATTCACTGATTAGCCATGCCAAAGAAAATCCTAAACTCTATACATATGCAATGAAATTAATTGTTTTCATAATGCGAGGGTTTAGTTTTGTAAAACCTCCAAACATTATTTTCATGAATTTTATTACACAGTTTGTTGTGCACACGCCTAAAAGCCGAAAACAGCCATATTTTGAATTAACACACAATATCATCTGTAATTTTCTGCATTTACACCACTACATTAAGATATTAAGTGACTGAAGGTAGACGATAAGAAACTCTGGACCTATTTTTTGTAATACTTGGCAATAGTCATCAAAGTGTACCAGTAATCTTGCAAAATAAATGACAGAATTCGATTAGTACTAAAAGAGTTAAACAAACATGATATCAGTCACTACTAATTGATCGATCAATTGTATTTAAACCAGTTAAAAAATTTCATTTTTCATGAATAGCCCGTAAATTTTTATGTGAGTAGAATCATAGTGATTCATGGTACAGTACCCTGAAGAAGTGGCTTATGCTTAGTCACGAAACATTGACAATCCAATTTTCCACTTATTTGGATATTACAAATATATCATTATTTTATTTATAACTTTTTACCAAATTATCAAGTTCAATCCTTGGTATTGATACCATCCATTAAATCTTCACAGTTTCCTACTATACACTGTAACATGAAAACATGCTGACTAAACACTGACAGTTAGATAGCGTTATATACACTAAAGGTAATTCACTGAAACATAATTAATTTTATGATTTATAGTAAGACGATGCAACTGTTTAGAGAATATCGAACATTCTAACTAAAAACCTACAAGAATAACAGTAACTAGAAAAAAGTTTGTTTTAGTACTTACGTTTGATGCAACAGACTATTAAGTATGTCGATCGGAAATAACAATATATTCCGGTATTTAAAATGTCACGATTAAGTGGATAATATCTTATTCTAATAGAATTGGATCGATACATACTGACCAATAACATCCATTTACAGATTATGAAAACCAATAAAATTACCTAGAGTAAGTACATGAATGTCATACATGAAAAATGTGAAAATGTTATATCACCAATGAAGGATAGCAGACAGCATTCTTTTTTCCCTTAAACAATCTCGAATCTATTAATATGCTGAAATGTGAAGGACTTATATTTAAAGCAACAAATTAGTTCACGATATAAAATTATGTATATTCATTGAAGTGATCAACATATTAGTATGCAATTATTTTAATGAATACTCTGATGGATTATACAGTTTACTCTTAAAGTTAGACTTAATTATTAACATGCTTTATCATTTATAATCTAAGAAATAAAATACCGAAGTAAACTGGCTTAAAACAACATTATTAAAGTGATAAAATTTAGATTTCCAGCAAATGAATCAGAAATTATGCTTTGATACTCCTGCCTCTTATTTATTTATTTTAACACATAAATATTAGTACAAGGGGACACCAAATATATATGCGCCACACAAAACAATGCGAATAGGAAGAGAGAAAAAAGGTAAAGAGCGTAGAAGAAAAGAAAAAAGAAGAAAATTAACGACCACAGATTAGTGTAAGGAAGTGTAGTACGAGGTAGTGTAGTAAGTATCGTCATTTCATTCTGTTTGTGTGTGGGCTGTGATACTGCCCGGATACCCAGACCGAAACAGGTGGTTTTCTTAGGGGGCCACACTCCGAGTCTTTGACCTAAAGGTCTGACCCACAAGGCAGTGAAGCAATAAAAAATAAGTTGAGGATTTTATAATGTTGTATTTTTTGAAATTTAAAACGTGATTTTGAAGAATTCAAACCAGATTATATGTAGCCGTAGGTCCAACATATAACGGAGTTAAAATTTGATTTCAATTTTTGAATGTACACTGCTAATGAATATAATACCGGCGAGTGAAATCATTTTTTTTATTAGAGTGATTTATCACCGTAAACTGCTCCTTTGTTCTAGTTAGGGAAATGTACGATAAACTTTCGGGTATTGTAATGTGTACGATAACACTCAGCTGCTAATATGAAATTTCATTATTAATATTCCCCAACTTCGGTCAATGTGACCTATTAAATAGTAATTGTTTGGTTTTATCAACGGACATCTATCGTAGCTTACAAAGTGATTATCTAAAATAGCAGATGGAATTTTTATCTCCAACAGCCTATACCTCTAAGACATTTTTCTACGTAATGTATACTTGTTTAGTAAATTATATTGATACGATAAATGGATAATTGAAAAACTTCTTAACGGATATATGTTGACATACACCAAGAATTTATTTACTACTACTAGTATAATTTCTGTTTGACCTCCGTTCTTATACAGTCAGTCAGTTAATAACAACGTAGAACTTCGAACGTACGTACGTACATCAGTTCGAGATGCTGTACCACATTAGCACAGAGATACAATCGTCGACTCAAATCCTGTAGTGGTAGAGGTAGTAAGAGTATTAGGGTTTGAAGATGTTATTCAAAGAGTATAATCCAGTGAAATAAATTTGGAAAGAGAAAAAAGAAATGGATATGAAGAATTCAGAAGTTTAGAATTTGGGAGAACACAAAGAGTGGATGCACCTTTTTACCAATAAAGCACAATGGTTTTCTATCAAATAATTACTAAATCATACATTATAACAGTTTATCTAATGATAAAGCATTATACTTTACATTAGCTTAAAATAGAAATAATCAATTAATAGTATCATTAAATCATCTCCACAGGTGACTAAATAAATAATTAAAAAGAAAGAGGTTAAATTTATGAAACAAAATATGATATTGAAATGCTCAGGATATTTAATAAACTTGAAAGTTTAAAATGAATTCTACCCTGTAGAGAAGGACAAAACAGCAAGAAATATATATTAGATTATTATAATAATAAACTTTCTAACTATAAAAGAAGGTAACCAGTTTATTTGACTAGACAAAGAGAAAAAATTGAAGCACAATAATATTGAAATTCTATTTTATTCGACTGAAATAAATTTTATCCAAAAACTTTTTTTGCTAAGACTAATCAACGTCTAAAGAAGAAAAAAAAATTGAATTAATGAAAATTTTCACAATTATAAGTTGCAAAACTTGAATAAACAAACTCAATTAATTTATTGATTTATTCTTAATGGTTTAATTAAATTTATATGTAATGGAATAAATGGTTAACAGGTGTAAAGTGAAAAAAACTTAATATTTCACCCATAATTAAAAAAAAATATTTGACATATAATTTCATCAATGAATTTGGCACAAGATAACTTGATAAATTGTGAGATAGATAAAAGTTTAAAAATATCTAGCTTCAATAGAAACTGAAGGTTAACAGACATAACAACTAAAGAACATCTGGAACTCAAAACAACTGTCAACCAACACCAAGGTCAGAATTTTCAATACAAATGTCAAGATAGTTCTACTGTATGGGGTGGGAACTTGGAGAACTACGAAAGCCATCATCCAGAAGATACGAGTGTTTATTAACAGTTGTTTACGCAAAATACTTCGGATTTGTTGGCCAGACACTATTAACAACAACCTACTATGGGAGAGAACAAACCAGATCTTAGCGGAGGAAGAAATCGCTGGAAGTGGATAGGACACACATTGAGGAAAGCACCTAACTGAATGACAAGATAAGCCCTCACATGGAATCCTCAGGGCCAAAGGAAAAGAGGAAAACCAAAGAACACATTACGGCGAGAAATGGAGACAGATATAAAAATGAACAAAAATTGGATAGAACTGAAAAGGAAGGCCCAGGACAGAGTGGGTCGGAAAACGCTGGTCGGCGGCCTATGCTCCATTGGGAGTAACAGGCGTAAGTAAGTAACAGACTTAAGAATGATCATGTTCAAATTTTCCGACTACTGGAATTTCAAACTTTGGAGCAAACGGTTTATCTCACTTGTTGTAATAAGCTATTTATTTTAATTAAAGCTTGAATTATCGCTCTTATTAGTTGTAAAATACAATACGATAACATGAGATCTGAGAAGAAACTTCAGATAACTTTAAAACATTATTTAACTTCGAAACTCATGAAACCTACTGTTTCTGACCAGTCATACTGATTTGGGAAGGGATATCTTCCATGAGCAACCAAGCCTTTCAATGCCTTTTAATGAAATAATATATTTGGATCATGTGTAAAATAATAAAAATAAGAATGATTAAAATGAACAATTTACCGAAAGAAGGTGAACTAGGTGAGGTTACATTATCCATATCTTTGGAGAAAACATTATCTTCCATTGATGATTCCATAGGACATTCTTGATTATGTCGAATATCTGCATCATTATTTGCAGGGAAGATTTCTTTTTCGGCCTTTCCATTCGATTCTTTATTTCCTACAGGGAGCTCTAGATTATTTTCTCCCAAATCAACAGTAGCCGTCGTTTCGCATAAATGCTTGTCAGTTTCGTCATCTGTGTCTTCATCCAATGAATCGAAATCGTCATAAGAAAAGGCAGTTAATGTTGTGTAATTTCTAGAATGATTCTGTCAAAAATAAGGCATGGATCAAAATGCAAGTTAATACTAAACAAGCATTTGGTACAAAAATGTCAATACATAAAGTAGTTACCTCGTGTTTCAATAGAATGTTTAGTGTGAAATTAAATAGCGTCAGAACGACAGTAAAATATATAAGTGAAATACACTATGCCACTATCCCTTAGTTATGTAAGATTTACAAACAAATTGATTTAGATCTTTCATAAAATACTACATAATTTTTAAGAACACAATTACAAGTGATTTACTACGAACCAGGCGACAAACTTAGAATTATAGTCAACAATCACTCATCATACGAAAGATATGCTACTAGTCAACCAGTGCATTCTTAGTTCGTCTAATCATAATGAAATAACTGATGCTTAAGCATAAACTACACAAATTGACAAAGTTACACCTAAAATCATATTTATTTGCATTACAAATACTAAAAGTCGTACAATGTTACCATTCATTGTATGCAAAAAAGTTTCTGTAAAAATAATGCGAAAAGTAGTAAATGATTAAAAAATTAAAAATTGTACTGATTTACCTGTAGAGGTTTCTTGAAAGCTAAAGGCATGAAAGGTTGGTTTGGATTTGAAATAACATTCTGTTGACTAAGAATCCCTGGTTCTTTTGAGTGAGTTTGTTTATCCTTTTCACTCACAGGTTTGCATGAATTAACGCTACGTGTGGCAGCAATAACAGCACGTTCCGCTGCTCGAACACGTTCTTTGGCTTCCACAAGTTCTGCATCCCGACTATTACGCAACTCATTCATCTGAGCTTCTAGCAACCTTTTACTAAGTACAAGCTCTGTAACTGAAACGAAAAACAGAAAATGGAATCGAACATCAAACACGTCATGTATCTAATGTGGTAGTAAGATATTTAAGGATGAAATAATAAAGGAAAGTATCAAATAACATAAACATACGAGTCGAAGTTAAAAAAGCAGGTGAAACCAGCTGATTTCAAATAAAGAGCCGTGTAAGATGGGCTGCATGTTTTATATGAAACAATTAGTAGTTGTTTTAAAAACATTACTTTTCAAGTGTTGTGTATCAAAATGACTCCAAGTAAGGCTAGTGTGTAACTAAAACTATTTGTTACCGGAAATCCAAAAAAATTATACCATAAAGGTGACTTTCAGGAATAAAATAAGTACTAAGTGAAAGAAATATTGATGACGTGCTTAGTATTATTAGTATTAGAAAAAGATATAACCCGGAGAGTCGACTATATTTCGCAAAACCATTTCACTTATTTTGGAGTTTCATCAGTCCTAGTGGGTTGGTAGTGGATAAGATCGAGACATGGTTCCAAAAAGCTCGTCTGACTCTTTCTAACTTACACCATCGGTACTTTGAAAAAGTTCATCCTTCTGTTAAAGAGTGAGTGTATTTCGCAGTGCTTTACCTTGTTCACTTTATGACAGTGAAACGAGGTCTATGAAAGCAGAAGACATATAAACGAGCAACTAAGTTGAAAAAGTCGTAAACCTTTATCAATTGATGTGGCTAGGACAGATGTTATGCATACCTAACCATCCAGTACCACGGACATGCGATGCCGGTTACCTCCGGAATACGTTGAATTAAGCAAAGACTGTATAGGTCAGATTATAACAGAGAACCATTAAGTCACTGAGTGTTTATTTGAGGGGTAAAGGAAGCCACAGACTTTCTGAATAAAACTCACAGAATGGTCGTGATGCATGGTTGGAATTGTTGAGTAGTACAGCTCAAGACCGGCTAAAGTAGTTGTTCTATATATTCACTCAGGTTTTATTACCAACTTTGCCGTTTTAAACTTTTTTGCTTCATATATTGTTCATACCCTTTTCCTATGTTCTTATGTGAAGCATGACAAGCTGGACAAATATATAGTTATCAAGTCATACGTTGACCGTGACCGATGGCAATTTTTACGGACAAAACTTATGAAAATGAGAACATAAGAACACTAACGACAGATCTTTCCACTTAGTCGAAAAGCACCACTTACCCACTGCAATCTGTTAACGTCAGGTTGTAGTGAATGAAAATATAGAAATTTTCTGGATAAAGAGTTAATACCTGGACCTGAGTAATTCATTCTAACACGTTACGAGAGAACTCCACACTTTATTGATAATTTAATACGATTGAAACGGATGAATTAGGTGTTTCTACAAAAAGGACTGTGACGCTTGAAAGTCATTGAAAACGTGACCGCTATTCTATATTATCGATTAGAAACGGTATAAGCCTAAGTACTAGGCATAGCAATTCATACAGTTTCGAAAAAATTAGTTATTACGAAAACAAACTTTTCAGTTTACTAAAATGAAATAATATAAACTTATGGACAAAAATGAAACTATTAAGTTTCGAAATAAAAACTTTGGTAATCACTTCGAAAGCCCGTAAAAGTAAAAAAAGGGGTAATAACTACGGACCTCTAGTTGTCACACTTTTGAAGTTATCAACAAATAGAGAAACCGGGAAATTATAACAAAGATCTTTAATCTGAGTTGAAGTGAAGTTATCTTTACCTATCTTTACAGACTCTAAGTGAAATTTCCAGAAAAAGGACTTACTTTGTTCATCCGCCGCCTGTAAAGCTGCATGCAGACGTCGGTTATTTTCTGTGGCTCGTTCCAAACGAAAATGGACTTCAGACATGCATTCCGAATCTTCTAATTCCGAACGAATCTGTTGCAGTGCTTCTAACTCAACCGAAAGATTTGCCTTCAGCTGTAATGCACTCTGTATTTCCTCCAAAAGTTCTAATGTCAAAAAGAAAACAAAAAGATTTATAGGAACTTGTAGCAAGTGGTTAACAGCAATCAACAGGTTTCTGATACAAAATTACACAAAAAAACAGATAACCACGCATGCGCGAAATTAGAATCATTGCTCACACAGCTACTGGCTAGCAAAAACGCATTATTCGATTATTAGAACTTCTAAACTGGATAGGATTCGTCTCCATGAACCAAAGGTTATCTGGGATCCCTATGTTTAAATGCAATCTCATCTCATCAAAATTGAGGATGATGACAGATCCGGCTCCCAACATACATGTTATTTACACGAGAATATTAGATTTCTCTTGTAGTTAAGATACCCAAATCCTAACCCTTTCAGCATTTTGACTGAGCATGTGATCATGACGCTTTCATATTAAGAGATATGAAACTCATCGGCTAGTAAACGCTCAGTAAAACTTTACGTATATAAATAAAAACTTCAATTAAGAATGTGACATACCGTTGTACGACGGCTGTCTTATGTCCCCAGACCTTGGTCTAGATGTGTTAGTAATACCGTAGTTTTCTCCGCTACATAATCCATAAAACCGACGCTGTAAAGCGGCATACTTTTCTTCGTATCTTCTGCTCCACTCCGATAAAACCTGAGACAGACTAGTATCTTTTCCTGCAGATAGTTCATGATAGACCACCTCCATGGAACCAGCTGTTTTCGAGACGATGAAAGAAGCGCCTTTTACAAGGACTAGCTTCGATGTTCAATTCGTTAAAAGCATGGACTGTAGAGCTTACGTCAATTCTTGACGAAAAACTTTGTAATAATTGTTGTGAAGCCTTCCATTGGTTGACAATAAGCTTCACTTTAAGTTCAGAAGGACAATATGAAAAGTTTTCTGTGCTACTCCCGATGATTACGGTCCACAACAAATCCGTTTTACTTTAGCACACGTCACCATGTAGAGCATCAACTTGTATTCTCGAAAGCGCGCCGACAAGCTCCCGAAAAGCTGAGGTTTTCTGTAAAAGAATTCGACTACATGTAAGATTTAGGAATCACGTAAGGTTCATACAGATAAGCAAGAAGAAGCTCACGCGTTTCTAATTGAATGCATTAATTGCCTATACATGAACGCCGCGAGTCTACCAAATAAAATGGATGAGCTACGCAAACTTGACAAAGTTAATAAGGTTCATCTGATAAGAACATCTGAAACTTAGATATCTTCTCAGTTTTCGCACCAGGAGCCAGCAATACCTGGATGTCTCTGTTTCGCAACGACAGAAAACCAAGGATTGGGGGTGGATTAGCCGTATACATACGATCTGGCTTGGAGATACACCAAGTTCACAATCATGAATTTAATAATATTGATGGATCCATACGGTGCTCAGTAAGATTGTCTACTACTTCGAGGTGACTAGTCGGAGTCATATATAAGAAGCCCACTGCCGACATCGAGTATGACAATCTCATATGGAAAAAATTATCCCGCTCTAATTACCTCGGATTCACCCATATCGTGATTCTAGGGGACTTCAATCTTCCTGAAGTCAATTTCGCGGAACATACGTGAAAATACTGCTGAAGCTCGGTTCATCAACTTCATTGAGGATCTGGGATTATTCGAAAATGTAAAGTCAGCAACTCGTTGGAGGAATAATCGGACGCCATCGCGCTTATATTGGGTATTTACAAATGAAGAATTCCCAATTGACAACTCAATCCTGGCTCAACTGGGAAAAAGCGTCCAAATCGTTATAGCCTTCAGTTTTGTCAGCAAAACTGAGCTAAGATATCCCAACAACAACAACAAAGCAGTCAGTTCCTCAAACGGTCCCCAAAAGCCACACACAACCTAAAATCATCGAAAATCGCACTCTTCGTTTGTTAAGTCGCAAAAGGCGTTGCTGGGCAGAGTACAAATGAACTGATAACAACGGCACCTACAGGCAAACAAACATATAAGGAACATATACACAAGTAAATAGGACAAGCTTTAGTATCAGATAAAGCTTATCGATAAAATATTCTCCAATCCGAAGAGCTTATTCCGTTATGCAGCCTCTCTTCGTCAAGCCAAAACTGAAGTTTCTCAACTGTTAGGTCATAATAGGCCTACCAATAACGACGGTGACGCTGTTAACCTTTTGGCTGAATAGTACTCTCGGACATTTCAACAGACCCATATTAATTACATTGATGAAAGCACCTGCAACAGCACGGGACTTTCCGTAGTGAACCTGAGCGCTGACTTGATGTTTCGGAAATTGCAGCATCTAAGAAAAGACACTTCTCCTGGCCCGGATATGGTTCATTCTGCCGCACTGATGAATCCAGCTTCAATCCTAGCGTGATATTCTCATACTAGCTAAGCCGAGGTATATTACCAGAAATTCGGGAGCTGGCTCACATCACACCAATTTTCAAAGAAGGTCAACGCAGAGATAAAGCTACCGACCGATGGCTCTTCTCTCTATACCTCTCTATGGAGTCCTTAAACTACTTTTCATCCCAACAGCATGGTTTCAGTAAAGGTCGCTCTTGTATAACCGTGTTGACTGCGGTGGACAGATGGACAACTATCCTTGACCGCAAGAGGAAGGTTGACGTCATATACTTCGACTTCTCAAAAGCTTTAATAGGATCAACCATATATGTCTCATCAATAAGCTCAGACAATTGGGTATCAAACAACCTCTAATTGATTGGCTCAGTTCATATCTGAAAAGTCTACATTTTAAGGTCAGGGTAAACTTCCCTTTATCTCAGGCTGTGGAATGTCCTAGTGGGGTACTCCAGGACTCAGTTTTATGACCTCTTCTTCCCTTGACTCATATAAACGATCTTCCACGACAGGTATCATCTGAATTCTTACTTTTTGCTGATGACGCGAAGCTTTGGAGAGAGATATGCACCCAAGAGGATATACAGGCACTTCAGGAGGATCTGACTCGACTTTGTAGTTGTGCAGACAATAACGGCCTTACCTCTAACACTTTAATGCGTATAGTAGTCCATCTGCGACACGTCGCAGACTACAGTTATAACTTACGAAACCCCTCTCTAGTAGTATCCCGAGTCGAAAAAGATTTAGGAGTCCTGGTGCCCTACGACTTAAAGTCTTACGCCAACTGTGACAGGAATGCCTTTCGAGCAAATCTTGCACTGGTAATATTGAAGCGCATTTTCGGCCAGTTTGACGGAGGAACTTTCCATATAATTTTCAACAGTTTCATTCATCCCCAATGGAGTTCGAAAACATAGTATTTCCCCCTCACTCTGGAAGGATAAGGATACTCTGGAGCGTATGCAAAGGCGAGCCACTAACTCAGTTCGGGGACTCAATTCAGGCTTTTACCCATTAGAGTACAGGCGCCTTAGAGGTGACATTCGAATTACTTACAACATCCTTAACACTTCTGGATATCACCTTAAACACCTACTAAACATTAGTTCCGAACGAAACCTAAGCGGCAACAAGCAGAAACTGGAGACCCAACACAGCAGAACGAATTGTAGACACAACTTCTACTTATTGAGAGTTGTCAAATGCTGTCATTCACTGCCGTCTGAGTTAGTCCAAGCGACTTCCCCGGAGTCCTTTAAGAGGAAACCTTACCTATTCTTAAAGAATAAGGATGGTATCTTACTATAGTTTACCAATTTCTTCGTCTTCTTTTTTGGTTAATATACCTAGTTTCCTGCCTAGAGATATTAGTGATCCATTGTTACTAAACACAAAACCCGTTAGGCGAAAGCCCCTTCTATTCCATCCACAACCGTTTGAACTACTCGATCTAGATGCCTTGTATTTTATTCGATACAAATATACATATCAAAGCAACAATTTGGAACTTCTCGAATCATCACTGTCTTTGTATATCAACCAGGAATCTTTTTATGATCTCTTAAGTCAACCAACCTAACACGCACAGATAAACTGTATGTGGGCGTATGTGACGTCTTGTTCAACGACCTCAGTTTTTCCAGGTGTTCAATCAGTTAATTTACTGCAAAGACTTTAAACCTTACACTTCATTCGTTCGTCATCACTCCTTCCTCAATGTTATTTGTTCATGTGGTAGGATTCTTAATGCTAGAGTGTAATATATAAGTAGTCATTTTTATTTCTCCGACTATTTTTTCATCTGACTACATCATATCGAATTGGCTCACAACGTCTTGGGATAATAGTATAGTTTTTTTTCTCGCTTCAAACAGTTTCTGGACAAAAAGTACGTAGAATTAGAAAATGAGTATGCTGAGAGAGAAAAGCTTCCAAAGCCTTCAAATTGGTACGTTCCTTATATGCGCTTTTATGAACTAGCGATTTAAATCTAGTGGGAATCATATCATGATCTACCTATATTTTCAATATCAGAAGAATGATTGACTTAGTTATTTCTGATGTGGTCCATAATACCCAACATTCAGATTTCTAGTTTTATGTGTCAAAAAGGTACTAATCGTTTAAATATCTCTCTGAATTACAAATTAGTCAAAGGAAAAAGGCTTTTCTTTCCAGTTAGTTCCTGTTCATGGCTCTTCACAAATATCTAAGTTTACGGTTAAGCATAAAACCCATATTAAATAAATGGTTAAAATTCATACCATCTGAATATGAATGAGTAATGTTACTTGTAAAATTAATAATAGATAACTAATAAAGCTGGTGCCAGAAACTAGATAATCAGCTTATCAAGGCAAGTTACGCAGGAATAAAAGCAGGAAATAAAATTGAATCAGCATTGTGGATATTAAAAATCTTTCCTGAGAAATGTCAAATTGACTAAGTAGAAGGCTAAGGTAGATTAAAGAGCCATAAAAACGTCTCCTGTGTGCAGAATATTAGGTTTGTTCATGTGTATTTCTATGGCTTCTGTTGTATGTAGGAGTCTTAAGTTTATGTTCAGTAGAACTCTATTGATAACGTTAAGAGTTGAGATAGTGACATGACAACTATTATCGACTAAATATCGTAGATTATGGCCTCTTATTGTTTGCTATTATCCTTTGATCCACCATAGTGGGTGATGTTCGGAAATACGATGACAGATTCATCTGGCTGTTCGACCTATATCACATTAAGAACATCAGAATTATGCAATTTATCTGTATTTCGTGAATAAATTGTTGGTTGACTAAAGGAAGAAAGACAGACTCGCTATGTAGTGTATACATTCTAGGGTTTTTACTTATGTTGAATCACTAATTTATTGGCTGTATCACCTTTGAACTATTATATATATACAGCGATTTCGTTATTTGCTTATTACTAGTTTTACAAGTAACACAATAGATTCATATTCAGTTGGTAAATTGTAAACGTACTCATTTTCTATTCTTAAGTAATTTGTTGTAATGATTAGCCAATTATGTGCTTTCACAAACGTTATGTCGAGTATGTTGATCAATCAAGTAATGAATATGCTGATAAAACAGTAGATCTGGACCCTACGATTCTTGAGCTTCTTCGTGTGTGCAGGCAGCTTTCGTTAATTGACACCAACGAGCTTAAAATGCTGACCTGTAGCTGCTACTGAGTTAAACGTTAACTGACTGTGTTGACCACTTGTTATTACAACAATTCATCATAAAATATAAAACCTACTTCTGCATTTATATCTTTTATATGCGTGAACGTTTATTACCTTGAATTTCGCTACTAAAGACATTAAGTTATGATATATTAGCGTGCATCTTAACATTTTCAACAATTATTAGTCGGTTTTGCTCATT